CTAAAGAATAACATAGAATCTGCAAACCACCGCATAGTATGAATGAACTTGGAGGACATTATACTGAGTGAAATAAGTCAATCAGAAGGACAAATACTGTATTAGTCTGTTATTGTAAAAAGTCAATGAAAAGTTTATATATGGAAGGAAATTTTCTTTGTTGGTTACCAGGAGTGAGGGGAGGGAATACTGTTAGGTAGAGACAAGTATTTATTTGGGTGAAGAGAAGGGCAGTGTACCAAATGTGAGTGATCAACATGGTGGCACTGAGGAAAAGGAAAACGTAGAGAGGTACATGGGAGGTACAGACAACAAAGATGAACCCTTTCACACATACAGTACTGCATTGTCAGTGAAGGCAAACATGGGTATATGGGTAGACAGATGGATGGACAGGCTGAACTATTAGGTATGTCTTTGCAGAGGGGAGTGTGCCCAAGACCATGGATAGGATTGGCAGACAATGTTTCTACAAGTGTACTGGCATGCTCTGTAAGAATTCCCAGGTATATAGTAGAGCTGACAAGGAACAAGTTTGTAGTCACTTCTTGGCCACAGCCAGCTATCCAGAGGGAGCAAGTAGTTGGACCCGTGGGCTCGGGACCATAGACACGGGACATCAAGCTCAATTGGCATAACATACTACACAAAACATTGTTCCACATCCTACTTTGGTGAGTAACGACTGAGATCTTAAAAGCTTGCAAGCGGCTATCTAGATACAATGATGGGTCTCTCCTCGTCCAAAGCAAAGAAGAATGAAGAAAACCAAAGATTCATGGAAACAATTAGTCCAAGCAGCTGGTACACCATGCAATCCTCAGCGTATATGACTGTGAGACCAGAAGAACTAGATGGTGCCTGGCTACCACTGTCAACCATTCGGAAGGGGATCTACGGAGGAGATCCTGGACAGGGTGGAAGAATAATGTGGACTAAAACTCAAAAATCATTTGGAGAAGAAAAAAGGCGGGGACCAGGTTTGCTGGTCTGATAGAGCCTGATGGGACCACTGAGACCATGGCCCTTAGCTGCCCTTCAGGTCTGGAATTGAACCCACTCCTGTAGAACCCACTCCTGTGGCTTCCAGCCAAACTAAAGACAGGCATACGAGGTGAACATTTACATTAGGTAGATAACATTAGGAGAGGTCAGTCATGGGAGAATAGAAGGGCTGTGTATGCACAGGGAGACACTTGGGGCAAGAGTGCACAGAAAGGAATGACACAGGAAAGAGGTAACTATTGGGAGGAAGTGGGAGGGGAGCTGTTGCATTGTGGGAAATTGTAGTCAATGTCATGAGACAAAGTGTATGTGAGCTGCTGTATGGAAAGTGAATTTGCTCTGTAAGCTTTTACCTAAATCACAACTTAAATATGTGTGTGTGTGTGTGTGTGTGTGTTTATCTTTTTCAAGTGCTACATAACTATCAGTTGTTGAGCTAGACAGAGCAGTTACTGCGATCTTGCCAGCCATTGTGACAGAGCCAAGAAGATACTGCAGGTAGTCCCCAGGTTACGAACAAGATCTGTTCCTGAGTGTGTCTTTATGAATTTGTAGGTAAGTCAGAGTAAGTGCATGTTGTTCTTATTTAGCCTTAATTCAGTGCAAGAAAGGAGCTCTGCTTGTGCAGTGGTTAAAGCATTTGGCTGCTAAACGGATGGTTGATGGTTCAAACTCCATGGGAGAAAGATGAGGCCATCTGTTTCTGTAAAGATTTATAGCTTTGGAAAACCTATGTGGCAGCTCCACTCTTTCCTGTAGGGTCCTGAGTCTGAATCAACTCAAAAGCTCTGGGTTTGGTTTCTTTGGTTTAGTGTGAAGAAAAGGCTCAAAGTCTTTTCAATGATTTAAAAGGTGCAGATGCAGCAAGTGAAAGTGATTATGATGGAAAATTTGTTGCATAGGGACTGGTTCAGACCTTTCAAAGTGAAGGCAAATTTACATAACATTAAAGGGCAAGTAGGAGTGGTCCTTAAGTCTGAATTTGTAACCTTGATAGCAAAAGGGACACTCACTTTTAAAATTGTCACCTGAAGTTGACTAGTTACTTCTGTTCATATTTCATTGCATTAAGCGAGTCATGGGCTTCCATCCCATATCCAACTCCCCCTGGTCAGGGAACTGCAGTCCTAATTTGGCACAGGAGTCAGAATATTTGTGCATTGCTCTGTTGAATACCACAGGTTCTATCCTTTCCATTAAATGTTTGATTCACTGTCCTTCCTTCAAAAACATATGCTCTGGGGAGACACCCTAAAAGTGACAGCCTAAGCTGACATTCTGGGATCTGAGGTATACATACAGTGGCAGACTGCAGACAGGGAACCTACACAAGCACATCCATTTGGAAAGGGGAAGAACGTAATCACTAGTCTATGATGCAGTGTCACTGAGGGGACCATCTGAGGTCCCTCCACCGAGATGGGGATTTTGCTCCCTTGCAAGGCCTCCCAAGTCCACATTGTTTCCCATGATCCTTGGCCACATCCCTGATTTGCTGGACACAGTTAGGGTTCATTCCCGCTTTCAAACTGGCTTGCTTGCTTTTGTTGTTGTTCAAAGCACCTTGACAAACACAGCCTATAGTAACTTGCAACATTACCTGCCTTCCAAGTTATCACATGTGACAGTTTTACCAGAAGGACAGACATCCTCCTAGCCTGCAGTGTCAGTTCCCCCTGTCCCTTCCCTGTCAGTGACACCACTACCCACCCAGCTACCCAAGCTGGAAACCTAAGTGTCTGTTCTTGACTCCCATACTCCCTCATCGGGGAAGTGAAGCAACTTGCTCAAGACACAAAGCTGGGAAGTGACAAAACTGAAGTTTAGATTCCCAGTCCATGCTGTTAACCACTATGCTCGGACCAGAGGCTGCCCAGCATGTCTTCCTCGGACTGCTTTGATAACTACCTGCCCTCCCTGCACACACCAGGCCCACCAGCTTTTCTGCTCTCAGTCTGGGGAAATGGCAGGTTGCTGATTTACTCCCCTGAGGTACCCGCTGTTCCTCCTGGACTCTGGCCTCCTCCCATGTTGGGCACCACCCTTCCTCTACTCTTCCCACGACCACCATCTCAAAGCTGTCACTCCCACTGCTGACAAAAACCTCTGTGGATCACACTTAAAACCAAAGGTTTGAGGACAGCACAAATAAGCAAAGACAACCCTTTTGGTCTTTTGACAATTTTTGCGGATCTTTCCAGAAATGTTTTCTTTTGGGAGTTTTTTTTTTACAGGCAGTGGGTCATACTATACACAATCTGAACCTGGCATTTTTCTCTTAATACACCTTGGAGCTCCTTCCACAGTATGTAGGGCATTTTCAAAATGCATTCTATTATACATACCAGAGTTCAGTTAGTGACTTCCCTGCTGATGGACTTCTTCTCAGAGACCTGGTACTGTTGTGTTGGCGTATAATGCTGCAATGAGGGTTAACTTTCTCGATGTTTCTTTTAATACCAGTTGTTGTTGTTGTTGTTATGTGCCGTCGAGTCAGCCCTGACTCATAGCGACCCCTCCTTGGGTTTCCGAGGCAGTATCACCACGGAAGTAGGATTGCCCAACCTTCCTTCCGAGGAGTGGCTGGTGGGTTTGAACCATCAGCCTTCTGGTTAGCAGTCAAGTGCCTTAGTCACTATGCTACCAGAGCTCCTTTAATACCGGTAGCAGTGATTAAATGATATATTCTGCCAAGCCTGTTTGAAACTTAGCATGTTGCTCCCTCCCCTGATAAAAATCTTCCTCTAGTCAAGGCCGTGGGGGATAAGGGACAATGTGATGGAAAGAACTTGGGTTCTGTGCCTAGGATCAACCTACTTTGAACAAAGTTTTTAACCTCTCTGGACCTGTGAAAAGGGAGCTCTGGTGGCATAGTGCCTAAGGCATTTGACTGCTAACCAGAAGGCTGGCGGTTCAAACCCACCAGCCACTCCACGGGAGGTGGACTGGGCAATCTACTTCCGTAAAGATTTACAGCCTGGAAAACCTAAAGGGGGTCGCTATGAGTCAGAATCCAGTCGATGGCAGTGAGGTCTTTTTTTTTTTTTTTTTTTTTTCCTTCCCCCCTTGGGTCTGTGAAGTGGGGTATAATCTCACTTCTCAGGTATTGTTATGAGAATCCAAAGAAACCATTTCCATGAAGGCTTGGCACCAGGCAAATTTTCGGCTGCCTTTTATTTTCAGGGCGCCCCAGGGTTCAGGGCCAAAAGCTCTGGCTGTAAGGGCTAGAGACTACCCCTCTCCCGCTTACAGATGGGAAAACACGCAAAAAGCTCCAGGAGTTCGGCCCGTTAGATGGCAAAGCTGTTCTGGCTGCTACGGAAGGCCTTCGGATCCTGGCCCAAGGGGATGCATACATTTGGATGGAGTCAGTTAGGAGGTTTGGCCAGGGCCGCTCCCCCTATTCACACACATACTCCACTCACTCGTGTTCTAGGGCATATTCATCACTAACATTAAGCTCGATCCTCGCTCCAAGACCGTCTGGTGGGGAGACAGTCAGAGGCAACAGCAGTCCCGGGGTCAGTACCGATTCCAAGCGAGACTCCGGCTAATTCCTCCCTGCTGGGCCTCGAGCAGCGAGCCCTCGAGACTCACCTTCTGAGCCCAGTGAGTGCAGGTGGGACGCTCGTGTAGACGGCAGATGGGTGTTGTGTTGGCAATACATCCTTGGGAGACGTGTGGAACGTGTGCGGTGTGGTGTACAAATGTGAGACACATGAAGTGTGGGGCTCCTCTCTCCCAGAGGCCCGCCTCTCGCAATGTTACAACTCTGCCTCCTTCAACCTTTGCAGTGACAATCACTGCCTCCTGATCCCGACTTTGCGCGTGCGCGACTCCGCCTTAGGCGTCCTCCCCAGACACTAGAAGTCCCGCCCCCCCACCACACTTTACGGCCCGGTACGTCACTTTTGCTGCAGTCGCTCCTGCCGCCTCCGCCGCCGCCGCCGCCGCCACTACCCCTATTGCCGCGGCTGCTGCCGGTAAGGTGAAGTGTGGTGTTGGGTTGGTGCCGCCGCCTCCCGGAGAGAAGGAGAACAGAGCCGGTAGGGGTGGCGGGTCAGCCGCTGCTTTTGTTTTCTCAGCTCCGGTTCCGTCTGCGTTGCCGCAGGGAGGCCGCGGGCCCGGCGAACCGAGCCAATGCTGGATTTGGAGGTGGTGCCGGAGCGCTCTCTGGGGAACGAACAATGGGAATTCACGCTAGGTGAGCGTGGGGTCTTTACATAGGACCCTGGTCCCGGGTTCTTACCTCCCTCTGGTTTCTGCCTAGTACTCCCCTGCACCTTACAGTTTCTGTCCGCTCTGCAGTTTGGGCTCCAGGCGCAATTTTCCCGTTCTGTCCGGCCCAGTGCGCCCTGATGCCTTCGCCTCGGGCCTCAGCAGAGCTGCTCCCAGGCCAGTGGGACAGTAGTAAGAATAATAACAGTGCTGACACACCTCATACACAGTATTAGGTCAATTCTCTACAGCGTAGTTATCTCAAGTAACCCTCCAGGGTCGGGACTATTGTCATTTTTATTCCTACCTATAGACTGCTAACCAGAAGCCTGGCGGTTCAAACCCACCAGCCACTCCTCGGAAGGAAGGTGGGGCAATCTACTTCCGTAGTGATACTGCCTCAGAAACCCAAGGAGGGGTCGCTATGAGTCGGGGCCAACTGGATGGCACATAACAACAACAACAACATAGACTACATGAAAGCTTACAACTGGCAGACACCCTTCTCCACTGCGGTCTGTCTCCTGCTTTTCTGGGCTTAGGTTGTCTCTTTTCTGAATGGGGAAACCTAGGCGCCGAGCCTGTAATCAGCCGGTGGGGATCTGACAAGGGAGTGGAGGAATTTGTGTGCGTTAAAGGACCTTCTAGCTTCTTTCCGCTTTTTTTGAAATAATGTTCAATGTGTGATATGGTGTAATCCTCAACCCAGGCTTAAGCTGTGAGAGTTAAAAGTTGAATGAAATAGGAGTTCGAGGGAAGACAGTTTGTAGAAAATGCAGTTTGGTGGGGTTTTTTTTAACCCTTCTTCCTTCACCCCTCCGCATCCCCAACGTCACTATCTAGAGTACAAGGATGTCATCATTCAGTAATCCCAGTGTGTGTTTACTTTGATGTTCTAGCACTAGGGAAAAGGGGTGGGAAGCAGATGTTGCTGCTCGTTATTTGTTTATTGTGGGCTGCTTGACAGCTGCGCTATTGGGCTGTACTTGAATCTAGAAGAGCTGTGTTTATGGAGACAGTGCAGATTTCTAGTAGGGCCTTACTGGTGTCCAGGGACTCCACAAATCAAACTACATGTCTCTTGTGGATTGTAGAGGTGATTTTATTCAGGAAGTCTTAGCCATCTTCTTTATAATTGAAACCACTTCTACAGAGTTTTTCCCAAAATTTTAGCTAGTGTGAGATGTGCCAGCCTCTTGTGAAGCACCTAGAGCTTGGATGGGAGTTTGGTGGTATCTTTATCTCCAGGCCCATTAATCATGTTGATGTTGATTGACTTCTAGTTAACTTCTTTCCTCCCCTCCCATCCCCTTCATTTCCTTGACAGCTTCTGCCACTGCCTGGACCTCACAGGGCTAGGCGAGAACCACAACCATATCTTCAAACTGTGCTTGATGTTGTGACTAGGTGCTAAAGTCAGAGTTCTTTGGCCAAAAATAGTAACTAGGATACAGTCAAGACCAAGATTTGGAGAAAAGTGGGTTGGAGAGCACAGTCTCTTGTGTCAACTGTTGTTTGGAGGCTTTAACTCCCACTCTTGACTGTCAGTTTCCAGGAATCAAGGGTTTGGAGAGTTCTAGCAACCAAAGTGCCTAAGGCACTTGACTGCTAACCAGAAGGCTGATTAAACCCACCATCCACTCCTGAAAGGAAGGTTGAGCAATCTACTTCCTTAGTGATAATGCCTCGAAGGGAGGGGTCACTTTGAGTCACATCTGACTCAGTGCACATAACAACAACAACAGCAGCAGCAGCAACCAAAAACAGTAAGAGCATTTCTGTAAATGGGATCCAGAATTGAACTTTTGGGGAAAGTTCACAGAGACACCTGAGTCTTGATGATTCCCTTGTGAGTCTTGAAATCTGTATTTTTGAATAGTGTCTACCTGGTTGCTGATGTTCATTTAACCATCATTTTCCCTCTCAACCTCTCCCTACTGGCCAACCCATCCAAATTGCTATCAGTAGGGACAGGTCTGGGACGTGGATCTGTGTTTTAGAATTACATCTTCAGCTTGAGAACCAGACAGTGCCCACCGCGATTCACCACAGCCCAACAAGGCAAATACTATTATCTCTGTTTGCCAGGTAAGGAACAGGCTCAGAGAGGCAGAGATGACATACAAATAGATGAACAGAGATCTCCTGCCTCCCACTGCTCTCCCCTTCTGAAGGTAGACTCAGCTTCCCCAGATTTCTTTTTCATGATCTGTGCAAATGCAGATGTATTTGGGTCTTGCCACTACTGCCTGGCATCACAATGGGGAGCTACATATCTGGCTTCTTGGCTGCCTTCCTGGCCTTTGTGTAATGTTGGGAAATTAGGGAGATGCCAACAACACAGGGACAAGAAAGCCTGTTGTTGTTGTTGTTGTTATGTGCCATCAAGTCAGCCCCGACTCATAGCGACCCCTCCTTGGGTTTCCAAGGCAGTATCACTACGGAAGTAGATTGCCCAACCTTCCTTCCGACAGGAAAGCCTAGGCCAAATAGAATCTCTGAGAATGCCACTTACGGTTTGGCCAGAGGTGAGGTAAATGCAGTGCAAATTTGAAATAATGTTTTCACCAACACAGAATGTTTTGGTACATAACAACCTATGGAAGCTTGTCTCTACATTTGTTTTTCAAATTAGTCTTAAAAATACCCAAAGAAGGTAGACCCTGGAGAATAACCTTCTCTAAGATTATCTTATTCCACAGAGACTCAGGGCAGCATGTGCCTCTTTGGACTCTGTTTACAAATATTAAAATTTGAGTAAGAATTGGTCTTGCGCACTAAAGAATCTAATAGGATGGAGGGATTACAGAAGTAGTTCATTTTGTCATAATCAAGTAGAGGTTGTATAGCGTGCTGTGGAAGGAAAGAGAGGACTTGACCCGATCTGGGAGTTTAGAGTAAGCTTCCTGTCAGCCCATAGGAGCCAGTACTATTTCTGGAGCCACTGAGCACCAATAGAGTCCTCCCAGAAGTAGGGTTTCTTATCTGCACTGTCTATAGACATAGATCTTCCAATCAAGTGAAAAAAAGGGAAGAAGAGTGGGAAAGCTAGATGGTGGGCACGGTGAGCTCCAAGCAATTTCATATCACAACTACAACATGATGTACAGGCAGAAGATGAAAATAGGTTTTCCAAAGTCCTGGTTCTGTTTGGTAGTAGCTGTCTAGGACACTGTCAAGGAGTCTCTGGGTTCAGTGGAAAAAGAGAATATCTATTAGTAAAGCCTGCTGTGGTTAAAGTGTCGGATTGCTAATCCAAAAGGTCAGATATTTGAACCCACTAGTCTCACAGGACAAAGATGAGACAGTCTACTTCCATAAAGAGTTACAGCCTTGGAAACTCAATGGGCAGTTCTGCTCTGTCCTGTAGGACCCCTATGAGTTGGAATTGACTCGATGGCAGTTTGGTTTTGGTTTAGGTTGTGAGCAGAGATTTAGAAAGAATAATTGGAGATTGGATTTAGAAGGATGGGGAAGGAGGAAGAATCAAGAAGTGTATGCCTTGGGTGACTGGGTAGATGTTGGAAATGATCTATCAACCTTTTTTCACCTGTAGATACAGACAGAAAACAGATTCAGATGTGAGTTGGAAACTAGGTGGTTGGTTAAAGGAGTGAATAAGGGATAAGCAGAAGAAACCCGGCCCATCATAGAGATGTAGGAAAATTAAATTAAGAGAGAATGGTGTAGATGGAGACAGAATGGGAGTTCTCAGAGGGGTAGATTGGTCACCGTAATCCAACGTAAAGGACCTACATGATCTACTTAATTGCTTTGTTTCACTCATTCAGTGTTGAACAGATGCATATGACCTGTGTTGTGCCAGGCATGATGATTGGTGCTGGAGGTATAGCAGTGAACAAGACAGTCAGGATCCCTGCTCTCAATGAGTTTATAGAGGATACTCTAACAGATAAATAAAAGAGGTGGGAGCATTCGTTAGACAGGGCAGTCTGAGAAATGAGGTATGAGTCGAGGCTTGAAGGATGAGAAGGAGCTAGCAATGGGAAAAATACTCTAACAGAGACAGAGCAAGTGCAAAGGCCGGAGGTAGGAGAGAGCTTAACATGTGCTAGAAACAAAGGGGGAGGGGCTTAGTGGACATTGGAAAGAAAGGTGAGTAGGATGGACAAGGTCCAGGGTATACGGAGCCTTACTCATGTTTGGGTTTTATCCTCCTGTATTAGAGTGCCACTGGAGGGTTATAAGTAGGCAAGTGATGAGATCTGATTGGTAAGACAGGAGATTTATACAATTTAGAAGACTGACCTTACCCTGCATATGCTTTTTAGGGGTAGGTTAACGTAGAGCTGGGACAGCTTTGTATGTTCATCTGTATACAGTATTTGCTCCATTCCCTTAGACAGTCCAGCTATCCTCTTAGTGTGGTTGCTGTTTAACTTTATTCTAGCTCTTACTGCTTATTAAAACTTTATTTACTTATGTATCTGTAGCCTACCTTGGACTTTATGGCAGGGTCCATTGCCTAGCACAGTGGTAGATGTCAGTAAATAGATGGCTCAAATAACCACACACATCCTTGCTTTATTTCAGGAATGCCTTTGGCTCAGGCGGTAGCCATTCTTCAGAAGCACTGTCGCATCATCAAAAATGTTCAGGTTCTCTACAGTGAACAGGTGAGTGGTGGCTGATTTGTTACTGAAATAGCATTCCTAATCAGTGATTCACTTCCAGAGGTGATGCCCTGGGAGAGGCTGACTGGCAGGAATTGATGGGTCACTGTGATCAGATAGGAGAATCTCCAGCGCTAGTCAGTTACCAAGCACATTTTTGATTCTGGAACTTTTGGTCTTAATAATGTAGTCCTGTCATGTTTAGAGGGAGCTCTAGTGACGTAGTGCCTAAGGCATTTGACTGCTAACCAGAAGGCTGGTGGTTCAAACCCACCAGCCACTCCTCGGAAGGAAGGTTGGGCAATCAATCTACTTCTGTAGTGTTACAGCCTCGGAAACCCAAAGAGGGGTCGCTATGAGTCGGATCCGACTCCATGGCAGTAGTTGCCTTTTTTTATCATGTTTAGAAGAGCAGTAATAACAGCCTGTTTTTTTCTGTGTTTGACTTAGCTGCTGGCCCTTAGACAGCAACTTTTTATTGGGAGGTTACCTTTGGGCTGTTTCTGGCCTTCTAGGGTGCTTTTCTTTTACGTTAGTGTTTAAAATTGTCATGTCTGCTTTGTTGATTGCTCTAGTTGTTGTTCAGGATTGTTGTGATGCCTATCTCTAGCTAGTAGAGCATCCCACACTTGAAAGGAAGCTCACTTCTTTAGTGAGAATGATACAGTACTTGGAATTGGCAGGCTATTTGTTCCCAATTAACTGACATATTTTATTTTACTCTTTTTTTTCTGTGATTTTATGGTGGTTTCTAGTAGATGTTGCCAGGACCTAACCCCTAGATTATGTTAAAGTGTTGTGTGTACTTACAAAGAGGACGTTTTCTGTAGACTGACATCAGGGAAGGACTTTCTGAACATCAGAATTTTTTTTCAACTGTGGTTTTACAAGTTATAGGCTATTTTATTGACTTTTAGGAATCAGTTTCTTTTATCTTTCTGACAGAGCAATATCTCCTCCACTGAATGCGAGAATCCTGCCACACAGATTATGTGTTGCTGTGTGGAGCATCCTTTGGTGCCCTGTATGTCACAGTGGTTTTGTGCCTGCACAGGCTACAGGGTGTCCTCGATAGCTTTTCTGAGAGACACTTGACTACTGATTTGATGATTTCAGTTCCATTTTTTCCAATTAGTTTCAAGTCCTAAAGCAAATGAAATCTTTTTTTTTTTTTTTTTAATCTTTCTGAAAATGGGACTCTTGCTCCAGGTCAGAACTTGCATATGAAAGAAACTTGACAAAGCTAGGCAGCCCAGGTCCAGAGTCAAAATCACAATAGAAAGGGAAGTGTTGTTATTGTTGTTAGCTGCTGTTGAGTCAGCCCCCTGACTCATGGTGACCCCATGCACAACTGAAAGAAAAGCATAACAGCTTATTTTTTGACATGAAGAATATTATGGATTTCAGATGGGTGAGATTTCAGTGAGACTTGCCAGTTTTGCTTAGAACAGGGCCAAATTAGGCCTGTTCCCTATACCTAGAGATTATCCTTGTTGCCTGTTATTCTGACATTTGAGTGCAAACAGTAGTGTTAGCATTAAGCTAATTTTTCTTAATATCGTTTAAACAACTGGAACTAGTTGAAAAACATGGGTTTTTGAGTCCAAACCTTGGTTCTTCCTTTCTTAGTCTTGTGACTTGTGACAGGTGAATAACCAGCCTGGATCTCCTTCTGTTAAATGGGTATAAAGCCAAACCAGTGGCTGCTGAGTTAATATATAAGGTGTACTTTTTTATAATAGAATAATCTTTTAATGAGGATCAAGAGGAGATGATCTTAGAACTCTGATGTGATGCTTCTTAAATGTGAGCTCTATTGTTTTCTCCCACCCTCTTTATTTCCTTTCCCATTTGCCTCTTTGCTTCCCATCAGATGTAGAGAACAGTTTGCCCCCATTAAAAGTTTCAGAAATATCTTCTTGTCTCTAAGCAAATCAGTCACACTTGGGAATTAAATGTGATATCAAATAGGTCCCATTTTTCTTGAAAATGACAGGCAGCAGATGGCTCTGTTTATTGCACTGTTTCATATGGAAGGCAGCATAGTGTTGGGATACTGGCAGGGCTGCTTAAATACCACATGCAACGTATATTTTGGGTCTAGAGATAAAAAGGACTACTGAAACTTTGTTTATGAGGACAATTTGCTTGCTTTTGAAATTTGCTTAGTTATGTCCTAAATTGTAAAGTTGCCAGGGCAAAAATGATCAGATCTTGGGAGAGTGGAGGAAAATCTAAATCCTCCCAGCATTCCTCCTCCAAGCAAGGATCGTAAAAGAAGCTCATCCCGCTCACCTCCATGGATGGCCCTCTCAGACTTGGAACTTTGTGTTTTGGGTTGAGAATAGGTGACCTAAGGTCAGGGTCCATGATCTTGCTTGAGACCTAATGGTTTTAGACATTGATGCAAACCTACTGAAGCAGTACAGCATTCTTCTAAGTTTTGCCAGTCATGATGGTACACCTGGACCTGCTGCCTTGTGAAGATTAAGGGGGTGAGAAGAGAGCAGACAGTCTGAGCTGTTCTCAGAAAGCTCTGAAGAGAATTTCTGCAATGAGGCCCACACCAACATTAGCAACTTAGTTGGCTTCTTGGCCTTCTAGCCCTTTTCTCTGTTTCTGTCATTCAGCCTGTCTCCTTTGAGAAGCTCTGTGAAGAACTTCTCTAAACCCTTTGAGCAGCTGTATGCCAGTTTCAAGAAAGATAGGGTTTTAGTTGGTTATGTTTTCCTTTTTCTGCTGGGCAGCTTGGTTCAGGGCTGTGAAGAGTCTTTATACATTGAATCCTTGAATTAATGCATTGGGCCAGAAGCAGACAGTGGGAGCAGAGACGAGAGGAAGGAGTGCTTTCTGCTGGGTCCTGTGCTGGGTGCTTTCTGACCTATTGTCTCTGACTTACCTCCCTGCAACCCTGTGGGGAAGGGATGATGGTATTCTTTTGAAGAAACCAGAGCTCAGAGAAGTTTTGAGAGTCACCTGAGGTCACCAGTACACTGGGGCTCAAGGCCAGTTCTGTCCACTGCTCTGTGCTGGATCTCCCTCCCTCTTAGGACTTAGAAGGGGCCAGTGTAGAAATATGAGTCCTTAGATCTTAGACTTAGGCTTTCAGAAAGAAGCACATATGATATAGGGTGGGGGTGAGGTGGGGACAAAGAGTAGCATTTCATATATAATCAGCTTGAAATTCGGCCTGAAACAGTCAAGAGTAAAATGGGTTCTCTCTGCATGGCACCAGCAGCTTGAGTGTGAATGAATGGAGGTTCAGCTGACATGAAACAAGCAGTATCTGCTGGATTTGGAGCTTGGGTCAGGCCTTTTCACATGATCTGCATTCCTCACCAACTGCTCTGAAGTTTGACACCAGTAAACCTAGCTATGGAGCCTCAAACGAAAATGACTTACATACTCATATAATTTTGGCCCTTCCTTCCAGGCATTATTACTCAAAACCTGGAAGGAAGAGGCTTTTAAAGCAGCAACTGCAGGCTGGAAGTAGAGGACATAGTGTGTTCAATGCACTGGATTTCTTCTGGCTTCCAAACCTTGTTAGTTGGAAGAGGAAGGCACTTAGATATTGCTTGTGCATTGCATTTATATTGTAAAGCTTTCAGTAGGTACTAGTGAGTAAATTCATTGTTTAGAATATGTTTTATTTTTGTTTTGCAGTCTCCTCTAAGCCATGACCTCATCCTTAACCTGACGCAGGATGGGATCAAACTACTGTTTGATGCTTTTAATCAGAGACTTAAGGTAATGACAATTAACGTTTCATGTCAGGTTGAGCCAGTCTTTCTGGAACCAATTAGCATAAGCGTGGACCTCTTTGGTTTAGAGACCCCCTAAGATGCAGGGAGGAGCTCTGGTAGCATAGTGCCTAAGGCACTTGACTGCTAACCAGAAGGCTGGCGGTTCAAACCCACCAGCCACTCCTTGGAAGGAAGATGGGGCAATCTACTTCCTCAGTGATACTGCCTCAGAAACCCAAGGAGGGGTCACTATGAGTCGGGTCCGACTTGACGGCACATAACAACATCCCCTGGATGCAGGGGACAATAACTGTGCCTATTCCCCTCACGTCAGGGAGGTTAGTAAGTGGGAAGGCAGTAGGTAGCATGGCTGAGAAGGGGCTGGGAAGGACTTTGGTCCAAGTTCCAGAAGTGGAGGGAAGAGTCTTGAGCATTTTGAGAACATGCTGTGGGGTGAGGGCTTTTGTGTTGAATAGGAAAACAAGATGGGTAAGTATAGCTCCCCCTGAGTCTTTGTTTAACCAGATACTAAAAATGAGATCTGACTATGGCATAGGACCAAATGACTTAAGCCAGGTTTATGTATTTCACTTGACTTCATTTTTCTGTCAGCCCTGGAAGATAGAAAATAAGAATTCCCCTTCCTGGGGGTTAATACCACCATTGGTGAGTTTAGTCTTTAACCTGTGAGGAAATATAAACAAACAGCTTATTTTAATTGGCATTCAACTACAGTTTGCTAACACCTATTTCAGTCCAGGATGTTTTCAATACATCCTATTTATGAATGTCTGAGCCTCACAAGTTAGTCACATGACACCACACTCATGTCTTAGAGTCACAAGGTTGTCTGTCGGCTCTGGGCAGTGGTATGTCAGAGCTGTCATCTGCTTAGGTCATGGAGTGGCCTTTCCAAAAGACTTGGATACTATCCACTTACCATCCTATGAAAAGGTAGCTGCTGAGGAGAGAAGACAACGTGGAAAGAGAATCTGTACATGGAATGAGAACTCCTCATTTAAGAGATGATTTTTCAGAAAACAGAGTCCAGTATAAACATCCTTAGCCCCACAACTCCCTTGCCTCTTGTTGTGGACTCAGTGATCCTATCTGAGATCTTCTAGTACTGGCTAGAAGTTTCATGCTGGGGAATGGTGGAGGATGGTATTCAATGTGGTTTAATCACAAATTTGGGGAAAATTAATCTGGTAGCATAGAAATGCCTTTACAAATTGTCATTTGCCTTTAATTCGGTAAATTCACTTTAGGAAACATTAAAAAAAAAAATTGAGAGGAAAGAAATACTGACAAATGTTTATAGCAGAGCTTTGTGTAACGAGAAGCTGTAAGTAACCTAACCCAAATGGGCAACCAAAGAGGGTGGCTAGGCAGCCATAGAATTGTAGTATAATGAGGTCAGTCGCAGCTGTTTAGTGAACATTTAGTACATGCTGGGCACTTGACTGCATGCTTTACATACGTTTCCTCATTCAATCCTAACAATCTAAGTGAGCAGGTACTTACCTGTATTTACCAGTGAGACAACAAAAGGACAGAAAGGATGAGTGATCTGCCTAACGTCAAGCTCTTGACCATATACCACGTGTTGACTGACCACTGAAAGTGGGAATGGCTTGGATTCTGTTGATGGGTGTAGGAAGTGAATAAGTGAGAAACACTGAAGAAAATAGTGCAAACACACTGTATAAAAAATGTGAAGAATGGAAAGTACATTAGAGTGGGAAAGGAGGTAAACTAGAACCAGACCATGCTCGTCTGCCTCCTTTGGGCTCCCTCTGAAGAAGGAGCGACTGGGTGCATGTCTGAACCTTTGGCGACTGAGGAGGTGCTCCCTCTCAGGTCCTTGGTTCGCACCAGCTCCAGCCTCACGCCTTTACCTGCCCTTGCATTCAAGGACTTCAGAATCCACCTCTTCCTGATGCTGTCTGCGTTCCCCTGCCCCAGCCTCCAGAGCCTGAGAGAAAGCCCAGTGGGATGAGATTTGACCATGCCACAGCCTGTACAGCCACCTGTCTTCTCCTTCCATATCTTGGCTGCTGTCACGTGGCCTTCCTTCTGGAGGAATCAAGACCTTCGGGGTGGAAAGTCAAGGGCTCTAGACCTCCCCAGCTGCTTGTTTCTGAGAGTCAGGAAGCTCCATGGACCAGAATCTGCTTGTTGATTCTGGTGACACGAAGGACTCCAAGGTAGTCAGCTGTCCTAGGCCCTGTGATTAGCGGTAGTCTCCTGTTATCCCATGAAGCAGGCAGGGTTGAGACGCCTGAGTGTTAGGCTGAGCTGTCAGTAAGCAGATGATGGTGACACAGGAGGAACATCCAGGAGGGCCATCCCCACAGGGTGGGGGCAGGAGGCCCTTGGAACTGTCAACCAGCCACAGGCGTAGCAGTCAAGGCAGCAGAATACCTGCCCCTCCCTGGCATTACTGGCCATAGACACCTGGTCTGATGGCCTAGTGGGCACCCTGCCATGCCCAGGCTTTCTGAAAGGGGCTCTGGCTGTCTTCAGAGTCACAGCTCTTCCCTTACCCTTTCTTGGAGTGTGATCCTTTCCAGCTGCATAATGATCAAGAGGTGTAAAACTTGAGGTTCAGTGTGTGGTCTTGGGCAGGGTCTCTGGCCAAGAGTGAACTAAGATGACCTAGTTTCTATGGCAGTGCCAATGCTCCTGCGCCCAGGTGCCCCACAGCCCCTTCCAGGATAAGGCCAGATTGGTAGGGCTAGCAGGGCAAAGAGACACTGAGCCGGCTCTGCTTGTTCCTCCTTAATGAGGGCTGAGCCTCCCAGCTGGATGCCGGTAGATGGTGCCCAGGCTCCAGCCAATCTTGCTGCTAGCTGCCAAGGAGCAGCTAGCATGGAGGACTCATAGTGGTCATGATTTGACGCCACTGATGGCTGAAGATTTGATGCCTTTTCCTTTGTCTCTGCCCTGAGTTCTTGGCAAGGCTAAGCCCATTAAACAGCAGACTGACCTAGAGGGTCTCCAAGTTCAACCAGAGGTTCTTCATTAGGGACATGATTGAATATTATTGTAATTATCCTATAATATGTAATGTAATTGTGCCTGTTTATTATCAGGATATTACTCTCCCCCCATCTTTTTGCTTTGTAAACCACAGTATTTGGAAGCTATATTTTTAAGTGGTTTTTTTTTTTTTTTCATTTGTTATTTGGGTAAAAGTTTATAGAACAAACTGGTTTTCCATTGAACAATTCGTATCCATTTTGTTTTGTGACATTGATTGCAATCCCCACAGAAAAACATTGCTCTTCCCGCTTCCTCCCTGTGTTTACCATTTCCCTTCATTCTTCTTTCCTGTCCCTTCCTGCCCTCTGAGCTTTACCCCTGGGCAAACGCTGCCTTTTTGATCTCATATGGTTGGTTGGTTATTATCTTAACAACTTCAGAGCATTAATAACTCTGAAACATTTGTTTTTTGTTTTTTAGGTGATTGAAGTATATGACTTGACTAAAGTAAAGTTAAAATATTGGTAAGTTTTCTCCCCATTGCCATATGTCACCGTTGGTACAGAGGCACTTTATCTTCTTTGCCCAGTAAATCAGTAATGAATTCCCATCTGTGGCAGCCCAGGATTACCACCCAGTGCCATGATTTCCTGAGACAGCCTCCAAGCCTGGGGAAGAGAAATAAACCTCATTAGTAATGGGCTGTGTATTAAATGCTTCACACGTGTATCATCTTATTTAATCTTCACAACAAAGCAGGACCTGAGCTCAGAGGTGATATGACTGTTGCCTGCCTTCTCTTGTGCAGCAATCTTGATGGCACCTCTTTTCATGAACAAGAGAGATGAATCTGACTCCAAAGTTTTTCTAAATAGAATGGCAAAGAAACCATCATTTTGGTCCACACGTACTTGTGCACTGATTATGGCAGGATGCTGTGCTAACATCTGGAATGCTCCTTTCAGTAGAGCCTCCTTAACAGGCTGGTCCTTCCCTTTTTGAGGGTATGAGTTGGGCCCAACTCCCAGGGCAGGCCTAGGTAGCATCTGGTGATGGGGGAGTGGATGTGTAAATGTGTCATAGCACTGGCCCCTGCAGAGTTTAGATGGCTTTTAGACTTTCTGGGAACTTTGTGCCTCAAGGGCTGGCTTCTCTTCTGTACCCTCAAGTCAGTGGTGGGTGGGAATGTGGGCTCTAGAGGCAGGTTGCCTTTGGTTTGAGTTACAGCTCCATCACTTATTACCTCTGTGACTGAGGACATGTCACTTACTGTCTTTGAGGTTGTTTTCTCATAAGAGAAATGAGGCCAGTAGTGTGGCTGCTGGGTTATTAGGAGGGTTACGTAAAATAATGCTGGTAAAGCACATAGCACTGGGCCTGGAGAAAAAAGGCATGCTGTAAATTACATTACTAATTAAAAAACATTTTTAACCTTTAAGCTTCCCCCTTAAAATCATAAATTCCTTGTGTGTGTGTTCGTAGTGTGAAACGTATGAGAGAATAAACACTTCCTTACTCTTAGTCCACCCCTTATTTTTTTGTCCTTTGCTTGGGATCCATCCCTCCTGCAACCAATCTGTGAGTGCCAGCTCTTCTCCTGTTAAGGAGACAGGTTGTCATGCTTGGATACACCCTTCCTCTTAAGATTTGTGCATTGCTTTTCTAAGAAAGTTCCTTTTCAAGCCAAACTACTAATACGCATCTGTAAGAACACACCAACCGTGTCTTGCTCTGGCCATTCTTTGACCGAGTCTGAATGCCACACTGAGCTTGAGAATGCCACTGGGCTGAGACCAGATCCCCTTTCTGGACTATGCCTGTTGTCCACACATGTCTTGGGAGGCCTAGAGGATCAGCTGTGTAGATCAGCCTCACAGGAATTGACCTTGTTCTGACATCATTAATTCTCTCTTATTTAAAAGTTCTTTAATTAAACTTTTGAGATCATTATAGATTCACCCACCATGTTTTAAAAATAAATCTTTCAGCCACTATCTCCCAAGATCTGTAAACCTCTCACATGAAGCTGAGTATTAAAAAGTGCCTTTGTTTTTCAGTGGAGTGCATTTTAACTCACAGGCCATTGCTCCCACCATTGAGCAGATTGACCAGTCTTTTGGTGCAACCCATCCAGGAGGTAAGCCAAATCCATCTGATGCCTATCCTGGCCTATCCCTTTGTTTTCAGCCTAAAACAAATCCCTTTGTTTCCCTGCAACTCAGGGAAGGTGTTGCCCGTTATCACTTCCAGTCAGGCTGGTTTGAGTTAGCAGCTTCAGATGCCAGTCGGCCCATGTCTTTTCTCCCTCCACCCCCACAGTGTACAACTCCGCCGAGCAGCTCTTCCACCTCAACTTCAGAGGACTGTCTTTCTCTTTTCAGTTAGACTCATGGACCGAAGCCCCCAAGTACGAGGTTAGTCCTTCCCTTCCCCTGGTATTTGTTTACCCGTGGCCAGATGGTATGGGTCAGCAGACAGTGCTTTGGGTGCAGGCTGGATAGGCACCCTTTCTTTGGTTTCCTTGTCTTTGAGTTCTTCAGGAGGCATTGGGGAGGATGGGGGTGGCAGAGGAAGAGCAAAGCCCAGGCTGGCATTTCCAAGAAGAGGGGACAGGCTCACTTCTCAGAGATTAGCCCAGTCTTGCCTTGCTTTAAGCTTCTGATCACCATGTAGCTTTCTCAGTGGCCTAGAGTTAGCGAGGTTTTATCCTGTGGATTTTCAGTTATCTGTGGCTGTTGGCAGGAGCTCTGGTGGTGTAGTGCCTAAGGCATTCGACTGCTAACTGGAAGGTTGGTGGTTCAAACCTACCAGCTGCTCCACAGAAGGAAGATGGGGCGATCTACTTCCGTCAAGATTTACCACCTCAGAAGCCCAACAAGGTCGCTTTGAGTCGGAATCGACTCAGTAGCAGTGACTTTGGTTTGCTTTGGTGGCTGTTGGCAGTATTTCATTCATCCTTAGGTAACAGTATCCTTAGGGTTATGGAAATGATAGCTTTTCATAATATATCTTATTAAAGGAGGCATTCCTGCATCTTTCCTGATGAAGGAAGAAGAACTAAGTGGAATTAAAGGTGAATTTGCAGGGTGGGTGTGTGTTTCTTGACCTGGTGCCAGGTTTGACCTGGCCAGTTCTTGAAGACCATCAGTACCAGGGAGCTGTAGTGCCTGAGCCACACGACCTGCAGTGTGCCCTTACTACAACTTATGCTCTGTGTTTGCAGCCCAATTTTGCCCACGGCCTAGCCTCTCTCCAGATTCCCCATGGAGCAACTGTGAAACGGATGTACATCTATAGTGGAAACAGCCTACAGGATACCAAGTAAGTGGGGGAGGCGATGGGCTTCTTGCTGAGACTGTGGGCTTCTTGGGTAGGGAGACAAAGCCTCCATTCATTCTGTGCCTTCCCTCAGGGCTCCTGTGATGCCCCTGAGCTGTTTCCTGGGCAATGTGTATGCTGAGAGTGTAGATGTTCTTCGGGATGGCACTGGACCCTCGGGTTTACGACTTCGCCTACTTGCTGCAGGTCGGTGACTGACTTTGAGGTAGTGAGTTTCCCATTACATTCATATTGAGAAATTCTAAAATCCCACATGTTTAGGGATAAAATTTGTAGGAGGCAAATGGGGCAGATATTTATAATTAAAGCTTTCTTTTTAATTTTGTAAAGGATCAAGATGTCCCTTTTTTTTTTTTCTCCAATTTTTATTGTGATTTAGGTGAAGGTTTATAGAGCAAATTCATTTTCCATATAGCACTTGACACATATTTTGTTTCATGACATTAAGTGCAATTCTCCACAATGTAACAGCTCTCTTCCCACTTCCTCCCTATAGTTACATCTTCCCTGTGTCCTTCTTTCCTATGCATTCCTGCCCCTGAGCTAGCTCCCTGTGCAAATACTGCCCTTCTGATCTAAATGCTCACCCTATATGTTTGTCTCTTGTTTGGCTAGAAGCCAGGGGAGTGAGTTCTATTCCAGACCTGAAAAGTATCTGGGGGGCATAGTCTCGGGGGTCTCACCAGGCTCTATCAGACCAGCACACCTGGTCTGATAAGCTTTTATGGTCTTTTTTATGCTTTTAGTTTTCCACATTGTTCTTCTACTTTATCCAGGATCTCCTGTACTGATCCCTTTCCAAGTGGATGGCAGTGGAAGCTGGGCACCCTCTGGTTATTCTGGTCTCATGGTCATACAGGCTGAGGTTTACATGGTCCACTAGTCCACTGGACTAATTGTTTCCATGTGTCTTTGGTTTTCTTCATTCTTCTTTGCTCTGGACGAGGAGAGACCTATTGTTGCATCTAGATGGCTTGCAAGCTTTTAAGACTCCAGTCGCTATTCACCAAAGTAGGATGTAGAACAGTGTTTTTGTGCAGTATGCTATTTATGTTATTGCCAATTGAGCTTGATGTCCCCCGCTACCATGGTCCGGAGTCCACAAGTCCAACCACTTGCTCCATCAGGGTGGTTTACTATACCTAAGAAATTACAACTTTGCCCCTGTCATTTCTAGTTATATGGACATTCTTACAGCACATACAAGTACGTATGTAGAAACATTGTCTGCCGACCTTATATATAGTCACGGGTATATTCCCTTTTGCCTAGATATACCTGATCAGTCAGCCTGTCTACCTGTCTATTTACCTGTAGATTAATGTTTATTATCACTGACAACACAGTATTGTATATGTGAAAGAGTTTACCTTTGTCATCTGTACCTCTTATGCACCTGCTTGTGTCTTCCTTTTCCTTAATGTCATTGTGCTGGTCACTTGCTTTTGGTGTATTGCCTTTCCCTTCACCCAAATCAATACTTGAAAGGGACAAGACATAGTCTTATCATTAGCAGATATAAATATATGACAGTTAACACTGCTTCCCTCAGCATGCATGTAAACCTTCTGTGTGCTGTCTACTTATACAGCTTTGTAGTGGTTCCCAGGTTAATTCTGGCAGATGTGCCATGTGGGCTGCAGTGTTGTCTGCTGTCCCCTTTTCCACCCTTACTGCTGAGTTCTTGGAGTTAGGTGGGCAGGGGGACTTACTGAATTGTGGTTTGGCCATGCCCTGCGGAGACCATGAACAAGAGAGAGTTTCTGCGTGCAGTAGCCATTCTCCCCAGATCCACACCTCATTCTGTGGCTTTCTCCTGCCTGGAAAATCTCAGTTCTCTGGGGCTTCAGGTCATGCTTAATAGGACAGGGGTCTCCAGTGGGGAGTTTGCCTGTGTAAAGACAGAGGGGCCGTACCCCCATGAAGTTCATAGTCAGGCAAATGTTTGTTCATAGATTGGGGTTTTGCATCAGTTTCTGTATATAAACTGGAGCTCACTACCCTGAACAAAGTGACAGGTCACGACCTCTAAGCAAGGCAGAGGACCAGCTGCTTAAAAGCATGTTGTGCTTGAGTGATGATTATGAGAAAATTGAGATGTGTCAGTGGTGTCCAGTGATTTCATGGCTGTCGTCTCAGAAGGGGATTGCTGCTTGAGATGGGCACCTTTGTGTCCAGGGTAATCAAGGATCAGGGCAGTTAGTCATCACAGGTGACAGCAGGGGGAGTCTTGAAAGTGAGGGTCTCAGCCAGTTCTGGCTGCACTTTGGGCAGCACACTCGTAGCAGTCTTGCCTCTCACTGCTCACACCAGCCAAAACCAAACTCACTGACATCAAGCTGATTCTGACTCATAGCGACCCCATTTGGGTTTCTGAGGTGGTAAATCTTTATGGAAGTAGACTGCCCAGTCTTCCTTCCGTGGAATGGCTGGTGAGTTTGAACCCCCAACCTTCTGGTTAGCGGTCAAATGCCTTAGGCACTACGCCACCAGAGCTCCTTCATTACTCACACAGTCAGTGGGGAAAACATTTTTTCTGTTAAGTCAGGACCTCAAAGTTACTGTCCAGTCCTTTCCTCATTGAGAGCTTCCTTTAGGTAAGCAGATGAGTAGTTTGTCTCAACCAACCCATTTCTCACACCTTTTACAGAATGTGACTAAAATGACGTTAACACAGTAAGTCAGTTCAGCTATCTCAGTTCCTACAATAAATAAAGGGAGACCCAGGGAATCAGGAACCAAAAAATATTCTCCTAAAGCTAAGGTAATTTTAACCTGAGGAGGCTTCAAGCAGAGTAAGAGAAAGGACTTACATGTGAAGGGTCCCTTCCCTGCGGCCCCATCTGGACATTCTCAAGTATCCAGTATTTAGAGAAATGTAATGAGCCACTGGAAACTCTTGACCTACAGCCCAGCTTGCCAAGACTTGTGGTCAGGTTTGTAGGTCACCCAGCCTTGCCTAGGCTTTAAGATTTATGGACAGAAATGTGGACCATGCTTTTCCCAGGACCCAGTTAATTTAAACACAGCATTGATTTGCCACTCAGTGTGTATGTGCTAAGACTGGAGACCAAGCCTCTTGCATTGGTTGGAGTTGTTTTAAAAATCTAGTTCTTTCAGATTTCGGATCCCTGGGAGTCTCTGCAAGTTTCAAAGGAATTCAGGTATTACAGTGACAAAGTGCTTGGCTGCTACCAAAAGGTCAGTAGTTCAAACCCACCAGCCATTGTGCAGGAGAAAGCTGTGGCAGTCTTCCCCCATACAGATTTACAGCCTCAGAAACCCTATGGGCAGTTCTACTCTGTCCTGTAAGGTCATTCTGAGTCAGAATTTATCTGATGGTAGTGGGTTTTGTATTTTTTTGTTTGTTTTAGAATCTCTGTGTGTACAACTGTGAAACCAGAGGAACTAGATGGTGCCTGGCTACCACTGTCAACCACTCAGAGAGGGATCTATGTAGGAGATCCTGGATAGAGAGGGAGAACAATGTGGAACAAAACTGAAAATCATTTGGGAGGGGGAAAAATGGGGGACCAGGTTTGCTGGTCTGATAGAGCCTGGTGGGACCACTGAGACTATGGCCCCTAGCTGCCCTTCAGGTCTGGAATTGAACCCATACCTGTGGTTTCCAGCCAAACAAAAGACAGGCATATGAGTTGAACATTTACCTGAGGTAGATACACTCCTTAGAGAGATCAATCATGGGAGAAAGAAGGGCTGTTTATGCACAGGGAGACAGCTCAGGGGGCAGGAGTGCATGGAGGGATGGACTCAGGGAAGAGGGAACTATCAGGAGGAAGTGGGAGGGGAGCTGTTGCATTGGGGTAAATTGTAGTCAATGTTATGAGACAGTATATGTGAACTGTTGTATGGAAAGTTAATTTGCTTTGTAAATTTTTACCCAAATACAATTAAAAAAAAAAAAAGAAGAATCTCTATGTAGCAAATGGATTATTGTACATGAAAGAGCTTTGATAGCTGTAAAACCATATGCAAAGTAAGGTGAATTTAGTGATTATTTTGGTGCCAAGAATTCCACTCCTTCTCTGATTCTTGTTTGTTTTTTGGGGGGGGGGGCAAAATATTTTGTCTTTTCATCCACAGAATGGGTATATTTTACCATTGGTATGTCTGTCTGTTTCATAGCTACTTCCACATCTGTGTGTGTGAGAAAAAGAGAAATTAACTGAAAGCATTTCTGGAATGTATGAGAGAAAGGGTTTAAAGTTAAAGAATCTTCCCCTTCCCCCCAAAAAAAACTTCCCAAAAAAGATACTTTTGGCAAATCAGATGGGTCTTTATTTCTCCACTTTTCCTGGTTTTTGTCTTTTCAGTTAAAAACCCAAAACTCACTGCTGTTGAGTCAATTCTACTCATAGTGACCCCTCCTTGGGTTTCCAAGGCAGTATATCTACGGAAATAGATTGCCCAGTCTTCCTTCCGAGGAGCAGCTGGTGGGTTTGAACCCACTTTCACTCAAAAAGGAGCTCTGGTGGTGTATTGCCTAAGACACTTGACTGCTAACTAGAAGGCTGGCAGTTTAAACCCACTAGCCCCTCCTCAGAAGGAAGGTTGGGCAGTCTACTTCCATAGTGATACGGCCTCGGAAACCCAAGGAGGGGTTGCTGTGAGTTGGGTCCGACTCGACCTCATATAACAACAACAATAAAGTGTCTCTTGACGTAAGTCCTTCTATCTCGTCAGAACCTGAAAAGTGGCAGAAGATAATAGCACCCCATTATATACTTCCATAGCATTTCATGCTGCTGCTTAGCTTACCACAGTTGTATGACATTTTGATTGTGATATTCACCAAACCATAAGTCCCCCGTGGGCAGGGGTGCCACCTGTGCAGAGCCCTGTGGCTGGGTGTGTCTGCTTGCACACCAGTTCAGCCAGCGGGGTGATGCAGCCAGTGGCCACTCGAGAGCCCCCCGTCCCTGGGCTGTGGAGTCTCAGGCTCCGGTCAGGAACCTGACTGCCTCTCCCTTGTCTTCTTCAGGTTGTGGGCCCAGCCTCTTGGCAGATGCCAAGATGCGAGTATTTGAACGTTCGGTGTATTTCGGTGATTCTTGCCAAGATGTTCTTAGCGTGCTTGGCTCTCCACACAAGGTCTTTTACAAGTCAGAAGACAAGGTAGGGAAATGTTGCAACAGATTGAATAGGCAATCTCTTCTTGTTTATTTTTCTTAATCAACACTAACTTGTTGTTGTTGTTGTTATGTGCCGTCGAGTCAAACCTGACTCATAGCGACCCCTCCTTGGGTTTCCGAGGCAGTATCACTACGGAAGTAGGATTGCCCAACCTTCCTTCCGAGGAGTGGCTGGTGGGTTTGAACCGCCAGCTGTCTGGTTAGCAGGCAAGTGCCTTAGCCACTATGCTACCAGAGCTCCCCAACACTAACTTAATACTGAGTAAATAAGAATATTTGTTATTTCCTCTCAGAATATGTTCTACTTCAAGCTGATGGAGAACTGCCCTTACCTCTGTCCTGCCCTGAGGGCCTGCCTTTCCTTGGAGACCGGGGCCCAGTCTGTAGTCAGCCACAGCTGGTCTGTCTCCTAGGTTGATCAGCACCAGCAGCTGGGACTCCTCACACTCTTGTTTACCCAACAGCTTACTGTTATACAGGGAAGATACTTTGTAGACTTTTGGTTAATCTGAGAGTTGTGTTAAGAGGTTGAATTTTAATTTATTGTTGTTTTTTCCTGACAGATGAAAATTCATTCTCCTTCCCCTCATAAGCAAGTTCCATCTAAGTGCAATGACTACTTTTTTAACTATTTTACTCTCGGGGTGGTAAGTCATGATGTCCTGGAGAAGCATTCCGTTTCTGTGGGCCGTGGGCATGTGTTGGTGGATAGTGCTCCTGTGTACGTCTGTGTGCAGACACGCACTGCATCCGTGCCTGGCATAAGGGAACCTAGCCCCTGCTGGCTTTGCCCAGTGCTGTCTTATGTAGACACTGGGTGCCACCAAGGTGGCTCCCTGGGGTGCCTCAACTTCTTTCTTTAGAGAAACATCTCCACAGATGGAGGCTTTAGAAATCATGCAGATGAAGGTGTATTGGGAACAGTCCTTTTGCAGAGCATAGGACCCTCTTCTAGAGTCACAAAACAGGGAGATTAAAATGGAAGGCTGAGAGATAAGGAGAGTGGGCTTATCTTTTTTAATGGGATCACTGCAGAGGCAGCTGTATGCTCTGACTTAGGGTGCTGGGTGGAGCTGGTAGCCACCACCAGCACTGAGGGTCCAGCTGGTAGACAGGATGTAGGTGTGAGAAATGCCATGGACATACTGCACCGGCAGGATACAGGGAGGGCAGGCTGGCCCGGCTGTGGGCCTTCCAACCTTTGAGCCTACAGGGCTTCTGAGACAGAGAACACTTTGGTGATACAAAGCAGCGGAAGTACTCTGAGGCAGAGGCTAGGTCTGCCGTGTGAGAAAAACAACAGGAGCCCAACGGATGGGCTCTCCGGGAGGAGTGGGCAAGTCGCAGTGGGATTGTGTACTTTCAAGTATAGGGGGTGGTGGGAGAGAGAGATGCTGTGCAAGGTGGACCTCTGAGTTTGAGGGCCAGGGATGGCAGGTGGCAGAGAATATAGAAAAAGGGGACCAGCTTTAGCAGGACAGCGTGGCTGTTGGTACAGTGGTAGAGTCAGAGGCAGGTAGCCCTGGGGTTGGAGCCCTGAACAGCTGACAGGATGTAAAGCTGAGAAGGGCATGGGACAGAAGGAATATTCAATAGGTAACTTCCAATCCAGATTTGAGTCCTGGTGAGGGGTCAGGCTGGAACTCTAGTTCTAGTGTTTGCCCACCTCCTGGAGGGAGGAGTATAATGGAAACCAGGTGGGTCACAGCATCAGGATAGCCAGATGTCTTGAGCCAGCCCCTCAACAGTCAGGTGACACCTGAATCTTCTTAGTAGCCTTTAAGCCACAGTCTGCTAAATTGGCTTTTTCGTAGGAGGTACTTGTTGGAGAGAAAGTTCCACCTTGTTTTAGTTTAAGCAGTAGGAGCAGCAGCCCCCTGTGCCTGTCAGGTGGAATGGTCCCAGGTTTAGGGTGGTGTGCCTGTGGACCGCTGAGTCCCCTCACTGAAGATGCATGCTAAAGGCTTTTGACCTCAGCTGTCCCTTTGTCTGTTTTTTGGGAGGAAGGGATTGTCCCCAGGCATCCCCATTGTGGAGTGGGAGTCCAAGTTGGACATTGTCCTGCCTCAGTAACATTCCCTACTTGATCACCCTTGTTTTCTGTCCTAGGATATCCTCTTTGATGCAAATACGCACAAAGTGAAGAAGTTTGTCTTACATACCAATTACCCTGGGCATTATAATTTTAACATGTGAGTGAGTATACTAACTCAAGAAGTGAAGACCCCAGGAAAGAGATCTGTGACTTTGGTGTTCACTAAATAATTACTCTACACCTGACTTTTACTGAGCGCTTGTCACCCTGGCAAAGTGCCCAATACCTTATATTTTACTAATGGGGAAATATGTCCAGAAAGCTGGCGAGGTGATGAAGTCTGCAGACCCCGGGCCATGACCATTTTTATTTGCCCTAGTGCCTAATCTGGGCTTCCCCAGTGACTGCTGTCAGGGGCCCAGAGCCAGGGCTTTGGGCAGGTAGGTTCACCTGATGTGGTTTTTCCAGGCTGGGGAGTTAGGGTGCAGGGGTCACCAGGCTTCTGGGATACCTAGCCTTTACCCCATCTGCCTTCTTTCTCTAGTTACCACCGCTGTGAGTTCAAGATCCCATTAGCCATAAAAAAAGGTGAGTAGTGAATGCCCTCAGGAGAAAGGAGGGGTTTTGGAGCCAGAATCCCCCTGTAGGAAGGGAGAAGGATCCAAGCAGACTGTGGGAGTAGTTGGGTTGTGGAGCCTTGGCCCACCTGCTTTGCCCCTAGCCTCAGCTCCTCTGCGTTGGGCTCCTTGTTCTCAGTCTCTAGTCTCCTGGAGGACTTAAGAGTCTTTTCCTAAAATTAATTTCAAAAAATACATATTTTTGTATCACCGTGGGATTGCAGGAAGAGTTCTCATCCACAGATGCTCATCTGGGTGCCCCTAACCTGTCCTTGGTCCCTACCAGCCTTGTGACTGCTCCTTCTGCCAGTTGGCATGGCTCGTACCTCCTGACCTCCTTAACCCTCTGCCTCTGCACCGGGGCTTTCAGACAGCCTGTCTATACTCCCTTTATACTCCAACCCCAGTGCAGAGGTTGGCCAGGTCCAGATTCTGCCTAGGGCTGGGGCCACTAGTGGGGCTGCGCCATCTACCTGAGCACAGGGAGACTGAACCCAGGCTGGGCCAGTGGTCAACTGCCCTGGTATTCTTTTTTCAGAAAGCACAGATGGTCAGACAGAAACATGCACGACCTACAGCAAGGTGAGCTACGACTCTCTTACCTGACCACTGTGCACATAAGGTGGGTATGGGCCTGCCAGTGGTCACAGGCTTGTTCAGGTCCCTGCTCAACACCTGCTGCTCCCTGTTCTTACAGTGGGACAACATCCAGGAGCTCCTGGGCCACCCTGTGGAGAAGCCTGTAGTCCTGCACAGGTGAGTGGGAGGCTGCTGTGAACTACACTCCATCCAACCCAGAATGCCCACAGAAGCCTGGCAGTGGATAGTGCTTAGAAACTGACAAAAGCTTCTGGTGCTGCCACAGACATACTTGCTGGGTTCTCCCCCATCCCCCTGCACGTCGGGTCTGGGCCAACTATTCTGCATGTTTACCTGTGACACAGAGGTTTTCCACTGGGGATAGCTCCCCTCCCCCCATCCTACCTCCAGGGTTGGAGGTCTTCTCACCCCTAGCTGTGACTTAGGGAAGTGGTTTTGACTGCCTGGCCTGGACGTTTTTCCACATTAAGGCTCCTACGTGTTGGTCCACAGCCCCATGTCTGATGACCATGCTGTCTGAAGCGCCCTCTTACTGAAAAGGCCTTTCCTGGCTTCTCAGCACCCCTTCTGTGCTGACATTCTGTGCCAGGTCATGCTTTGTAGGATTCAGAGCCAAGTGAGGCCACTTCCTAGGACTTGAAAGCCTGCATGGGAAGTCCACATACACTCATAGCCACGAGACACTGCTGGCCAGGAGCTTCCATCCCAGAAGGGACTAGATGCCTGGCCTCACCTCACCTCTCATTCTGGCTTCTCTGGCCTCAGGTCATCTTCCCCAAACAACACCAACCCATTTGGCTCCACATTCTGCTTTGGTCTTCAGCGGATGATCTTTGAGGTAAGCCCTGGGACCCCAGAGATAGGCTTGCCCAGTGGTCATAGCAGGAACAGGCAGGTAGCTGAGAAAGATTGAGGTGGGCCTGACTGCCATGCTGGGCAGGTTAATCCAGCACAGCAACTCTGTCCAAGAACCTGGCTTGCCTGCTTATCATTGAGGGTTCAGAAATGGAATTTGGGAAATTCAGGGTCATCAAGGCTGAAGCAGTGGTCTGTATTCCTAGATGAGAGGTAACAAGAATGTTTCTATCTGAAAACATGAGTAAAGCAGGGAAGGGAACCATGGGGCAGGTAGGGCTCAGCTGGGGTACTGGAGCTCTAGAGCGCCAAGTGAATGAATGTACTGTGAATTGGTGGCTGTGGAGGCCTCACCGACTTGGAATGAGAATAGCCTGCCCCTGTTTTCCCTTCTGGATGTCATACCTTCTTTAGCAGGCTCTAAGCTGTTCCAGAAGGGCTGGACAAATGGGTGTGCTGAAGGGTATGTATCCCATGAGGAACAGGCAAAGCCATCTGGGGGCAGAGGCAGCCCCTGGCCTAAGTTGGGGCTTATTGACAGCTGAGATGCTCAGCCCTGTGTGCAGCTATGTTGTAAGCACATCCCCAGCCCCATATACAGGCCTCAAGTCTATTCTCTGGAGTCCCAGTCCCAGTGCTGACCCCACTAGTGGTTTTTGTGGATTTGCCCTCCTCTCCTTCACCCTTGACGCACTGTCCTTTTCTGACACCAGGTCATGCAGAACAACCATATTGCCTCGGTGACCCTCTACGGCCCCCCCAGGCCTGGTGCCCACCTGAGAACCGCAGAGCTCTCCTAGGGACACCCTCACACATGCCCCTGTGCCCTGTGGAACTGTGCACTGGATCCCTGCTCAGTGGGCCTCAATGTGCAACCCTGTGGGTTTTCTTGGCCACTCTGCTAGTGTTCAAGGGCTGTTGGGATACTCTGGAATGAGGCTTGAGCATGGTGGTCTGCGGCAGGGTAAGGGCCCAGATTATTCCTCTGTCCGTCCTCAGCCTGCAGGCACCAACCAGCAGGGGACACAGACTTCAAAGAGAAGCACAAACTCTGAGCTTTGATCCCTGGACTCAGGAGCTCTTGACTAACAGGAGGAGGCAGGCTCCGTCAGTCCTGCCCCTCACACATTGGGAAAACTTGGGCTCATGCTGTGGCTCAGGACAAGACATGGAGATGAGAACAAAGAGTCCTGCCTTGGACCACACATTGCCACGTGACCCTTAAAGCAAGCAGGTAGCATGTCTGTAGTACTTGGTTGTGACGTTTGCACTACATCCACTTTAGTTATTTGAGCTGGCTGGGGCCCATCTGGCCCACCTGCCCTTCCTTGTCCCTTTCTTGCACGACTCTTTGCCAGGCCCAGTAGGCACACCGAAGTGGTTGAAACACAACTTTCTACCCTCCGGGAATGTGCTCAGACCTGGTCCCCTCCCCTCTGAGAGCCAGCCTTCACAGTCGCCAGTGCCCCCTGCTCTGCCCAAACCGGCTGCGGGGCTGCATGTTTCCATTGCTTGCCTCTTTTGTTTGATGCCAAAGTTTTTGCCAAAGACATCTTCTTCCCTTGGTTGTGTTTTAGCATTCTGTGATGCACTGAGGGCTGGCTCCCTGGACAGTGAGTGGCCCCTGGCAAGGCCTGTTCTTGGCTCAAGGCCTCTGGGGGCTCGAAGAAGGCTGGGTCTGCTCTGTCTCTTCATGGGTCTTGCTAAGGAAGGTAGCATATGTGCTTTAAAAATAGTCATCCTTTTGAAAAGAATGAAGAAGAGAAATGTATAATTTTATCCCATTTTTAATATTTTGGTCTAGCAACTTGTGATACATAGATGACAATTTTGTGAGTTTTTCAAATGTGTGTACATATTTTTGTAAATACGACTCTTTTGTAATTAACTCATGTACAGCCTCATCCTGTATAGTCTAATGATGAATGTGCAGGGGACCTGCCCCAGGCGCCTGTGGTTCCTGGGCCAACAGCCAGGCTTGCGTGGCACTCCCATGACTTTGTGACTGACGTGTCTTCCCATGTGGACTGTGGCCTGGCCAGAGACACCCCCCCACCCCCCGCACATCCCACTGTCAGGGGCAGCCAGGACTGTTCCATCAACCTTCCTCATCCCTGTCCGTACCTTTCTCAAATAAAGCACCTATGCCCTCAGCAGCTGCCCACCGTGTGCTGTTGCTAGGATGTTTGTACTAAAATAAGTGTGATGGTGTTAGTTTTTTTGTTGAGAAAGGGGAGTGGTTGAGGAATATGGTAAAATTTATGGTGGGAGAGTTTTAGGGGAAAGGGCCCTTGGCTCCTTGTCCTCTAGTAATAGACTGACATGTCTTTGAAGAGGTTCTTGTTACCCAGTTACCATGGGTAATTGGAGGTGGGGACAGACTAGGTGGGACCATGCACTCACTTGTCCCTGTGTGTGGCTCTATGCCTCATGTGTCAGCCACACCAGAACCCAGGAGGGGATGGCTTCAGGCAAGTAGACCTGGGAAGGGGAGATCCACAGAGCTGCACAGAGCTGGGAATGCAATTTGGAGGGACAAGTGGGAAGCATAACTTGTGTCTCCTGGGTGAGTGGTGGCAAGATGCTGGGTCCCTACACCTCTAGGTGGAACCCAGCCTTGATAAAGACCTCTCCTGCATCATTCCAGGGGTCCCAGATCAGAGTAAGGTGGCACAAGGACCCTTTGCCACCTACTCCCAAAGCACACACTTAATAGGAATACCAAACATGTCTGTCACCTCAGCCCTATGTCACTTGCTGTTAGGTCCCAGACCAGCTCCCCATACGGTGGGCCAGCAGGAGTTCAACCTCCATTCTTTGGGGCCCTGTGGAGACTACACCCTGCTGTCTGGGGCTGGATCCAGAACTCCTCTCCCCTTCCTGGGTAAGGACCGCATATAGGGCAATATCTCACCATCTGGTAAACCTTCCCTTCAAGCTCCCACCAACTTCTGTGTGGGGAGCCTAGGCCACTTGGGCAGTGATGGGTGCCTAGGGGCCCCATCGGAAGGGCCCTGCAGCAGCAGGCCACGGATGCGCACAGGCTGGCCCGCGCGGCCCGTGCAACAGGCGCCACATAAGCCAGATGTCAGCGGCCGAGAGCCCATGCACCACGACCAGCTCTCGGTAAAAGCAGGGGTCGAAGGTACGCAGGTGTGGTGCAGCCGAAGGCCGGGAGATGCCAAAAGTTCGGAAAGCGGGGTGAGGCTCGGGCGTGAGCTGCAGGCGCTGTAGACACATGCCCAGGAAGACATCGTCGATGGGGAAGAGCTCAACCTGGGCACAGGCACCGGCAAGGCGGTGCAGCGTGGCCCCGGAAAGGACAAAGCCACCACCACCTGCGTAGACAGGGTAGGCAGGCAGGCCGTACACTGCCTCGGGGATGTAGTACTTGCTGTCCCGCACGCGGATTGGCCGAGCCTGCATAATCACGTCACCTGCAAGCAGGTCCTGTGCCGGATCCCGAGGCGCCAGGAACTCCAGCAGATTTCCCACGTGCACAAACACGTCGGCATCGCCCTTAAAAACAAAACGCACGTCGGGGCAGAAGGCTGAGGCCCAAGCCAGAAAGTGGATCTCCTTGAGCGTTAGGTTGAAGAAAGTGTCATCGAAGGCCCAGAGCAGGATATCCGCGTAGGCACGGCTCTCGGCGCGCAGCAGGGTGCGCCAGTGTGCTCGCGTGCCCGCCACCTCAGGGTCCGCTCCGTCCAGGCCCGCGACCCTGGGCACGCCCAGCAAGAACACACGGCGCACAAGCGCCCCCTGCACTCGGCCCTCAGCACCCCACGTTTGGCGCACCGCTTGGCGCCGCTCAAAATCTGCAGCCACCGACTTCACAGCGATAAGCAGGTCGGGTCCTCCGCCTGGCGCGCCCCTACCGAGGCATTTATGCGGCTGGTTAATGAGCAGCGGGAAGCGCCGCTGGTCCTTGGCGCGCAGGTAGCTGCGGAAGTCAAAGGGTCCGGTGGGCGTTGGCGGGGCAGGCGTGTCTTCTTGGTAGGCCGGGGGTGCTGCGCTAGCGTCCGGTGCCTGGAATGCGCGGGTCACTAGAGTGGGCTTCCGCGCCGCCTTCCCTAGCGCTCGCGGTGCGCTCGTCGTTGGGGCCGTGCTGTCGCGCTGCGCATAAAGTAGGAGGCCAAGGGCCACGCCAAGGAGCAGCGTGAGCGCCGCGTCCCCACGTAGGCGCAGCCTCCGCCGCATGTTGGCTCGGCCAGCGCCGGCGCCCCCTGCGGAGAAACGCTGTTAGGGGAGCTTGGCAGGGGCTCTCGGCCCCGCCTCCCTGAGAGGAGGGGGCGGAGGCCACGCCTAGGGGTCTCCCCTGTTGTAGTTCTTCTCTGGGTCCTGATACTCCTGCCCGGATGGAAAGCGGTTCCTGCTGTATCCAAACCCCCACCTTCAGCCCTGGCCCAGACCGGTGCCCCCAAGCCTGGGCTGAGAGACGCAGGGAACCTCGGCCCTACTGCCCCGCCCTCCCCGGGTCCCTAGTCCTTCACCCCTCCCCCACGCCGCACCATGGAATCCCAACACTCACGTTTGGCCCTCCGGAGCGGCGCGGCGCGGGCCCCGGATGCCGGGGCCTCGGGGGCTCAGAGCGGGGTCCCAGGGGCGGCCATGGACGGGGCCTGGGCCAAATGCAGCGTTGGCAGGAAGGGGGGGGGGCCCGGGACCGCAGCCACGTGACCTTCCAGCTGTGCGCGCTCGGACATCTGTGCTCAGCTCCGCCCAGGCTCCAGGAGCCGCGTCTTGGAGTAAGGGCTAACCCCTGAGAGGGATTCTCCTCAGGGGCGACTCTTCGTTGGGAAGGCCCGAGGGCGGCGAGTTTGGGGTTCAGCGCGGACTCAGGCTTCTCAAACCAGCCTTGTCGGAGGAGCTGGAAGAAGCCTCTCTGGAGTGGGGCGAGGCCCAGGCTGCCAGGAGCCCCGAGGCATCGATGTGGGTCCCACGCCACCATCCTTGCGTCCTCGGAGCTTCTCACCTCAGCTCATCACATCCCTGGTTCTACCAGGCAGGGTCCAGTAACTGCCCCCGGCCACATGGCTGCCTCCTCATTCCAGGCGCTACCGTGCTCCCCACCAAACACACACAAACTAGACTACTTATTAATTCTTACAACTCTGGAAGGGGTTCGCATTGCTCGCGCCCAGGTGGGAACACTGGTCCTCAGGGAGCTGCATGCCTTGCCTAGGGTTACACCGGCAGAAGGTAACAGCAGTGCCCCAGGTCTTCTAGAATTCAGTCCAAGGCTCTTTGCTCTGTCCTTCTTTGCCCCTCGCCCCACCCACCCATGGGAATGGAGGACAGTGGGCCAATCCTGTCCACTTTACCTTCACTGGTAATCACTTGAAGCTGTCTCCCTGTCTCCCCAGGGGCTAAAGGACCAGGGGCCAGGCCCGAGTTTGGTTCTGGGCTCCCTAGTCCCCAATGTCTCAGACCAACATAGGCTCTCACAGGTAAAAGTGACCATGCTGGGCTCCAGCCCAGACTGAGCTGACGAGGATTGGGTCCACTTGGGACATTCCTGGAGTAAGCTCATGAGCAAAGTGTTTGATCTAGGATCCAGGTAGGAGATTGATGGCCCTTGCCTAGCTTCACTGCCACTTCTCTTCTTTGAACTCAGGACCTCCGGGTTCCAGCTCATAAGTGGGCCCTGGAGTAGACACCCTGTGGTAGTTATGTTTGTGTGTCAACTTGGCTAGACCTGGTTGAGTGGCTGGGCAGCTGGTGGTAGTTATTCCCCATGGTGAGACTGGCAATCAACTCCATAGTGGGATCTACCACAAGCAGTTGAGTAGCTGCCTTTGGGATATGGTCTGCTTCCCGTATATAAGGAGAAGCTTTGAGAATGGTCTCTAGCCTATGGCACGCTTGGACCCTGCATGTAGCTGCGTCGTTGCTCAGCAGCCTGCTATGCTCTGCTGACCTTGGGACTTACAGTGGACTTAAGTTAATGGCCTGCCATGTGGATTGGTAACATCGGGACTGCCTTTTGACTTGTCAACCTTGGACTTCTCAGCCTCAGCAGCCAGTAGCTGTCTCAGTGAAGAAATGCCTCTGGCTCCAGTGGTCCGGGAGCAGGAGGCAGAGCTGGACCCCAAGGTTGAGGGGCTTTCACCCAGCCCCAAGAACCTGGCACTTTGAACTTGGAGTTAAAGTCTCCATATTGTAAGAATAAACTCCTGTTTGTTAAGGCCATCCCATTTGTGGTATTTTCTTGTCAGAGCGCCACTAAAGAACCAGAACACACCCCCTACCCCCAGGTCTCAGGAGACAGGCTACTGGGACCAGCAGTGCTCTCCAGCACTGTCCTCTTTCCGGGGGCTGTGGCTGCTCCTCTGAAGACTTCGTCTCACCAATGTTCTTCCGTAAAAAGTTAGCCCTGTGTCCTGAGCCTGTCTCTCCTACTCACAGACTTCTCAGGAAGTGGCTTTTCCCACTCCCTCACATGATCTGGTTCTGCCCGTCACAGCAGGCAGCCCCACACTCACCCAACTAGCAAAGGCAGAAACTCTGGGGTCCTCTCACCCCTCCTCTCCTTCAGTGTCACCAGACCTGTTCATTTGCCTCCTAAAGTCTCAGTGTTCACTCTCTTCCCTCCATCTCTCCTGCGACTTCCCCAGCCTTGACCTATCCTCTCTCTGCATCCTCACCAACCTCCTGAAACCTTTCAAGGGCTTCTCCCTGATCCTAGTTTTAGGATAGAATTCAAATTCTAAGATGGCTAACCACACATACGACCTGTCTCCTCCACTCACCAAACGGTTTCTTAGGAAATCCACACACACTGCCCCCAGATCCAGCCTCCCTCTAAACTCTGTTCTTCTAACAGCCCTCCCTTAAGACCTTACTTGAAGCTAGTTATGCCTAAAACATTGCTCTTCTCCTACCATCCTCCTTACTCACATTCGTATCTCTTCCAGGAAGCCATCCCTGGTTCCTGCCTTGGTTAGGCCCCTCCTCAATGCTCCCAGAACTCCCTGTACTTCTCATTTGAAAAATGAGTTACAAACCGTGGCCTCATCCACCCTGAGACCAGAAGAACTAGATGGTACCTGGCTCCCACTATAGACAGACCCTTACACAGTGAGAGAAAATGTGGAACAGAACTTCAAAATCCTACAGATAAACAAAAAACAGATCTCATGGACTGGTTGAGATTGGAGGACTCCCCAAGACTATTGCACTGAGATACTCTTCAACTTTGAACCAAAACTAACCTCTGAGGTCACTGGCTCAAAAAACAGTGTCACTTGTAATTACTGCTCCTTTTAAAAATCACTTATATGAGACCAAATGGTCAATGATTACTTTAAAACAAAGATGAAAAATATAACGGAACAGGGAAAGTAGATTAACGGAAACAGAACAACCAGAAAGAAATGAGAATGTTCACACATTGTGAAGAATGTTACCAATGTCTAAAGAGGAGTGAAGAAAACAAAGACGCATGGAGGCTGCAAACCCCAGCCTCCAGGATCCTGAAACCAGAGGAACTAAATGGTGCCTAGTACCACTGCTGACCACTCTGAGAGGGATCACAACAGAAGATCCTGGATAGAGGAGAAGAAATGAGAACAAAACTCAAAAAAAAGAAAAAGGGCAAAGGCCACACTTACTGGTCTGATAGAGATTGATGGGACCCCTGAGACTATGGCCCTTAGAAACCCTTCAGGCCTGGAACCCAACACATCCTCATGGCTCAGCTCTCAGCTAAACAGTAGACAGGCCTATAATGTGAGCCAGTAACACCAAGGAAGGGCAAACTCCTTAAAACAACCAACCAACCATCAGAGATCAAAAGGGCAGCATCTGCCCAGGGATGAAACTGAGAGAGCAGGAAGGGACAGGAGATAAGGACGAATGAAAACAAAAGGAGGAAGTGGGGAGAGTGCAGTTGCGCTGTGGGAACTACAATCAATATCACAAATCAAAACGTGTAAAATTGTTGAATGGAAAACCAATGTGCTATGTAAATCTTCACCCAAATCACAATGTTAAAAAAAAAAAAAAAAAGTTACCAATGTCACGGAACTGCTTGTGTAGAAATTGTTGAACGGAAACCTAAACTGCAGTGTTAACATTCACCAAAAATACAATAAAGCTTTCTTTTTAAAAAAAGTTGTATTTTGTTACTGATGCTTAATTTTGGTGGTCTCATATTGGGTGTGAGCTGCGGGCAGGCAGGGTCACTCTATCTTGCTCACAAGTATTTGCAACACCCAAGATGTCTAGGCCACAGCGGGTGCCTAATGAGTGACTGTTCAATGAACACGGTAAGGACTGGCCACAGCTCCTCTCCTCGGGTTGGGGGGAGGTGAGACTGACCCCACAGCAGGTCCCCCACAGCAGCCCTCATACATGTCTCTATCCTAGTATCTGGGGTGGAATGCCCAATGGTGCACCCCAGCAAGCTTGGTGGCCCCTTGTCCCTCTCCTAGGAAGTCAGTCAACTCTGCGCCAGCAGCTTCATCAAAAAGGTCAACTGGTGTTTTAAGTGTGGTCTTCAGAGTCCCGTGGATGGACAAGGTTCAGCATTACAGCAGAAGGAACCCTAGAGGTATTGAAGTGCTCCAAGCGCTGGCTGGGCTCCTGACAGACTGCCCCTTCCTTCCCTGGGTACCCGGCCTAAACTAGGCGGCCATCGGGATCCACCAGGCCCAGCAAGGCCTCCGCCAGGCTGGTGAGCTCGTTCTCTTCCAGCGCCTCCACCAGGCGTTGCAGCGTGGCACGGCGGCCCTCGGCCTGCACAAAGCGCCGCAGTAGTTGGAAGGCCTGCTCGTACAGCCCTTCGCGCTCGTACTCATAGGCCAGCGAGTCCAGCGCAGGGTCCCGCAGTGCCCGACAGCTACGCTGCAGTGATCGGCCCACCTTGCGCCATTTGAGGCCCACCAGGCGCGCGAACGTCTGCTGGTCCTGTAGGTTCAGTGGCCGGTTAACTGCAGGGGGAGTGGGGAGGCAGGTTGAGCACAGAGGACCCTAGAGCCGGTCCCCTCCCAACCCCATGGACCGCCAAACCCAGACCCCTCAAACTCCATCCTCCTGGCGACCCTGTCTTTCTGCACTCCTCACCTATGAGCTGACCCTGAAACAGAAAAGTCTGGCCAGACAGCGGCGGTGGCGGTGGCTTCTCCTCCGACGGAGCGGGGGCCTGGGACTGCAAGGGGGCCGGAAGAACCTCCACGTCGCTACCCTGGCCCCCTAGGCCGCACGTCAGGTTCCGGAGCGCATGCTCCAGTCCAGCAAGTTCCTCGTCCCGCAGCCGGTCGGGCTAGGAAGGGGAGTGCGGCGTCGGTGGGGGTCTGGTCCGCGGATCTCTGTCCCCCCCTTCCCTGTCCCCCGCCCGGTCGCACCTTCTGGGCGAAGATGCAGTTCAAGCAGCGCTCCTCATCCGTCAGCAAAGGGTCCAGTCGCTCAGCACCAGCGCGCAGTTCCAGCTGCAACTTCAAGGAGTTCAGTGCCAGCGCCATTGCCAAGCGGCTCTGCAGCGCGGCGCACAGCTCCCCCTCGCGGTAGGCGCGGAGGAAGCGGTCGCAAAGCTGGCGCCCGCCGAAACGCAATTGCACAATCAGCTGTGGATCGCTGCGGTGGATCTTGAGTATCTGCAGCTGGTCCGGGCTCCCGCAGCTCTCTGCGGAGGTGGGCAGTCAGGCGCCGGACAGACCCTACCCGGGACCGTTCTCTGGACGGCCAGAGGAGGGGAGAAGCCCGCGGCCAAACCCCCGTCCCCGTGAGGAGACCAGCAACAACCCAGAATAAAAGCCAAGACCTCACCCAAGACGGAGGGCTACCTCCCACCCCATCTCTGAAGCCCCAGATGAAGGTGGGCCAAAAGGACTGCGGAGGGACTTTGCAACAGTGGGGCGTGTGCCCTGGGCACCCACGCCCTCTGAGTAGGCTGCTGGTGGGGCGGGAGAGGGGCAGGAGATCTCAGGTCTTCTGCCTCCAAGTGCAGCTCCCCCTGACCCGGAAGAAGAGGGGCTCTTGCCGCTCTGGGGCCGGAGCCGGACCCGCCCCCCCCCCCCCAGCTGGCTTCAGCCTCCTGTGGCCTTTGCCCTGAGATGGGAAAGAAGGATCCGGAAAGGTAGGTACTGAGGAGAGGTCTTGAGCAAGGGCTGCTGCACTGAGAGAGGAAAAGAGGAAAGAGAAAGACGCGCGATTAGTAGAAAGCAGTGCGCGGGGTCGTCGTGGAGGGAGGGAAAAGTGGAGCAGGGAGCTGTTAACGCATAAACAGGCAGAGCTTCCTAGACACGTGTGCCTTAAGCAGAGAAGACAGAGCCTACGCAACCTGGGGTCTCCCTGCCATCAAATCTTTTTCCTAACGCCACGCGGCTTAGCCAGGCCCAAGGAGTACAGGAGGTGGAGTCTCAGCCCTTGGCCCCGCCCAGAAACGGCCCCTGTGGGCCTTTCGCCCTCCGCGCGTCAGCGCACGCACCTGCCAAGGCACCCCGCAGGGCGCTGTACACTTCCACCTTCTTCTGGGGATGAGCGTAGGCATCCGACAGAGCCATCTTGTCCACCGAAGACGCCACAAAAAGGTATGCGCTGCCCACCCACTCCTCGCGTTCATTTGGCCCAGCTGCCATCCCAGCTCCTGGATATGCAGTGAAGTGTCAAAGTCATGCCTAGACCTGAAAACAGCTGTCCCGGCCCACCTGTCTCCTCCACTGCAGCCCCACCCAGCTGGCACCCTTAGGACAGGGAGTTCCCCATCTCACAAACAAAAAAACCAAACTCACTGCCATCTCAGTGGACTCGACTCACAGAGACCCCTTTTGGGTTTCCGAGGCGGTAGGTAAATCTTTACAAAAGTAGATTGCCCCGTCTTCCTTCTGTGGAGCAGCTGGTGGGTTTGAACCACCAGCCCTCTGGTTAGCAGTCGAATGCCGTAGCCACTGCGCCACCAGAGCTCCTTCTCCATCTCGCAGGCAGCCCCTTATACCTGTGGCTCTGCACAGAGCCCAGTTCAGCCCAGCCCTGCAGTGAGGACTGTCCCTGCGCTGCCTTCTCAGAGAAAGCGCCGAGGTCAGAGTGCTGGAGAGCGCGTCCCACGGCTGAGGCAGGACAAGCTCCGCCCCCTCTTCAGGCCAGCGCCTCTCTCAACTAAAGCCAAAGCTGACGGCTTAGGAGGCATCATCCTGGCTAGCGGCCATGCTCCACAGCCAGTAGTACTCATGTCCTGGCCTTATCCTCAGCTTAAACTTGAGCCTTCAGGAGGCTCTCTCACCTGTCCTCCTCCTACACATGTTCTTCTGCCTCCTGGCTTTCCAGGACGCCTGTAGTTTAAGCCTGGCTAGATTCTCTCTCCGACGAAGATATAAGTTTAAGAACTTCCCCTTCTTCCTCCTCCATCATTGTGCCTGTCGAGAGGGCTGTCTCACTCTGACTTCACGTCTGGGCAGTGATTCAGGCCTGGTCAATCAGCATATTCCACCCCCTTTTCTGTAGTGACTAGTTCAATGCTGGGCATAGGACTCAAAGTGAACCAATCAAAATCAACCCTGAAACTCTGGCTGAGCCAATAAGAGTCACTAGCTTCCCTTTTCTTGGGGCTGAGATTGTGGGATGGGCGGGGTCTCCTTTGCCTCTGCTTGGGCAAAGCTTGGCTAAGAATGAAGTCCACACAGAAGGATACAAAGCCAAGAGATGAGAGGTGCACATCTAACCATGCTGTGCCCCCAGATTTGCTGTCCCTGAAGCCACTGCACCTTGAGTTTTACAGTGATGTGAGCTAAATCATTCTTTTTTGTTCTAACATCATTGGAGATGGGCTTTTGTGCATGTAACTCAAATGGTTCTTTTACAGATTCCTTCCCTGACCAGCCAAAGTAGGGCCCCTTAGTGCTAGTATTTCCAACTGCCATCTTCTGACAAAAACCTAGAGGAGTGGGGAGGCCTCACTCACTTTCAGGTCAGTGACCTCCAAGTCACTGTCCCATGAGGCATCGTGGCAAAGTGCCCTATCTCTTCCTCCCCACTCACCTGAGGCCCCATTTCATCCTTTTCCTGGAAACACAGGCTCCAGAGCTCACCTCCTGCCAATCAGCCACACTCCCTTATTCTCCTGAATCTTCAGCTAAGAGAGGTGCTGAGATCCAACTGTGGGTACCATGGATGTCACTGCTCTGGGCAGGACCAGTGGGCCCAGCAGGCATCTATTTGCATAGGTGACAAGGAACCTCAGAGGAGGGAGTGCCAGGAGGAGCCAGGAGCACAGCCTGGGACCTGGTTGGAGGGAGGGGTAGAGATCCTGCACTCAGAGCAAAGGCTGCCGCTCAGATCTGCTCCCGGACCCTAACGTGAATGCAGTAACCAGGCAGGCTCCCTTCATCACCCAGAGCCTGGCAAGAGAACAGATACGGTCCTATTCTGGGTCTGAGCATGAGGGCAAGCCTCCTGGGGTCCTGACTCACCACAACCTTTTGGTAGAAAACACTAGTATTTGTGTATTTACCCCCAAAAATAGTCTGGAAATTATTAGGAAGTTAATATTATGTATCTCTGTAAAGTGGAATTTGGGATGGTTTTTATTTTCTTAGTATTTACCAAAATTTCCTACTTTATGTAAAATAGACACATTTCCCATGTGTTAAAGAAAAATAACTTAAAAAGCAAAATAAATAAATAACGGGATGATATTGCACAGCTGGGGGCCGAGGAAGGGAGACAAGTGGGCTATGGAGGTAGTGGCCCTGGGGCGCTCCAGGCGTAGGGCAGCAGAAATCTACCCTTGAAAGCGCTCCTCTTCTTCATCTTCCTAATCTCCCCACTTGGGAGTGCTGCTGACCTGATGGAGGTGATTCTGCCCCAAAGGCTGGCAGTAAGGGCGGGGCGGGGCCAGAGTCTGCCGACCGGACTGGAGGCAAGAGGAACCTGGAGGGGGCGGGGCTGTCCCTTCGCCTAGGACTGGACAGATGGGGGAAGTCAAACAGGAAAGGCAGGCTGGAAGTCGAGGGGTCAGTTAGCAGGGTAGAGAAGAAGCCGAGGGCCCTCGACTCCCATTTTCCCCTTGGCAACTCCTTCCCACGTGTTTGGCCACAGAAACTGGTCTTCTGGAAGCCCTGTGCCACACCCACCCGAGTGTCCGCCCTTCTGAGGGCCTGGCGGATGCTCCCGGTATAAGTCCTAGACATCTAGTTGGGCAAAGGCTGTTTGAGGCACATAAGCACCGACCCGAGAAAAATCTACCCTGAGTACTAGGGGCCAGGTCAGCATGGCACCCCATCAACACTGCTTAACAGCCAAGTGGACAGGGAAAGCTTGCCGGTAGGGTCCCTCTTGGGCTGAAAGCTGCTCACTCCCGGTGCGCCCCCTACTCAGCTGCGTCGCGTGGGACCTCTTAAGGGGAGCTTCCCAGACTCCCACTAGCCCTCCCCCACCATTCTGGGGGTTCGCACGTGCAACGGGCTGAGGCAGGCGGGGGTCTCCGCTCACGCATTGGATTAGAACCCCCGCCCCCCCCAAGTCGTAGAGCCCTGCCGCCTCTTGAAAGGCCTCGTCCGGGCCAGAACCTGCGGAGGTCAGAGTCCATACCTTCCCCCTCCGCCTCCCACAGAAACAGCCCAATAGGCCAGCAGCACCAGGCCGAGGCAGCCGCGCGTGACGGTGACAGCCGCGCCGCGTTCACGCTCCCGGCCCAGGATTCCACCTCCGCTTCTACCCGCACTAGGGAACCCCCCCGTGCCCCTGCACTAACCTGGCAGCGTCGGCCCGGCCTAGGTTCCCACGCCTGCCCGGCTCCTATCGACCCGCTCCGCTTCCGGGTGTGCGCGGAGCCTCAGGGGCGGTGCCCCAGCGGGAGCCGCCCAGTCCACCCTCGCGTTCTGTCCCTCTCGCCACCCCCGAAGGTTCCTAGCGGCTCTAGTCGGCCCAGTCGAACTCCGCAGCCGTTGCCCTGCCTCCAAGCAGAGCCCGACTGATCCGCTGAGCAAGTAAGACACTGGCGTTCGAGGCTAGACTCCAGGAAGCAGGAAGGGGCTTCGAGAAAGTTCAGTTCTCAAGAGGCCGGAGGGCTCCAGGGTGACAGCTGCCCTACCTTCTCGGGCGGAGGAATTGGGACAGATCTATAAGGGGGCGCCCCCGCCCCCTGGGGACCAGAATTTTGTGGGGTTCCGTGGGGATTGGGCTCATTGATCTGTGCTCTGTTACTCCTTGGCAGTCAGAACGGAGTATCTAAGGGTCCCAGATACAAGCCAGGCTTTGGATATCTGGAACCCCAAGTAAAAGTAGCGCAAATTCCAGGAGCGAATTTTTGCCTGGAAGAAAAGGGAAACTGGGAACTTAACTAGTAAAAGTGGTGTCAGATGTTATGTACGCACTTTGTTGTTTGGTGCGGTCGAGTTGGTTCCGACTCCTTGCGACCCTATGTATTACAAAACGAGACTTTGCTCAAACTAGAGGGACCTTAAAATAAAATGGGCAGCTTCAAAGAGAACGCAGGCTTTTCACTCATCTCTCCTCCCAAGGACGGCGCTCTGAGGTGGAAGGTTCTGCGGAGATCTGGCTGCTCGAGGGTCAGGGTCTGGACTTGAACCCAGGACACCCCAAACCCCGGAGCCGTGAGGCTTCAGAGTCTCCCTGGTTTCTCTCTGCTCCACCAACCTTCCGTAGGAAGTGCCGGGTACTACGCGAAATGTTTGGAAAGGAAGGAGCCTCCCCTCTCCGGGCGGATCCAGCTGTGCCCCGCCTGCGCCCCCGCTTTTGGATTGGCTCGTGGTCCCTGCCAATTAAGTCTGATTTTTAAAGCTCTCGCCCTGTTAACCCTGTAGTCGCCAGCGACAGGACGCAGTAAGGGCGTTGTGGATCCACGCGGAATTTGTGGCAATGAAGATTCCCAGGCCCTACCCTTTCCGAAAGCCTGATTCAGTCGGTGGGGCCGTGAAGTCTGTACCATGAACAAGTATCCAGTGATTCTGATGCCCCCGCGCAGCCTGAGAGGCCCTCGGTTTAATGGCCCTCCGGGCGGGCTCTGGACACAGTCCTGCCCTGGTCCTCAGGAGCGCTTTCGAGAGAAATCAGATTAGTGACCCCCGGTAGGCTAGTCCGGCCTTCGGATCGGGTCGGCTCGGGTGTATGTGTGTAGTAGGGCTGGAGGAGGCGACTAGGGGAAAGGAGAGTTGTTGGCAGCCAGGACCTGTGCCAGCCGCACTCCATTTTCCCCAGGGAGGACTTTTTTCCCCAAGCTTTCTGATAACATCCTCCAGATTCAGGGACCTTGGCTTTATCAACTTCGCTCATAGGTTTCCGTTCCTTCCAATACAGTATAAAGTGTGAAAGTGGTTTAAAGGCGAACCAGGAAGACTTTGAAGTCCCAGGGTGGGGCAAATGGTCGGAGAGGTTGGCCATTTCAGTGTGCCCAGAGGTACCCCGGAAGAAAGGGCTGGAGATCTACTTACAAGAAAACCACCATTGAAAATCCTGTGGAGCACAGTTCACGCATGGGGTTGCCATGAATCGGCACTGACTTCGTGAAGCAAGTAGCTAGAAACCCTTGGGTACCCACACCCAACTTCATGGGCTGAAACCTGTACAGTGGCACAGGGCCCTACGCTTGCTTTATTACCTGATTAAATGTTCTGCTGTCACTATCTTGAAATTCTTAATTTTTTAAACGAGGGGCTTTGCATTTTTACCTTGCACCCAATTCTGCAGATTATGTAGCAGTTCCAGGCAACAAGTTTTTCTACACCCAGGCCCCCGTGTTTCCGTCCCCCCCACCATGCGTTGGTCTCTGAGCCCAGGGACATCCCTCTCTCTCCAGGCAGAAGCTGCCCCCACCCCACCGTCAGGCTATGGCCGAATCCAGAGAGCAGCTGCCCCAGGAGGTGCTGGCCCTCATCTTCCGCTACCTGCCCCTGCGGGACCGCGCCGCCGCCGCTGGGGTCTGCCGGGCCTGGGCCGCCGCCGCCACCTGCAGCACCGTGTGGCGTGACACGAACGTCAGGTGAGCTGCTCCTCCCCCCTGGCGCTGCCCTTTCTTTCCGTGTATGTGAGTGTGTATTAGATGAGGATCTCTGGTAGAAACTCAGTGACTTCATATGAAAAAGCAAAATACTAACATTTATTGACCACGTACTATGTAGCAGCCACTGCTCAAAGTGCCTTTCATATGTTAATTCATTTAATGCTCACGAAAACCTTAAGGAGTAGATAGGTGCTACCCTCTCCGTTGTTCAGACAGGAAACTGAGGCAGAGAGCTTTGATAACTTCCCGAAGTTAGCAAGTTGAAGACAAGGGATTTGAATCTGGCCCTGCCTCCCTAGAGACCACTGAAAAAGGCCCGTTCCTAAAATATAATTGGCTACTCCGCCTGCGTTTCAACCTGTGGCAGATGCAACTGAAATTTTCTAAAGGGTGGGGAGAGTCTACTCTTCGCAACGAACCCTGCCTTTGTGTAACCAGGCGTGGTCAGGGCACGGAGGTGTGGATAAGGGGCGGGAAATGAGAATGGTTGAAGCGGGAATAGGGGCTTCTTCGCAGGTCGCAGGGACGTAGCCAATGCCTCTTCTGTCCCGCTCTGACCCAAGCTGTGACAGTGAGTGGGAAGGGATGCTACCGCCGTATCTGTCCGCCTGCCTGGACCACATTCACAACCTGAGTCTGGAATTTGAGCCATGGAGGAAGCCGAGCCGCTGGGCGGCCACAAAGCTGTTGACAGCGCTGGCGGGCCGTGCCCAGGGGTTGCGAGGCCTGCGCCTGGAGTGTCGCGGAGAGAAGCCTCTTTTCGATGCGGGCAGCGACGTCCTGGACGCTGTGCACGCGGTCTGCCGGGCGGCCCCCGCGCTGCGCCACTTGGACCTGCGGCGCTTGCCCTTCACACTGGACGACGCTCTGGTGCTGCAGACGGCACGCGGCTGCCCCGAGCTCCGCAGCCTCTTCCTGGACAACTGCACTCTCGTGGGCAGCGTGGGGCCAGATTCCGTGCTTGAGCTGCTGGCGGCCTGCCGGAGTTTGCGCATCCTTGGCCTGCATCTCGCCAGCCTGTCGCGCGCCGCCCTCGAGGCGCTAGCCGCGCCTGACCGCGCGCCTTTCGTGCTCTTGGCCCTGCGGTGCGCGTGTCCCGAAGACGCGCGCGCGCCCGCCCTGCCCGACGAGGCCTGGGCTGCGCTGCGCCGCCGCCACCCGGGGCTGGGCGTGGAGTTGGAGCTAGAGCCGGCGCTGTCTGCCGACACCGTGAGGCGCATCCTCCAGCCTTCGGTGCCCGTGGCTGCGCTGCGCCTCAACCTCTCCGGCGACACCATAGGCCCCATGCACTTCGCAGCGCACCACTACGCCGCAAGCTTGCGCACGCTCGAAGTGCGTGCTGCCGCCTCCGCTGAGCTGGACCAAGCTCTGGAGAAACTGGCGGCGCGCTGCGCAGGCTTGCGTGAGGTACATTGCTTCTGCGTGGTGCGGCCTGCAGTGCTGGGCGCCTTCCTAGCGCACTGCCCGCGCCTGCGCAGCTACACGCTCAAACTAACGCGCGAGCCGCATCCCTGGAGGCCCACGTTAGTGGCGTGATGAAGCAACGCCCACCTCCCCGCAGAAGTGCGGCCTCTGGGATGCGGGCTAGGGGGCCCAGGAACGGCCCAACTGGTACCACCCTCCTTTGGGGTTCTTTTGGGGCCTGTGGGATAGCGTCAGGACTAGCCCGGCACAGCCCAAGCACACTCTGGGCAGTCTACAGACGCCCCGCTGTGGCCTGGGCACACTGGGGTCAGCCTCCCCCAACCCCACCCCTCTGCGCACTCTGCGCTAGCTCCACGGACTAGGCTTTGGGGCTGGGAGGGCCCGGGCCAGGACCCAGGGTGAGTGCAATAAAAATCTTGCAGTGTCTCTGCGTCCCGTGAAAGGCGAGGTTGGCTCTGAGCTAGGAAGCCAGAGAAGGCGCGGAGACCTGAGGAGCTGTCCTGGCTGGGGTAGGAGAGATCCAGGCCCCGAGGCCCACCGCGGGAATCGGGTGGAACACTCCACCCTTCGAATGACAACGCCCCAGTATTCGGTGGGTGGGAGTCAGTTCCCCCGCTCCGTCTTTTACCCTGCCGCCCCACGCCCTGGGGCTTCACCGTGCCCGCGGACATCTAGGACTCTCAATACATACAAAGCCCGGTACAGGCAATTTCCCAAGGAGGCCGGGTAAGGTGGGGACCGGAATCTCTACACTACACGCATCTCATCCCATCCTTCCTTTTCTGTCTGCTGGTGCCAAGGCCGCGGTCTGAGCCCCGCCCCGCGGGTTCGCACGTGGCCCCCGCCTGATCTGGCGCCCCGGAGGCGGAGTAGGGCGGGGCAGGCGACAAACGCAGCACTTTCCGCGGCTTTGACTAGCCCGCCGCGGCTCGGCCGAGCGCTGAGCTGGGCGAGACTGCGCTATGCAGGAAGCGCCAGCCCCACTGCCGGCGGAGCCCGGCCCCAGCCCCGTGCCTGCCTTCCTCGGGAAGCTTTGGGCTCTGGTGGGCGACCCAGGCACCGACCACCTGATCCGCTGGAGCCCGGTGAGGGCTGGGGTCCCAAGACTCACCCAGGGGCCCCCGGGATCCCTCCACCTCAGTGAACACCCACGCCCACCGAACCCCCTTCTGGGACGGGGCTGTGGGCACTTGATTCATTGGTCTGGGGCACTTACTTCATCTTGGAGAAGTGTGCAAGATGAGGGTGAGGGGCCTTCCTCTGGGGCCAAGAAAGGGGTAGGAGCCTCCTGGGAACCTAGAACCCAAGGGATATTTGAAGTCATTCAGTTCCCACCCTACCCCATCTGACAGATGGGAAAATAGAGACCTGGGGAACTGACGGGCTGGCTCTGACTCTAGTCCGGGGCCAGAATCTGGGGCTGGTCTCTGCGTCAAAACAGACTCCTTTCTGAGAACTGAGTGCGGAGTCTGAGTCGGTTCGGGGGCCCACCATAGCCTCCCCAGGCTGGGCCACACAGTTGGTTCTCACCTGGCCTGGTCCCCCATGTTCCAGTGAACGGCAGGTCAGGTCTCTAGAGTAAAGGAGAGTGGGTGCGCGCGCCTGAGAGCGGGTCTGGCCTGGGGCAGGCACAGCTCACCAAGTCGGGGCTCCATCCGCGCGATGGGCTGGTGGTGTTCTCCGCAGAGCGGAACCAGTTTCCTCGTAAGCGACCAGAACCGCTTCGCCAAGGAGGTGCTGCCCCAGTACTTCAAGCACAGCAACATGGCGAGCTTTGTGCGTCAACTCAACATGTGTGAGTCCCTGGGCCGGGCGGGGAACAGATGTGGGTGGCTAGGTGCCCGGAGATGGGGCGACTCACGCCCCACTCACTTCCCAGACGGTTTTCGGAAGGTGGTGAGCATCGAGCAGGGAGGCCTGCTCAGGCCGGAGCGCGACCACGTCGAGTTCCAGCACCCGAGCTTCATTCGCGGTCACGAGCAGCTACTGGAGCGCGTGCGGCGCAAGGTGGGAGCTGCCGGCAGGACTGGGTGGAGGCGTTGAGAGGGCAGGCTCTGCCCTACGCGACTCTCTCAGGACGGTGCCTGTCGTCTGCAGGTGCCCGCGCTGCGCGGCGACGACGGCCGCTGGCGCCCCGAGGACTTGGGGCGGCTCCTGGGCGAAGTGCAGGCTCTGCGGGGCGTGCAGGAGAGCACCGAGGCGCGGCTGCGCGAGCTCAGGCAGTGCGCGGGACGGATGGGGCGGGGACTGGGTGGGAGGGTGCAGGCCGCGGGGTGACTCGGGGCAGCTCCTTCCTCCCTTGGGCCTCAGCGCTCCCCTTCGGGCAAATGAACCGAACCGAGGAACCCTGTGGACTCTGTGGGATGGGTGACCATCGGGTGGTCGCGGGTTCAGGGCACCTCCATTCTTTGGGGGGGGGGCACTGTGCGAGCTCTCAGGTGCCTCAGCCCCCTCCTACCCGCTCCCCCAGGCAGAACGAAATCTTGTGGCGGGAGGTGGTGACGCTGCGACAGAGCCACGGACAGCAGCACCGGGTCATTGGAAAGGTGTTCCTCAGCCCCACCCCTTCTCTCTCTTACTTCTCAACGTCCCCCCTCCCGCCCTGACCCACGCCCCGACTCCCAGCTCCCAAGTGAAGCCCCTTCCTCGCGCCCACCAGGGAAGTTCCCTGTGCAGGTGGTGGCGGGGATGGAGGATGAATTGACCCTTGTCTTCCCTTTCAGCTGATCCAGTGCCTCTTCGGGCCACTTCAGGCAGGTTCCAGCAGCGCGGGAGCCAAGAGAAAGCTGTGAGAAGGCCGGGGACGCTGGCCCCATTCCGCTTCCAGGCCCTCCCCACCAGAAGTCCCCTGCAGGCACCCCTTCTCGAGGAATCTTCGTTCCCTCCCATCCCTACAGGCCTGCTTACCCTATCAGCTCCCTCTCTACCGAAGGACCCTCCTCCTCCCCCAACCCTCCCCACCCTCCTGCTCACCCCCAAGCTTCTTCTCTTCCACCTCAGTCATCCTCAGCAGAGGACCTGGGGCTCAAACCATGCTCCCTCCCTCCCTTCTCTACCCCCCAAAGGGCCCCCATCTCTAGTGGGAGCCCCTTCTACCTCCAGCATGTGACCGACGCCCTGGCAACAGGCCTCAGCTCTGCTGACTTGGCTGCTGGGGCCTGAGGGAGGGAGGTGGAGGCTGAAGGGCGTGGAGGCTGAGCCTGCCCTGCCCCCCAGCCCATGACTGGACCACCCTCCACAGGTCCCTGATGCTGGATGAGGGGGGCACATGTTCATCACCTGCCAAATTCAGCTGCCCCCTACCTGGTGCCATCCTGCAGGACCCCTACTTCATCCAGTCAGTAAGTATGTACTTCTCCCCCTCCCCGGGGCACAGCTGGACTTATGGGGAGCTGCCTCATTCCCTCAGAAGAGAAGATGGACATCAGCCCCCCTCCCCCAAGCCCCCAGACCTCTTCTCTCAGACCTGGTCCAACTGGGTGCTGTGGGGTTCTGGCTCTCCCTGTGGCTTGAGTCAAGGGCTGGGCCTGGTGTTCTAATTGCAGCCACTCTCAGAGACCACCTCTAGCCTCAGTAGCCCTCACAGGGTCAGGGGACCTGTCATCTCGGACATCCCCGAAGATTCCCCATCCCCAGAAGGGACTGGACTTTCTCCCTCCAGTGGTGATGGGAGGTAAGGGGGCAGGGGCTACCCTCTGGGGAGCCTGTGGGGGAGGGGCTGGCTGGTAGCCACATGGCTGTGGGGGTCAGGGGAGCGGGTAGGGCCGGGGTCTGGTTGAAGCTTTTCTCTGGTGCAGGGAGAAGGGTCTGGCACTGCTCAAAGAAGAGCCAGCCAGCCCAGGGGGGAAAGTCGAGGCTGGGCTGGCCCTGGCCCCAAACGAGTGTGACTTCTGCGTGACAGCCCCCCCACTGCTGCCTGTGGCTGTGGTCCAGGCCATCCTGGAAGAGAAAGGGAGCTTCAGCCCTGAGGGGCCCAGGAGTGCCCAGCAGCCTGAACCAAGGGGCCCCAGGGAGGTCCCTGACAGGTAAGCAGAACCCACTTGTGACTGGGAGCCCATAGGCCAGTTTTGCAGATAGACCAGCAATTAGCAGTTGACAAACCTTCCCAGCCTTCTTTGCCCTTTGGTGGCTGAGAGGGAGGTTGGGCACTTCATCTGTGATCCTGACCTGACTTCTCAGAGTGTGCTCCAAGAAACATCAGCATCCCAGTCCCCTGAAAAGTGGGAAGCTTATTCAAACACAGAATTTCTGACTCCGGACCAGGTCAGTCAGCATCTCTGTGGAATGGTTTAGGAATCTGCATTTTAAAGAGCCTTACTGAGGTGACTGAGTTGCACAATAGTTTAAGAACTACTGATATTGACATTTGCAACATAGAGAAGGGACATTGCCTAAGACCCCAGCCACAACCCAAACCTCAGGCCCCCGGTAGGAGGCTGAGGCACTCTTTGGGTATTCTTGTGGGGAAGCTCCTCTCCTTGTATTTTCTAGACTGAGGGGGCTGGGCCGGGGTCCTAATGGGGGAGGGGTGGGCACTGCAAGCCAACAGCAGTTCTCTGTGTACAGGGAGTCTCTGGGTCTCGAGAGAGGGGGCCGGAGCCCAGAGGGTCTGCTGCCTCCGATGCTGCTCCGGGGTACCCCAGAAAGTCTGGAGCCTGCAGGTCCCCTGGATGTGAGTACCCCTCAGCTGGGGCCAGGAGTATGAGGCCTGGTAGGGTCTAGCTGTCTGTGCAGCCTGGGGAGGCCATCACTGACCCCCAAGCTCCCCTCAGGTGCTGGGCCCCAGCCTCTCAGGGCGAGAGTGGACCCTGATGGACTTGGACTTGGAGCTGTCCCTGGTAAGGCAGGGGTGAAATTGAGGGACGAGGCCCGGGGACTGCTGAACCAGGCCCTGTGGTCCATGGCTGTGGGTTTCTCTGAGCCAAAGTTGTGGTTGAGGAGGATTGATCGCCCCAAGTCCAGAGGATTCCCCAGCCTCCCATCTAGCTGCTTCCTGGGGTTTTCCTCTGCAGATGCAGCCCTTGGTTCCAGAGAGAGGTGCAGCTGAGCTGTCAGTTAAGGGGTTAAATTCACAGAGCCCAGGTAATGGTGGGGGTGACTCAGAACCTGGGGGGAGGTTGTGGTTGCTCTGAGTGATCACTGGGTGGTTGGTCGGCTAGGCAAGTCTGTGATTTGTAGGAAAGCCTCCAGAGCTCAAGCAGCTCTGCAGAGAGCTACCCGCGGCCACCCACTTGCTCATCACTGCGCCCAAGTGGGAAGGTTGTCAATGTATGCTTCACCCTTACTGAACCCAGCACACGGCAGGAGGGGCGTTTCTTCCCCAAAGAAAGGATGGGGAAAGGAGCAAAAGCGTTTCTCTCTGCTGAGTGAGACCCCACTTCTCCTAGGCAAGGACCCCACACCCGGGAGGCCGCTACTGCTGGACGTCCCGGCGGCTTTGGGAGGTCCAGCCCTCGGCCTGCCTGGGGCTTTGACTATTTACAGCACCCCTGAGAGCCGAGCCTCCTACCTGGGCCCAGGAACCAGTCCCTCTCCCTGAGAGCCCGCCCCCTGGAGCGGGCTTGGCCGAGGGGCTGGTCCCACGCAGCATGCCCTTCTCGGCTTCCTGGCGCCCCCTGGCGGAGGCTGAGAGAACCCCCTGCTACTCGGCGGCCGCTCTCCATTCCCACGCGTAGCCCTACAAATAAAACTGCATTTTTCTCAGTTTCTGGTCTCTTCTCTACCAACTAGGAAGTACAAAAGTCTTGTGTAGGGGGAGTGTCTTCGCATTCATAGAAGCGTCCAGATCCTAGAGTGTTATGTGTTTGGGGACCCCACCAATAGCGTTCCTGCCTAGACCCCTAGGCCCGGATCGTGGGCTTACAAACGACCACTGAGACCTTCGGGTAGCGGAGTTTCTGGGTTAGACCAGGCTCCGCAATGCAGCCACTCCGACCCTAGGCAAATCGGTCTCCTTCTCTGAGCATCATCTATGACAGGCAGAGAGGAGGGGTCGACCAGAACGTTAATGTAAAGTTCCTGGGTATGGCCAGGCCCAGAATGTCTCCTCCCCTGCCCTGCCCTGACTCATCTCCAGGCTCACCCGGAGAGAAAACAGACTACGTGTATGTCCCCAGCACGAGCACAGCTCCGCGACCCTGCTCCTCAGGTCCCGGGAACATAGCCCCCCCCTCCCCCGCCCTGGTTCCGGGCGGCCCTGGGCGCCCCGCCCCCCGCTGCAGCTGTTGTTCCCCCCCCACACACAGGCCCAGCATTTTCTGCACTGTCATCTCCTGCGTGACTGAGGCTCGATCGGTGAGTGGCACCGCCCAGAGCGGACCGGACCCGTAGCCCCATCCCAACCAGTTGGGGGCGGGAGAGAAACTGAGATTAGGCAGAACCAGCCTCCCGCCACCAGCAGCGCGCTCCGAGGAGGTCGGTGAGCCCCGCCCTTCCCCAGGACTCTTAAAACCCAGGGACCGGGTGGAGAAGAGATAAAGGTAGCCTTGTCGGCGCACATGCGCAAAGACTCCCTCAGTTTCCTCGCTGGCTGCGGGAGTGGGGGGACCGCTGCCGAACCCCTGCAGCTGCGCTACCGCTTGGGGCTGCATGGCGCTCCCCGAAGGATGTGGCCTATGATCTTGAAGGACTGGCTCCGAGGCCGAACGGGTGCAACGTAGCTTCGGAATTCCCTTCCGAGCAGTGAGAACCAGGAAGGTCTCGGACGAGATGGGGTCCGGGTTACCCAGACAGGACCAAGGGCAGGACTTGGGATTATGGGAGAAGGAAGCTAACAAGAAGTGAGGAAGAAGGGAAGGCTAATCCAATCAGCATCCCCCCTCCCGGTCTAGAGTAGATGCTGATCCCCCTCTTCCCACTCCCCCCATGATTGGGTCAGTCACTGGGAGGCCTTCGTGGAAGAAGGCAGAGGGTCTTCGAGTGCACAGTACAGCGTGCAATGTCGTTAACTACCCAGTGGTGAGGGTATGTGCTGCTCCCTGGAGCTCACAGAAGGAGCCAGCCTGCCTTTGGGAGACTTAGCACTGCAATGGATAAGGGAGCATTTGAGTCTTGGAGAATGGGTCCACTAGGGGGAGGGAAAGGGCATTCCAGACACAGGGAACTGCGTGGGCTCAGAGAAGCCAGGGGCTTGGCGGGTTCTGGGGGCACTGAGTGGTGGAAGGAAGTGGGGAAAGGCTTACCTCTGCAGGGGGGTGGGAGGAGCCATTCCACTAGGCACTCAAGATGGGGGCTAGGACCTCACTCTCTCTTCCAGACAAGGCCCAGATGCCTAGAATAAGGTAGAGAAGGGACCCCAAAGGGAGAAGGAGACCAGGATGAGCAATGTGTGGGTAAAATCAAGACAAGGGGAAAAACAATAAAAGTTTGGGAAACATTGGTAGCTTTTATGTTTTGGTCCCTGGAGAGTCCAAGATGAAGCAGAAGATGACTGAGTCATTCCCCCGCCAGTTCAGAGACAGTCGTGTCTCAGGTGATGGTAGGACATCATGGTCAGAGCTGGGACTCAAGAGGATTCAGGTATTCCTGGTCAGGTATCAGGGGACCAGGAGCGGCCGGAAGACCACACTGGGTGCTGCACCATGGTGGTGGTGGTGGTGGACAGTGCAGGGGCTGGACCTGGTCTGGAAAGATTCAGCAGACAGACTGGAAAGGACCTGACAGAGAGCTGGGCGTGGGGTATCTGGGATCAATCCTAGGTCCTTCTGTCTGAAGAAGTGGAGAAAGAAGTCAGTTTGTCAGTTTGGATAAACTGGGTCTGAACCGGTGGTGGTATCTGAGGGGGACGTTCCCGCTGGAGGCTGGAGTTCTGGAGGCCCTGGTTGGGGAAGGAGGTGAGAGCAAATGTTGACCTAGTCGAGTGTCACGAGGTGGTTCAAAGAGCCACAGCTAACGTTTAGGGGAACAGGAGACAGGACAAAGCAGCAGGAGAGGCAGGAAGGCAGAGGCTCGGTGCAGTGGGCTCCAGGTGCAGTGCTGCAGACCGACCTGGCTAGTCCGGGTCGTGGTGAACTTCGGCCCGCCCTCGGGTGTTCACTGCAGCCCCGGGAGAGAGGTCAAGAAAAGGGGTCCTCCGGCGCCCATTACCCGTCTCCCTCTCCACCATGCAGCCTGGACCATGGGAAACGCTCAGGAGCGGCCGTCGGAGACGATCGACCGCGAGCGGAAACGCCTGGTAGAGACACTGCAGGCGGACTCCGGGCTGCTGCTGGACGCGCTGCTGGCGCGGGGTGTGCTCAACGCGGCGGAGTACGAGGCGCTGGACGCGCTGCCTGATGCCGAGCGCAGGATGCGCCGGCTGCTGCTGCTGGTGCAGAGCAAGGGCGAGGCCGCCTGCAACGAGCTGCTGCACTGTGCGCAGCGTACCGCGCGCGCACCCGACCCTGCTTGGGACTGGCAGCACGTGGGCCCTGGTGAGCGCGCGGGGCGGGGCTTAGGGCGGAGCCGGGAGCCGGACGTGATGCGGAGGGCGGGGCAAAAGCTAAGTTAGGGGCGGGAGTTGTAACCCGGTGAGAAGGGCAGGTGGTGGCAGAGGCCAGAGAGGAGGGGTCAATTAAGCCTGAGACCCTCCCTCCGCCCCAGGCTATCGGGACCGCAGCTACGACCCTCCGTGCCCTGGCCACTGGACGCCTGAGACATCCGGCTCGGGGACCACATGCCCCGGACTGCCCAGACCTTCTGACTGGGATGGGGCTGGGGGCCCTGAGGGCTCCGAGGCGGTGCAATCCGGGATCCCCGAGGAGCCCAAGCAGGAGCTGGAAGCCGAGGCCTCTGAAGAGGCTGAGCCAGAGCCGGAACCCCAAATGGATCCGGAATCTGAACCCGAGCAAGAGCCCGAGCCGGAGCCGGAGCCGGAGCCCGACTGCGAGGCAGCGGATGAGTCTGAAGGTGTGGGGATGCCCCAACCCAGTCCTTGGCTGGCAGGAGAGCGTGAGCTGGGAAATGGAGGGCAGATCCCACCTCACTTGACCACTCTCCCCTGTTATCTTATGGCTCCTAGATTCCTGAAGACCAGAGCGTTGACCAGCAGCTTCCCGCCCAAACGGAAAGGGACGTGGGATCCTGCCTGGGCTGGGTGGATGCCACCAAGACTCCTTGTGGCTCAGTGCCGCTGGAGGTGAATAAACGCTGGAGGGTCAGCCTGAGCTGGGCTCGCTCCACGATTCTGGTTCTTTGCCCAGGAACTGGAGGGTGGGTGCAGGCCTCTGATTACCAGAGACCTGGGCATCCTGTTTCTCCACTCTCCTCCCCAGTCTTCCGCCTGTTCCTGCCCCCAGTAGTCCAAGGTGCACCCCTAGAGATTCCAGACCCAGACCCCCAGTGAGACAAATGCCTAGCCGCTGCTCCACAGCTCTTTTCCCCTCATGAGTCTTTAGGGGCCTGTGTAGGCACCATCCCCCCCTCCCTGGAAGGCCTTGGGCCTGATGTGGAGAGCAAGGCAAAGAAGACTTCTCTGTGCCTAGGAAAGGCGTAGGGTGCAGAGCCTTGAGAAGTGAGATCAGGAGAGAGGAAGGAACGGGATGGGACAATGGGTAGACAGAGCCCACACACGACATTGTAATTGCTGTTTTAATTGTCTGGCTTCCCCTGCACTGGGAGTCCAGTGAGGGTTCTGACCAGTAATTGGCACACAGAAGGCGCTGTATACATATTCATTGACTGAATGAATAAGGACTTGCCAGCTGTGTTTCTTAGTTTTACAGATGGGAAAACTGAAGCTCAGAGGAGTGGGACTGGGTCAGTCCACACAGTGAGTGTGAGGTGATACAGGAAGCAACAACTACCTCTGCTCCTCCCCTGGTCCAAGAGGGGCTCAGGACATGGGACGCACTAGGAGCCCATCAGGTTCACTGACTGTGGCTGCTGCCAGGTTATGCCAGTCTCTGCCAGAGATCAGCTGTTAGGGTGCAGGCAAAGACAGGAACAGTAAAGGCTGTGGAAGGGGTGGAGGCAGGGCCAGGTGAGCTCTTGGGCTTGGCTCACAGGCCTGCAGTGTGTGTGTGTGTGTGTGTGTGTGTGTGTGTGTGTGTGTGATGTGAGCGAGGTTAGGAACAAGCAGTGCCTTCTGGGCAAGCATGGGTGCCTTCCAGGGGAGCCCTGTTCACCCCACCAAACCTTTAGGAGCCGCTGCCTCCCAGCCCCAGGAAGTACAACACATAACACAGAATATACATAACTGGGGCAGGGAGGGGGTGCACTGGCAAGCACATCCCAGCTGGGCCTCTCTCTACTAGAACCCTTGCCCCTTGAGCCTGTGTAAAAGCCAGGGCCCCAGGCTCAGGCAATCACACCAAGAGAAGGGGTCCCGACCCCCACCAAGACCCAATGAGAGGTAGACAGCATGAAAGCTGAAGGAGCACCAAGGGGCCAGGTGGAGGAAGGGAGGCACTGAAGTCCCCAGACATCCAAAGCCATCTCATGCAGGAACAAGTTTCCACTCCCAAACCACCCTCCCCCATCCCCATCCATGCTCAGCAACCTTACTGCCCCCAGCCTCCCCTCTGCTCAACAGAAAGGTCGAACCAGGCCTGACATGCTACTACTGCTGGTCCCCAGGTCCCAGAGAGGCTAACAAAGGACACAAGCCATCTGTGGCTGCCACCCCTCCATCTCAGGATGCTCCTGCCCTCCCAGTTCCCCAAGAAACACCCAGGCCGTGGAAGCACAGAGCAGACAGCTTCATGTTCTAGGGGCCAATCTGCAGCCCTCTGTCCAGGACCTCTGCCTGTGGCCCTAGGCCAGCGTCAGTCAGGCAGCAGGCGGCCCAGCTCAGCTTCATCCAGCCGGTTGGTGGCCATGATGTGCTCCAGCTGCTGCCGGTAGCGCACCAGGTCCTGCATGAAGTGGGGCACTCGAGTCTTGTCCAGCACCCCGTGGGGCCGCAGGTGGTCCACATCCTCATAGGATACCTGCATGGAAGGAGCCGTGTCAGAGAGAGAGGCAGAACCCCAGCCCCACCCCCTCCTCTGGCAGCTGGTCCCAGCCCTCGATTGATGCTCATCACCCACTGCTCCAGGGACTCCTTTCTCTGCCCCCCTCCCTCTCCCCTTCCTGTCCATCTCCAATCTACGCACCTCTGGGCTCAGTCCTGGGTCTCTGCTCTCCTAATACCTTGTACCATTTATGCCCTACAATCCCACTCCTCTCTGTAGCCTGGCTTCTCCTCCCACCTCCAAACCTAGGTATCTCACTGTCTCCTGAACCTTCCCTAGAATATCCTTCAGGAACCCCCCCATACCTAACATGGCACTGATGAAGCTCTTCTACCTCCTGGGTACTGACGTATACCAGCCTCACTCTCTTCTGTTACCCAGGCCTGGACTCTCTCACTGTCCCACTCAGGGTAGCCACTGAATTAAAGGGATTCCACCCTTGGAAAAGCTTTCCAGCTTATCCCTTGCTCTCCAACTGCACAGCCACTGCTCCTTAGGTCAGATCACCATCAACTCCACAGGGAGAGACCACCTCCTCCTCTGCACTCCCTTCCCTATAGGCCTCTCTGCAATCCACCTCCCATGTGACTCCAGAGGGAGCCTTCTAGCCTTCATCTGTGCCACTCTTCTCAAAACCCCCCACTGACTCCCATTGTTCTGGAAGAAGGCCACCTTCCTTAGCCTGATGCAAAGGCCCAGTGCCAGGGATTTGGTCCCTGGTCACTTCTCCTTCTTCCTGACTGCCCTTTGCCCTTGATCCTCCTTTGAGAAGCAGTGTCTACACACACACACCTGCATGCTGGGTCAAGCACATGTCACAGCTGTGGACCCTGAGAACTCTTGTCACCGCAATCTCGTATTTCATCTCCTGTTCTCAATTCCACCAGTGCTCCCCCTGCTAGAGAGCTCTGGCACCCAGCCCCCAGCTGAACATCCATCAGACACTCATGGGATACTGCAGCGAGGGGGAGAGCTGGATGGGCCCTCTGCGGGCCGTGGCCTCTCACCTTGCCCAGCGAGGTCAGCAGCGGGAAATCGATGGTCCGGCGGTGCCTCAGGATGCGCAAGATGCCATCCAGGTACACCTGGTCTTTGCTGAAGCAACCTGTGAGCACAGGAGGGCTGTGAGACCCTGGGCCTGAGGCCCGGTCCCCAGCCCCCTACCCCAACTCTGGGAACTGGTCCTGTGCGCGGCTACCAACCGGGCTGCGAGGTGTCTGTCTGGCCGCGCTTGGCGCGCACGCAGTATTCCCAGCGCACGTCTGCGTCCTGCACGTAGCGCGCCAGGTCCTGGAAGAGCTGGCGGAAGGACATGCGTGCGGCTCGGTGGATGGTGTAGTACAGCAGCGCGGCGCGCCACAGAAACGGCTGCTTGCGGAATAGCACACTGTGCAGACTGGCCAAGCCCTCCTCCGTGGGGTTGGCGGGCCGCAGCCCATACTGCACCCGACCCTCGGCGCTGTGCCATGGCTGCTGCGCATTGTTCACGCCCCGCAGGTAGTGAGTGCCTGCGGGGAGGACGTGGGGCCGTGGCGTTAGGTGGGGGTGGCCAGAGGACCCACCTGCTATGGCCCTGCCCTGTGCCACCCTCAGGACCTCTAGCTGCTTAGTCTGTATCTTTGAGTCCCCAGACTCAGGCTCTCACACAGTTCCCCTCAAGTCTCCTTCCCCCTCCGTCTCCTCCAGACAAATGCATACTTATTCACTCAACTCCTGGCACTGGGAAGACCCCCCTCAGTGAACTTGCACCTAAGGATCAAGAAAGTCTTATAAGCATGCCCTGCCCAACACACAAACGCTCCGAAAATCAAAATCACACTGCCCGCAGCCCCCTGGAGGGACGCATACACACGCACACCACCCAATCCACATCCCGCCTGCCCTGTCATTTTCACAGTCATGCTGAGCCCTCAGAATAAAACACCTCTTGCCCAGAGCACTAGGACTCTTGATGAGGAGGGACAGAAAGGAATCGTGGTGTTTAGCGTCCTGCACCCTCCTCCCAGCCTACCCTGTCCCCTCCTAAAACCGGCTTCGTGTGTGGTCAAACAATTCCATTCCCAGGATCAGGACTTCCACCCACCCTGGACAGGACCTGCATGTTAACTGGGCTGGTGGGAACCCTGAATGCTCCTCTGACCTGTCTGGGCCTCAACAACTTGCCCCCGCTGTCAAGGGAAATTACTAAGAGGGCGAAAAACATAGCCAGAAGGGGCAAGACGTGGGAGAGGAGGTGGGAGAGCGGGCATGCTGGCTGGCATGTGCTGGCTGCCTCTGTGAGGGAGAGGGAGGAGGGAGCTGCTCACCAAGCGGAAGGGGAAGAAACAGATGGGGTGGGTTTACTGGGGTTCCTCACTGCCCCCACCCTTCCCAACCCCTTCTCACCGGTACCCCCCACCCACCCACACACACCCTGACCTATCTCATGCCGAAGCATGCCCTCCAGCCAGTACTGGCGGGCTCCCGTCAGGTTGATGGCCAGTGTGGGCCGGCTGTTTTCCACCATCATCACGGCCTGGGACAGCAGGTCTTCACTCAGCTGCACCACCACCTGCAGGCAGCGCTGCCCTGAGCCACAGCCACTGGTACTTGGGCCAGTGTTCAGATGGACCCACAGATGCCACAGGCTGGACACCCAATTTTCATGACCTCTGCTCAGAGCCAGCCTCCAATCCACCGGGGCCAAGACTTGCCTGGGGTTACTAGGCAGCCAGGATCCGGAGCTGGACCTGACCCCACCCACTCAGCAGCCTGATTTGGGGCATGCAGAGGAGGGGCTGGCAGGCAAGGCAGGCTCACCTCCCCCACGCAGCCTTCCTTCTGCATGTATTTGCGCACAATGGACCAGATCTGGCACTTGGTCAGCAGCTGCCCCCCGGTGGCAGCCTCAAAATGTTCGTAGGTGCCAAACTTCTCCAGGACAGCCTCGATGATGCCAATTGCCTGCACACAGGGCAGCAGTGGCTGGTCAGCCCAGGCCTCTTGGGTGGTCAGGCTGGGGGGAGGTAGGCAGGCTGCACTGACCTGGTGGACGAACTGCCCAGAGGCCTCACAGTACTTCTCTAGCACCGCCGTGGGCATGGGCTCCTGGTACTCGAACTGTGGGTTGTAGGTGTAACGGGACTGGAAGAACTTGTCTCGCTCGCTGTCCATGTTGGTTGGTCGCAGGGCCACCAGCATGCAGGGGCTCTTGTTGGCACCACGGCCTGCCTCTCTTCGGATCTTAGCAATGTGAGGCAGGGAGGCTGCAGGCCGCAGGGTGCCCCCACCTTGGTCCCGTCCCCATCCAGGTTGGGCTCGTCCCTGGATGCCACCCCCACGCCGGCCAGTGCTATTTACAGTGCAGGTACTCTCACTGCGACGCATTTGGCTGCGGTGGCCCAGGCGTGGCTCTGAGGGGGGTGGCACCTCAGGCTGGGGTCGTAGGGCTGAAGGGACTGACAGAGCCAGGGGCAAGGGCAGGGGCCGAGACCAGGGGTACAACGGTGGCCCATTTCCGTCTGAGGGCTTCAGCCTGGTGCGCAGGGACAGAGGACTGGCAGGTGGGCTGGGGGGTGCCTGCTCATACACCTGGGCCCCCGAATCCAGTACCATTCTGTCTTGGGGGTCACATCCAGCTGGGTCACTCCAACTGTCTTCCCTGTTGACCTCTGAGGACACAGAAGGGCATGTGATGGGTGTGGCCTGTGAGGCCCAGCAGGCCCTGTGCCCCACACTGTCCTTGCTGGGCCCTTGGTGAGCCTAGGGCCTGCTGCCAGGGCCCTGGGTGCCTGCTCCCCAATACCCACCCCAGCATTGCTTCCTTCTGGCAGGCTCATGTAAGTAGGCTGGGCTGCTTGTACCAACCCAGATGGTGGTTACTGGCATCCCCTTAGCCTGTGAACTCATGAGAGTAAGGAGGGTACCCTATTCATGACTCTAATCCCTGCGCTCATTGCCCACCCAGTCTGGGAGCTGGTACAGTGCAGGCAGCCCCAGCTGCGCGGGTGGTGAAGGGTCTCAGGGGCTGTCTTTTTTCTGCCTGTGGCTTCTTCTCAGCCTCGGGGCGCCTCTCCCCACCCATCTGGCTCCTCTTACCTTCTCCAAGCCCATCTGGCCTTTGCTTAGGCCAGCCCCTACATCTGGAATGTCCTCTCTCCTTAAGGCCATCTCTTTAAATCCAAATTAAAGCCACTTTTGAGGGGCAGAAAAACTTCAGCAAGCCCAAGCTGATCCCTAGTCTGCCCTCCTAGCATCTGCTTCTCTCCCCTCTGAAGCATTTTCCCAGCAGTCATCCACGACTACTGATGGGGCACTCACCCCGATTCTGTACCAGGGCTCAGTCCATTGTCTCTCCAGCCTCCGAGCCAACCCCCTGCCTGCTCAGGGACACTATTCCAGTATTTCTCCTCTCTCCCACATCATCAATTTCTGCCTCTCTGTTGAATTATGTCCATCAGCATAAACACATGCTGTTATTTCTCCATTACAAAAAACAAAACAATACCCCCGCTTGATCTTCTACTCCTCCACCTTCTGCCCCACGGCTTCTCTTCTCCCTCCAGCTGCTCCTCAAGAGTCATCTACACTGTTTCCTGTTCTTGCTTAAATTCACTTCACTTAAGTTTTTGCACCTCCCCCCCAATCAAACTTGCTCTGATAAAGGACCAGTGATCTTCGTATTGATCAGAAGCACTTGACACAGTTAATCATGCCCTCCTGGAAACACTCTCTGCACTTGACATCCTGAGCAGTCTCACTTGGTCTTCCTCCTTCCTCACTGGCTGTTCTTCGTGGTTTCCCTTGCTGATTCATTCCTACTTCCCAAACTCTTAATACTGTAATGCCTCAGGGCTTGTCTACAGAACCTTTTCTCTTCTCACCAGTTGCACGCCTACACCTACATGACAAAGGAGCCCTGGTAACCCAATGGGTTAAGTGTTCAGCTGCTAACTGAAAGGTCAGCAGTTTGAAGCCACCACCAGCTCTACAGGAGAAGACCAGGGAATATGCTCCTGTAAAGACTATGACTAGGAAACCTTTTGGGGCCATGCTACTCTGTTCTCCAGGGTAATTCTGAGTCAAAATCAACTCAATGGTATACAACACCTCCCCCCTGCCCCCGCAAGTGATCCCATCTACTCTCATGGTTTAATATATCATGCAAGCTTTGTTCAAAAACTTCAGACCAGTGCCGCCAGTTCTCAGTTCAACATCTGTACTTGAATGTGTAATGGGCATCTCAAACTAAGCGTGTCTCCTCCTTTAAATGTTTTCCCCCAAGTGCATCAGTCCCTCCCACACTTCCCTCAGATCTGCACACAACAAGTTATTGGAAAAGCCTATAAAATAGTAAACCTCCTTTCCCAACTCCACAACCTCCCCTTCCTTGCCATATTGTTCTCCACAGTAGTTATCACCATCTGAAGCTGAAGTGTTTGTTAGTTATCTGCTTCCTCTTGAGTGTCTTCAGAACCCAGAACAGAGCCTGACCTAGAGTAGTTGCTCAATAAATGAGTGAACCCAAGAGCCCTTCTCCTCAGAACTGGAATAATTTCTTCTCTGCATTTTGTTTCCCTATCTAGACTTGATCTTCCTCCTTGGAAAGTGCCTAGTTTCAAGGCTCAGGCTTCACTGGCATCCCCTTAGCCTGTGAACTCATGAGAGTAAGGAGGGTACCCTATTCATGGCTCTTTCCTAGATTCCTCACTGGTCCCCGAGCCTCTACTTGGGCCAATCCTCTCGTTCTCTTCTTTCATTCAACCTACCTGCTCTCAATTACCAGAATTCTCCGGTTTCTTTCATGTGTCAGGTCCTTCCGCCAGGAATGCCCTCCCAATGTCTCCCGGGAGCAAACTCCTAACCATCTTTCAAGGCTTGGTTCAGGCCTCACCTCTTCTGGGAAGGCTTCCCAACATACAAAGGCTCCCCAATGCCTAGGCGGTTTATCTACTGCCCTAGGCTGTCACTGTCGGAGCCTAGGTCTGTGTCTCCCCCCCATCACCACCACCATCCCTTGAATTCCCCAGGGCAGTAACGGGTCTCATTTGGCTCTAAGTCTCAAGCACCCAGCACTGGATGCAGATGAATGAACGAATGGATGGGGGGAGGAGCCCCTGACTACTGAAGGCGGGGTCTGATAATAAATGAGAGGGTGTGGTCTGCGCTAATAAGAGACCGGGAGAGGAGAAGGACCAATGGGGACGGAGAGATAGAGGAGGGGCGTGACCTGCAGCCAATAAGCGGTGAAAGGCGTGCCCAACATGGGGCGGGGCTGGAGGACAATGGAGGGGATTCCTTAGTAGATAAGGGATCGCGTCGCGGGCCGTCTCAGCCTCCCGGGGGTCCCGTCCGCGTGCCGCGTCCCAACCTGTTCGGCCCTTTACTCTTCGTCGCCGTTCCCGTTCCGCAGCACAGATCCCCTTCCGTCCAGCCCGCGGGAGCTGACACCGGTGACGCACCACTCGGGCGCGCGCACGCTCACAGGCTAGCGCGCGGGTTCGCGTCAATCTCGAGCCCGAGACCACTGCGGGGGGCGGGGTCCTTCACCGGGTCACACCCGTGGGCGGGGACTCGTCTTAGGCCCGCCTTCTCCGCGAAAGCCAGGAGGGTTTCAGGGCTTCCGGGGCGACCTGGCCGCCAGAATCGTTGCAGCCAGACTTTGCCCCAGGTGGATACATAGGTGCAGACCCGGCCGCGCCTGGAGAGGTGGGATCGCATTCTGTACACCATCCGTACTGTGCATGACCCCTGACCTTTGCGGACACTTTTATTTCACTACCCCCTCTTTCCCAACACACACACAGATGCAGGCACCCAGAGGTCGTGGCTTTATTCTGCGGGCAGCCGGGTGTCAGGAACAGGGCCCCGAGGGAAGGCAGGAGGACGGCGCGGGTGTAGGCGCAGGCACAAGGCTGAAGAGTGCTCGGCGACCAGCTGGGGGCGAAGGCGGCGGGCCAGCCTGCAGGGAGCTGAGGGCGGCCAGGCGCTGCTCCCGGGACACGTCCCCGCGCAGGTCCAGGAGGGCAGAGACGTGGTCCTCGCTGCAGGGCACCAAGGAGGTGCGTCAGCCCCGCCCCACCCCTGCCGGGCTGCCCCTCCTCCGCGCCTAGAGTCTTCTCACCTCACGTCGGGGAATTGTTGCCGCAAGCCCGCCACCTCGAGGCCAAGCAGCGTAGGGTCTCGGAGATTCAGCAGCTCCCGCAGGGCGAGCAGCACTGGCACGCACTGCGCGCTCTCTTCCAGGCCCTGCTCACGTGGAGTAGGGTCTCGAGCCGGCTGTCGGCCACCACCCCACCACTGATACCGCGTCCATCTGTCCCTCCGCAGAGTTCTTACCAAACTGACGAAGAGGTCCCGGAGCTGGGTGGCATCATGCCTCAGGCGCTCTGCGGCCTGGGCCCGCTCCTCGGCACCACGACACACTAAACGGCCCTGCATCAGAGCCCGCAGGTACTGCAGCACCACCGTGCGTTCCACCTCAGCCAGCAGAAGCTGTGGGGAGGGCGATCAGTTGGGTCCACATCACCTTTGCCACTGGCGTCTCTCCCTGCCCTCCTCCCCAATGCACCTGGACTGCGGGGCTCCGCACGCGCCGGAAGTCCCGGCATAAGCTTGCCGTCCGCTCACACACACCATCCAGCAGCTCTGGGCTTGACAGCCACTGGCGAGAGGGCAGAGCCGCGAAGAGGGGCTGGAGAAGGGCAGAGGTAGCGCTGGGAATAACCTAGACCCGGCGTTTCCGGCAGAGGCCTCCACACATCCGCTGTCTGTCTACCTCCCATCCCTACCCGAAGTTCACCTGAAGCTCTGCCAGCAGCGCTTCCAGCACAAGTCGGCAAATCCTCCTCTGCAACTCGTCCAGCGCGGCTTCCACCCGAGCCAAGGCCACTGAAGCCACCCCGTCGAACTGCAGGACAGACACGGACGACCTAGGTAGACCAAAATGTGGCTTCAGGACCAAGGCCAAGGCCCTCAGGGCCTTTAGAGGTCCAGCTACCCGGGCGCCACCTAGTGGCGTATGTGTGTGGCGGCAGGGGACGTGAGGGGCTGCTCCTTAATTTCTGAAGGTCTGAGCCTGGGAGCGGTGGGTTGGAGAGCCACAAGGACCACAGCCCGGCCAAACCTATCTCTATTGCGCGGTGTGACCTTGAGCAAGTCATGCCTTTAGGTTCCTGTTTGCTCATACGTCAGGGGAGAGAGTTAATCCCAGTCAGGAATGAGTAAAAATCATCATTAATTTGTTTGTCCTCCTCTGTCCTCTCCCCCTGTCCCAGAACATAAGACCCATAGAGGAAGGGAACTTTTCTGTTTTGTTCACAGCTGTAACCCTAAACATTATCTGGCACAGAGCCTCGATAAATATCTGTTGAATGAATAACTGCACTACTCTCTGCCAGGCACTCTGGTAGGTACTTTACATGTTATCTCATGTGATCCTTGGAATATCTCATTATACCCACATAATACTAATGGGAAAAGGGAGATTCAGAGAGATTAGGTAACATGGGCAAGGTCATACAGATAGTAATTAGCAGAACTAGGATTGGAACCTGGAGCTCTGTGAGTTCAAAGTCCCTAATGGCCTAGCATGGGCTGGTTACATACATGATAGGTGCTCAGTCAGGGCTAGTAAAGATGAAGTCCATGTCCACCTTGTACCTGAGTGCTGTGTGGTGGTTGAGTGTGGCCAGAAGGTAGGGCACGTACTTAGGGGCTATTGCTTCGCCCCTGAGGTGGTCTCGGGAGAATCGGATCAGAGCATCACTGAAGCTGCAGTGGGCAGAGGGGTGCCGTTGTCATTCTGATGCCCCCCAACCCTATTATTAGTTGCCACAGAGTTGATTCTGTGGGCGACCTCATGTGCGCACAACAGAACTGCTCCACATGGTTTGAGGCTGGGACCTTTTGGAAGCAGACTGCCAGGCCCGTCTTCCAAAGTGTCTCTGGTTAGGTTTGAACTGCCAATCTTTTGGCTAGTAGATGAGTGCTTAATCATTAATGCCACCTAGGGACCCAAGGACTCCTCCCACAACCTTAGTTCCTGGTCATCCTGCCCCACCTCCACAATACCAAGGCCCAGTCTGAAGGAGCCCTTTCCCAGTGGGGTGCCTTATTCACTCAGAGTCCCTTAGGGTGCCCTGGGAGCAGGGCTGGGTGTTGGGCATGGGTCAGTGTCTTGGCAGACCTCCTCAAGAACGCGCCCAGCTCGAACAATGCCATGCCATGCACCCGCCGCTGCAGTGACTCCCCGACCAGGCTGGTCACACGGATATTCTCATTCAGGATCTACGGGCAGGGATGGGCAGCCGTCAGCACAGCCCCAGCTCTGTCCCTTCCCCTTTCCCCTGGGGTTGCCCACCTGCCTGGCCACCTCCTACTGACCTGCAGCACAATGGCTGGCATTGGTGAGTGGTAGAAGCCAGATGGGTCTGTGTCTGGCTCCTTTTCCAAGCCCCATTCAGCTACCTCCCCATCCAATGCCTTCTGCAGCCACTGGGCCACATTCGCCTGAGGGAAAGGGTGAAGGGCAGCAGGATGTAGTGGGGCACAGGGACAGGTAGACATGTGACCAGTGAGAGACTGCACACAAAAGCCTATAGCTGATGGGCTGAGTTGCTGTGCCCGACCGCTCACCTGGACTTTGGTCACAAACATTGTCTCCAGATGTTCGACATTCTCCAGGGTCAGCAGGGGCTCCAGCTGGGACACATCAGCCTCAGGCCCCAGTTCCAAGCTCCCCATCATTTCTGGCCTGGAGATGGGTGGCAGGAGTGACATGGAGCCCTAGCTTCCAATCCACCCACTGCCCCCTGTTCCCAGGGCACTGACCCCAGGTACACATGCTGTGCCCAGTGCAGCAGGCTGAAGGCATCGGCAGCTCCCAGCTCAGGCTCCATGAGGAGTTGCTGTAGGCTGCGGCGCAGACCACCATGGAGAGTGCGGGCCCACAGCTGGACCACTTTGTAGTGTGGTGGGCAGCAGGGCGCTATCAGTGCCTCGGCTGTGACCAACTCAGCTGGCAGTGCTACCCGCAGAGTTTCGAGCCACTCCGCTAGGGCCCCTGGCACAGGCAGCAGTGATGTCCCAAAATGGACCCGCTCCAGTCCCTCCTGTAGCGCCTGCAGAAAGCGCTGCCGCCAGTCCCGGGGGGGTTGCCCAAGGGGGGTTGTGCGCCCAGCTTCTACCTCGGCCACACGCACAGCAGCCACCAGCAGGGCTGGGTCCTCCCGTGCCAGCTGCCCTGCAGCTCCCGCAGCCACCTCCACAGCACAGCCCAGTGCTTCGGTCAGAGGGCCCAGGCCCTCGAAGACTGGCAACTCCAGGCCCCCCAGGGGTACCCATGTGTCCTCTCGTAGCTGTTCCAACTCCCGCAGGCTCACGTATGCCTCCAGGAGCTGCTGGGCATCAATCAAAGCCTTCGTGTGGGCCACTGCAGCTGGCACTAGGGAAGAAGAAGGGACAGGCTCGGGCCTCAGCCTTCCCACCTGTGCAGTGGGTCCAGTGGTGAACGCTGAGGCCTGAGCGTGGGGTGACGTGTAAGACAGTTAATAACCATACAGTAGTGCACTGGCCAATCTGACAGAACAAAGGTGAGGTCCTCAAAGGCTGATGGGCCAAGCATCACCCTTTGAGCAGGTGGAACATGAGGAAGTCAGGAGTCCCAGAGGCAAGTCAGAGGGAACTGGGGAGCCATGTTACTCACTCAGCCTGTTAGGAAAACATTTCAACGTACTAACAACCAAGGTGGCCAGAGTAACTTGACCAGGTGTCAGTCCTGATTCAGACATTCTATACTGGGGAACCCCAGAATAAATGACTTTGCGTCAGCCTTCATATGCCATTTGAAGCCTGAGGTGCTCTCTGGAAGGCCTCAGGTGTGTCCCTCCATGCAGTCCTTACACAGTGATCAGTGATGTTTGTTGACTGACTGCTGGAGGGCTGAGGTGTGGGACGCCTGCATACTCACCTGCTTGAAGCCGGGGCAAAAGCTGAGACAGGGCCTGCAGTTGCTTGTGTTGGACAACCTGCTCCTGCAGGGGCTCTAGGGTCTGTGCAGCCTCGGCCATGGCCTGGAGCAACCCGTGGGCCTGGCCCAAGGCTTCCCGAATCCCCTGCACAGTCTCAAGGGCCCGGGCAAGCTGCCACACACCAGTCTGCACGCCCTCCAGGTATGACTGCACCACCGACTGTGTGCGAGAGGCATCCTATAAGGCCTGACTGGCCACAGCTCACCCCCAGCTTTCCAGCCCCTGCTCAATGCCCACCTTGATGCGGGCTTCCAAGGAGGAGGTGCGCTGCAGCTCACGGCTGCGGTACTGGCCCAGCCTGGCCAGCTGCTCCGGCCGGTAGAAGACACCGGAGGCCCACTTTAACGCTGCACCCCGGGCTAGCCGTTCCGCCCGCTCCTGCTCCGGCCACTCAAGCCCAGGACAGGAAGAGCCTTGGAGGCAGCAGCATCAGCTTCAGTCAGTCAGGCAGGGCCCTGTAGGAAGCTGCCACCTCCTTTCCTTTGTCCGTCCACCCCTCTCACTGCCCTACTGAGCTCCAGTCAGGTTTGCCTTACAGAACTGACCCCACCATTCCCACCCTCCCAGCCATCACCTGCCTCCAGCCCACCCAGCAGGCCTCCTACCAGGGGAACGTGCAGGCTCCATTTCGTCCTTGGATACTGGGTTCATGGCAGGTCCTGGAGGGTACAAAGTTAAGGTGGGAGTTGGGCTGAGGAGCTGGGTCAGAGCAGGCAAAGTGGATGCTCAGGCCCCTCTGAGAAGGAGGGAGGTTTGTGCCCACCTCCCTCAGGAAAGGAGAAGAGGGCCAGTGTGATGGGGGAGGTACCTGGGAGGCCTTCACCCATGGGCCTCAGTTGTTCCCTGTAAGGTAGGCATATGCCTCCGCTGGGCCCTGCTCCTGCTCTGAGTTGCAGAGGTCGGTTTGGTGTGGAACTCACCAAGTGCTGTTCTCCCTCCTCCGCAGACAGCCTTGGCCTTGAAGATGGCCCTCTCCCCCAGCCCAGTGGCAGAGCAGGTGGCAGAGCACGTCCTTCCCTCCACTCACTCACAGGGCCTCCAGCCCCCTCCTGGGCACACAGCGGACCTCTCGCCACGAAAACCTCATTTCCCCCTCCCAGCCCAGGAACCCCCTCCTTCTGTGAGGCCACTCCCTCCCCTCCACCCAAGCCACAGGCAGAAAGGAAGGAAGCCAGTCTTTAGCTCTTTATTCCCAACAGGAAAGAACATCCGAATTTGAGATGGGGTGGGGAGTGCTGAGTGCCACTTCCCTGAGGGCTTGGGGGATGGGTGTACTCCATGTGGCCACAGAGGCCTGACCAGCCCACGGAGATAACTCCTAGTGTCCTGGACACACACTGGACTGGGTCCTGCCTAAAGTGAGGGCGGGGTGTGCAGAGATATAGATACAGACATGGCACAGTATGAAAAGTGTGTTGGCGGGTTTCTCAAAAAGAGGGTGTGTACCTCTGGAGAGGATCAAAAGGCCACAGATGGGCTGTTGTGATCAGGGTGAAGAGGGGGTGATGGCGAGAGGGAGAGTGAAAGGCCTTGAAAGCGGTGCTGAACTGGAGTCCTATGGTGAGGATGGTGGAGAACCATGGAGGGGACTCCAGGGAACGAGTGATGTCATGGATGCCACAGTAGATTGCCCTTCCCCTAGCTGCCAGGAGTGCAGTCTGCTCAGGGTTCACAGCTGAGTCTTGCGGTCAATGTTGTGGTACAAGGGCCTGGTCCCTTTGCCTGAATTTGGAACATTTTTGAATGACCTCCAGCTTCAGAGCTTCTAGAAGGATGGGCTGAGGCATCTTTATTTTTACCTCCTCCCCCTGCCCATTTCTGCTGGTCTCACTCCCTTACAAAACACTCCCCCCAAAACACTACCTGCAGGCAAATCCCTGTCTCAGAGTCTGTTTCCCAGAGACCTTGATTTAAACAATAATAATAAATAACAAACCAAAAAAAAAAACAAACTCACTGCCCACAAGTCAGATCCGACTCATAGTGACCCCTCCTTGGGCTTCCGAGGTGGTATCACTATAGAAGTAGATTGTTCAATCTTCCTGCTGAGGAGTGGCTGGTGGGTTTGAACCACCAGCCTTCTGGTTAGGAGTCTAATACTTTAGGCACTAGGCCACCAGAGCTCCTGAGCTCCTAATAAATAGTGTTAACAATAATGCAAGGTGCCATCAAACACAGAATCCTTCCTACATGTCAGGAACTGCTCCAAATGCTTTCCATAGGTAAACATGTATGCACCGGCTTTTAAGTGGTTACAATCCAGTGGTAGTAACTGGACATTTGAGTTCCACAGTGTGGGGGTAAGAGAGAGATGAAACTGGGTGCAGAGTAGGGATGGATTGGAGTAGACAAAACCAAACCAAAACCAAACCCATTGCCGTAGAGTCATATCTGACTCATAGTGACCCCTCCTTGGGTTTCCAAGGTGGTATCACTATGGAAGTAGATTGCCCAACCTTCCTTTCAATGAGTGGCTGGTGGGTTTGAACCGCCAGCCTTCCGGTTAGCAGTCAAATGCCTTAGGCACTACACTACCAGAGCTCCTACATGTAATTAGTGCTTCCTGTCTGGCCACGAAGTGAGGGACAGGAATAGAGTGGGTGACCACAAGACGGCGGGGCAGCCTCTAGGAGGAACAAGTTTGGGTTCATCAGGCAGTGTTGCCTCTTCCTTGAAGATAGGGGCGGTGGCAGAATTAATGGTGTTGGAACAGGTTGGCAAGTAAGGTTCTGGTGGCTCCCGCCTTCAGTACTGCCAGGGCCGCCCCCTGACCTTTTCCACATCCCTCCTCCACGGTGTCCTGAGCCCGAGATCCCCGGATTGTTTTCGTCCTCTTCGGCGGTTGGACATTTGATGATGGTCCCTCAATTTTTGCGGCGGTGCTCGCAGAGAGGAATTGTGCCAGGTTCCCTGGAACGGCGAAGGACGGAAGCGGAAGCAGCGACGCTGGCGCCGGCGGCCGGGCGACCCGGAACGGAAGCGGAAGTGGCGGCGGCGCCGGCCTGCCCTGGCCTGGCGAGGGGAGGTGGCGGGCGGGCGGGCGCGATGGCGGAGGCCGGGCCGCAGGCGCCGCCGCCCCCGGGCACCCCAAGCAGGCACGAGAAGAGCCTGGGACTTCTCACCACCAAGTTCGTGTCGCTTCTGCAGGAGGCCAAGGACGGCGTGCTTGACCTCAAGCTGGTGCGACCCGGGTTAAGGGGGCGACGGAGGGGATGGTGGGCCAGGCCTGGGTCGAGAGCGGGAACCTCCGGGACGGCCCGGGTGAGCTCTCAGAAAACAAGCCACCGTCCGTGTGCTTTCTCAAAAAAAGGACGCCGGGGGCCGTTTCATTCATTCGATAGATGGCATTGAGCGCCAGCTATGTGCCAGGCGCGGGGCTGCAGGTACTGGCCCTCGTGGCCCTCTCCGCTTGGCAGAGAAGAGCATCTAAACGTGCTTTCAGAGCTTCGCCAGACGTCTTCCTGCCTGGGAGTCCAGGGGTGCTGTGGTGCCTGAGTGGAGGGTTGGGACCGAAGCCGCCTCCTTCTCAGACCCTGTCACGGCGTAACTGGGGGCCTGCTGACCCGACAGGCATCGAGGGAGTTTGAGTGTAGGTGGGTAGATGGCTGGGGTGTACTTGGGAGTGGGGCTGAGCATCGTGCACTCTGTTCTGTCTGCCAGGCAGCTGACACCCTAGCTGTGCGCCAGAAGCGGCGAATTTATGACATTACTAATGTACTGGAAGGTATCGGGCTAATCGAGAAGAAGTCCAAGAACAGCATCCAGTGGAAGTGAGTGGGGCATCTAGGAGAGCAATAAGGTCTCCTACCCAGAAGTGTCAGGGGTGTGGGGTGTGGGAGAGGTTCAGGAGAAAGCAGAGGCCATGGGACTCAAGAGTTTCTGGCAGCCCCTCTCAGCCCCACTCCCTGGACTCAGGGGCGTGGGGCCTGGCTGCAATACCCGGGAGATTGCGGATAAGCTGATTGAACTCAAGGCGGAGATCGAGGAGCTGCAGCAGCGGGAACAAGAACTGGACCAGCACAAGGTGTGGGTGCAGCAGAGCATCCGAAACGTCACAGAGGACGTGCAGAACAGCTGATATCCTCCTGGTGGGCCTGCTCTAGGGGAGCGGGGAGGGGCCCTCCGGTCCACCTGGGTTTGCTCTGTTATGCCCTGGCCTTTGTCCCTCTTGGGAGACTAGCCATGCAGCCCAGGTCTGGGGCTGCCTTCTCAGGATCCTCCTCCTTAAGTCTTGGCCTTTGATCCCTCCGGGTGTGGAACCCAGGCCCCACGACTTTCTCTGAGTGTTTTTGTGTATGTCGGACTTCTGCTAAAGAGCTGGGTCTTCTCTGTGGGCTGCCATCTGTCACCCTAGGCAGGGCACCAGCCATTCTCCTTAACCGCCACACCTTGGCCTACGTGACTCATGAGGACATCTGCAGATGCTTTGCTGGTGAGCAGAGCCTGGGGAGGGGGACTCAAGGGTGGGACTGGGCTGAGCTACAGCCCTGAGCATTAGACTCAGTGTCCGTAGAGAGTTCCACCTCTTAGGAGGGTTCCTGGGGCCTGCCAAAAGAGGAACCAGGTATGGGTAAGTCCTGATTCCAGGGTCTGCTGGGACCTTGTGGAGGGCAGCCATACTGAGTGGGCACAGGATCCTGGGGCTGCCTCCATCTGTGCTGTCCTTTGGGCTTGGCTTCTCAGGCACTGTGGAGGGAGAGAGGGAGAGACTTGAGTGCTTGTGTGTAGGTGTGCTTACGAGCAGGGAGCAGGTGTGCCTGCTTCCAAGTGTTGTTCAGTTGCATCATGGATACGGGAGTCGTTCCTGCACGCCCCCAAGCTGGTCCTGGGAAGACGTTAGTCTTGGCCAGAATACTGGTCCCTAGGGAGCAGTCCCATGAGCTGATTCATGACATTACTGCCCCGTCTCCAGCAGTGAGGTGCCCGTGACTGCTGATCTTCTGCTTCACAGATTTCCTGATGACTTACCCCTAGGGTCTCAGAAGGGAAATTCTTTAGTTCTGCCCTAGCTGCTGTGGGGGATAGGTGCAGTCTACTGTCTAGTTTTCAAAGACCATGATCTCCTGCCTCACTCTAAGGGCAGGCAACCCCCATTCCAGCTGAGCCTGAGCCCATGGGCCTTGACCAGCCCCCTTGTCATTCTAGGAGACACCCTTCTGGCCATCCGGGCCCCGTCAGGCACCAGCCTGGAGGTACCCATCCCAGAGGTGGGTGCTCAGCCCAGCCAGACAGGGTTGGTGGAGGGCGGGTGCTGGCTGTGGGGCTCGATAAGTCCCGGGTGGGGCAGGTATGGGGGAGGCCTGGGGTTTGGGGTTATCTAGGAGGACGGGCAGCTTGGGGTGGGAGAGGATGCTGTTCCCTGGCCCAGGGTCAGGCAGGAGCCAAGACTGCTCCCAACTCCACCCCCTCCCCTCCCCCCCAGGGCCTCAGTGGGCAGAAGAAGTACCAGATTCACCTGAAGAGTGTGAGTGGGCCCATCGAGGTGCTGCTGGTAAACAAGGAGGCATGGAGCTCGCCGCCTGTGGCTGTGCCTGTACCGCCCCCTGAAGATCTGCTTCAGGGCCCCCCTGCTGTCTCTACTCCTCCGCCTCTGCCCAGGCCTGTCCTGGTCCAGCCTCAGGAAGCCTCACGCCCAAGCAGTCCCCAGCCTACCGCCCCTGCCCCTGTCTCCAGCGGTATTGAGGCCCAGGGGGTGGCTGGCCCAGCTGTTGAGAGCACAGGTGAGGCACGAGGGGTGGCTGGTGACAGTTGCCTCCTGGGGCCAAGGGGCAGTAGCTGTGTGTTGTGGAATGCCGTACTCGGAGCTGGATGAGAGCTTGTGGGGGTTGACATTTCCTCGGCTCCCACTTCACCTCCCCTTGTTTAGCAGTGCACAGGCCCTTTGTAGCAGGCAAGCTGTGTTCAAAGGGCATAAAGTGGCAGTGCCCCCAGCTGCACCTGTGCTCACTGCCCTGGCAGCCCCTCTTGAACTGAGGCCACCGCAGCTATGTGATCCATGAGTCCCCCTTTTGGGCTCACACCTGTCTCCAGTAACTTGTTTCCAGGTTACCTCTTGTGGGGTGACTGGCAGTGCCTAACTCTCCTTGGGCTTAGGAACCACACCTGTGGTCATCCTGGCCATGGTTCTAGCACAGCATCCCGCCCACCGTGTGACTGGGAGGGGAAGTGGTTGCAGTGAGTTGTGGCCTTAGAACTGATAGCAAAGACAGTAGTGAGCTCAGCTCACTCCCTCTGGGCCCCACAGCACTGGATACCCGGCCGCTGCAGTCTTCTGCCCTGCTGGACAGCAGCAGCAATAGCAGTTCCTCTGGACCCAGCCCTTCTACCTCCTTTGAGCCCGTCAAAGCAGACTCCACAGGTGGTGAGTACCTGTCCACTGGGGCCAGTGAGGGCCCAGCTTCAGCTCAGGCCTGGGTCAGTGACAGAATTGGGCCTGGAACCCAGCCCTCCTGTCTCCTCAGCCAGAGCTTACCAGCTCAAGGGCCTCAGCCACCTCCCATTAACCTTGGTCTTTGATACTACAGCCCTCTGCCAGCTGGAGTGAGTGCTGGTGCCCTTTTTGTCCCCTTCCTGGGCTAGCACAAGGCCCATGGCCCTCTCTTGAGCTCTGTGTGCCACCCCCTGGACTCAGACCTCAGGAAAGCTCTCTCTGGGGGAAGGGGCTGAGACTTGGTCCTGCCCTCAGGTGCCAAAGGGGAGCAGCAGACTTCTGGGATAGGTGATGCCATTGGCCTGGTGTCCTCTCCTTCCTGTGTCTTCAGTGTTTATCTCTTCCAGGACTCATTCTTCTCAGCCCACAGTGTTGCTCAGTCTCTCTCTTTATGACATGATCTTCCTCTCTGTCCCCCTCTCACACTTCCTGTGTCTTCTCTAGTTGGACTCCTTGAAAAAGGTTGGGCCCCTCACCCCACAGTGCAACACCAGCATTGTGCGCGACGGGTTGGCATATGCATCCAGCGGCTTGGGTCCTGCTCAGGTGCCTGCTTGCTCGGTGTTGGTGCTTTTTGCTGCTGTGGCTTTAACGATGCTAGCTCTCAGCCCTTTTGCCTGACTGCCTTCTCCTTTTCAACCTCTCCCTGGCATTCCCTTAAACATTGGTACTTTTCTGGCCCCTGGCCCATTCTATCCCCAAGAGGGCCTCAGCCCCAGCTCTGGGTGGGTGAACCCAGAGCTGTCTCTGGTCTGGCTCTTGCACCTGAGCTGCAGGCCTCTGTGTGACCTTGTCTCCTGCATGCTGCCTCTCCTAGGATTTCATTCCCACACGGCCTCAGCTAAACTTACCTTCTCTCGAAAACTGCTTTCCTGCCTCTCTGCACACCCTCCTGTGAGCCCCAGTCCTCTGGACCTCCCCTTCCTGTGTCGCTCCAGTTCCATCTCCTTTTTCCTCTCTCTACTCCCAACCCCACCTCAGCTAAGAGTTTTTCCCCAGACATTGCTTCCCGTCTGTGCTGCACCCTCAACCCGTAGGGTTGGTGCTGGGTACTTCCAGCCAAGATGCTTTGGCATCCACCTCTTTACCACAGCTGACACAGGGATCTTTCTGAAATGTGAGCCTGACCATGACAGTCCCTGTTTATACAGTCCCTTTGGTGCTGGGTCAACTCAGAGCTGCTAAGCCTGGCAGAGTGAAGTCCTTGTGATCCCACCCCAACACGCTAGCTGCTTCCTCTGCTTCTTATCTGCCTCTTCCATCAGACCTTTCTGGTGGAGTAGTGACCCCATAGCAGGTGATTTGTCCTGAGGTGTGGGCTCTGGCAGGCACCACACAGGTTCTCAGTGTGGATGGGGGGGACAAAACATCCTCATCAGGCAGGGGGTGCCCGGGAGCTCAGAAAGGGGTGGGTGGGTCTGCTCCTTTCTGCAGTGCCACTGAGTTAGGCTACCTGTGCCAAGTACCTGTGACATGCCTTTGGTTCTCTGGGCTCAGCACTGAGGAATTTGGGTCCAGCAGAGGAACTCTGGTGGTGGTGTGATTAAAGTATTGGGCTGCTAACCAAAAGGTTGGTGGTTCAAAGATGAGGCATTCTGCTTCTGTAAAGATTTATAGAAATCCTGTGGGGCAGTTCTGCTCTGTTCTGTAGTGTCCATACGAGTTGTATTCCACTGAATAGCAGTGGGTTTGGTTTGGGTTTAGGGGAGACCAGCAGACAGTGCTGGGTTGGCTGGGGAAAAGGCTTGCATCCTAGTGGGGTGGAGCCCCAGGGTGGATGGATGGAATCTGAGGAAGGCAGGGTCTGGAGTGGGACGGCCTCCTTGTCTTTCAGTTTTGGAACTCCCCAAAGAGCTGTCAGAAATCTTCGATCCTACACGAGGTAGGGCTGTGTTCCTCCCTGGGGCTGAGCAGCACAGTTCATTGGTTCCCACTGTGGTTTTCTTGTCCTTCTGAAGAGCTGTGCTTGGTACCTGGGGCAAAGGGGAAAGCTGCTGGTGGGTGGGGGAGGGTCCCCTTCCTGCTCTGGTGGGTGGAGAGGTAGGAGCCGGAAGTCACTGAACCCCCCTCCTTCCCAGAGTGCATGAGCTCAGAGCTGCTGGAGGAGCTGATGTCCTCAGAAGGTGGGTGGTCCAGGATGGTGAGGGTAGGGTGGGCAGGGGGTTGGGTGGCAGTTGGGTGGGGGCTTGGCTCGGAGCCTCAGCCTAGTTCTCTCTGCAGTGTTTGCCCCTCTCCTCCGTCTTTCTCCACCCCCCGGAGACCATGATTACATCTACAACCTGGATGAGAGTGAAGGTGTCTGTGACCTCTTTGACGTGCCTGTTCTCAACCTCTGACTGACAGGGACTTGCCCTGTGTGGCCAAGACACAGACTTTCTGACCTGGGGGACCTCCCCCCACCCCATCCCTACATAGCCACAGGCCCCTGGCTTCCCCAGCCTTCCCTCACTGCACAGTTCTGCGCACGACTCCCACCCCAGCCTCCTGCACACATGCCTGACTGTGCTAGGGGAGTGGGGGAGGGGGCTCAGTCCCTCCAGCCTGGAACCAGAATGTGTGCCTCTCCTTTTCCTGCACCCTTTCCCACCTTGTGCCCTCTCCAGGCCCAGGCTCTGCTGCCACCCAGTGGCACAGAACCTGAGACCCATCCTCCTCCCAACAGGACAGGTTGTCCAGCCCCACTGCCCTGTTCCTGCCAGTCCCCTCCCCTTAGGGAGGGAAGAGTGAGGTGGAGCTGCGGGTATACCAGCACCGCCCCCAGTCTTCGCTGCTGCCTACCCCTGACCCTACAGCTCCTCCTGACCTCTTGTGTGTCCCCCTTCTGCTTAGCCCTAGCCCTGAGAAGCTGTGGGTGTGATGGGGTGCTAACCAGAAGAACAGAGGTCTCTAGATAGTCATCTGGGTTGGTTGGTCCCTGAGGATAGCCCCCCGTTTGTTCTTTTCCCTTCAGTTAGAGCCATTTGCAGAGATTTAGAAAGATTTACATAACGAATGGATTCCTATATAAAGATTATTTTTATACTTTTTGCAGTAAAAGGAAATTGTAATATTTGTACAGTGTCCAAGTGAATAAAGACCATGCCTAAGGCTATCTCTGATCAGTTTTTTTTTTTTGGGGGTGGCCCTTCCTGGGACTGCTGGCTTGATTGTGGGAGTAGGAGGATCACCTTGCAGGAGCGGGAGGTGTGGCAGCCACAGGCTGCCTACCCTCCCCGCCCCCACCTGCCGCACCTTAGGGCGGGGCGGGGCCGCCTCAGCGGGGCGGGGCGGGAGCCTTCCTACCCTCTACTCCGGGACTCCAACCCGGAACTAGCCTGGGCTCCTTTGGGAAGGTCGCGTCACCTAGCCAGGAGTGAGAACTTGGGCCGTGAGTGTGGGGCCCAGGGGCCAGGGGCCAAGCCACCTTCTCATCCTCGGGGACCTGGACCAGGTGTGCCCTCGGCTGGAGGTATCGTCGTCTCGGGGTAGGGCAGGCACCCACAGACCGGCTGGACTATGGCGCCCCCGCGAAACGTGGTGAAGATCGCAGTCCAGATGCGTGACGCCATCCCCCAACTCATTCAGCTTGACCAGGTCACCCAGCCATCACCCCTTCCATCCTCCCTGCCGTCTACCTTAGGGGTCGCCCTCCCTCGTCCTGTCTTCTTGATCCCATTCCCCTCAGAGCAGCCCGCCTCCCCCTTCCCCCAGGGCCCTCCCTCACACCTCCCTAATCCCAGCCAGAGAACGATCCTCGACTGTCTGCTTGCAGGCAAAGCCACTGGCTGCTGTGCTTAAGGAGGTGTGCGACGCGTGAGTGCGGACTCCCGGGCTATGGGGTGTGGGGAAGGGCAGGGCAGGAGGCGCCCCCTAGCGGCCTCACTGAACTCTTGGTGCCCGCGGCAGGTGGAGCCTGGCTCACCCTGAGCGCTATGCCCTGCAGTTTGCTGATGGGCAACGAAGATACATCACAGAAAACGTGAGTCCCCTCTTCACCACCTCCAGGTACTCCAGACCCCCAGTGATTCGGAGTGACCTCCCTAAGACTCTCACCCACCCACCTGATTACTCAGACGTACTGTCCCATTATCTGGTGTGCTCTTATTTTTGCTGTGTGGTGTGGTCAATTCAGACTCAGTGGGCCTATAGGACACAGTAGAACTGCCCCATAGGATTTCCGAGGCTGTAAGGGAGGGAGCCCTGGTGGCACAGTGGTTAAGTGCTTGGCTGCTAACTGGAAGGTCATCAGTTTGAACCCACCAGTATCTCTGTGGGAGAAAGATAGGGCTGTCTGTTTCTATAGAGATTACAGACTTGGTAACTCCAGCAGGAAGCTCTACTCTGTCCTACACGGTCGCTGTGAGTTGAAATTGACTCGAGGCCAATCTTTATGGGTCATCTTTAGGGGAGCAGACTGCCAGGTCATTTTCCCTCTGAGTGGCTGGTGGGTTTGAACCATTGACCTTTCAGTTAGCAGCCAGACAGTTAACCACCATGCCACTAGGGCTCCTTGATCTTTTTTTCCCTGAGCCCGAGTCCTTCATGATACTCCACTTGACCATTCTTCAGAGCCCTCCCTGACTTGCCTCCCTGTTCTGCTGTGTCTTTTCCAGAACCGCACAGAGATCAGGAATGGCAGCATCCTCTGTTTGAGCACTGCGCCGGTAATCGCCTTCATGGCCCCACCTGCCCACTCCCAGCCCCAGCCCAGCAGTGCCTCATCTAGTGAACAACCCAGCTCCTACACCTGTTAGCTCGCCTTCCCACTGCCCTGCGTCCTCACCTCTGCTTCTGCCCCTGCCAGGATCTTGAGGCTGAGCGGCTGCTGGCTGGGCTGCAGAGCGGGAGTCGTGAAGGGCGCAGGGAGGCCCTGCAGCACCTTGTCCTACTGGCCTCGGACCTCACTTTTGCCCAGGAGGTCATCAGGCGTGATGGACTTCAGAGACTAGGGACCATCATTGAAGACGGGGATGAGTGAGCACAGGGCTGTGGTGGGCTGGAGGATATGGTGGGACTGGGAGGTCCTGTACTGGCCCTGCTCAGCCCCCGATGTCCCCACCCAGCCTAGGAGAGATACTGGCCCTTGGGCTGCAGGCCTTCTCTGAGCTCATGGAGCACGGCATGGTGTCCTGGGAGACGCTCAGCAGCGCCTTTGTCAGGAAGGTGAGTGGGCTTATCTGGGGCAAAGAGTGGGGACAGTGGGGCAGTATCAGGATTTGGCCTTTCATGGGGATAGTGGTGACAACGATCACCTACCCCATTACAGGTGGTACGCTACGTGAACATGAACCTGATGCATGCCTTTGTGCAGCCCCTGGCCCTCGGGCTGCTGGAGAGTGTGGCCTTGAGCAGCCCTGCCTTGGGGCAGCTGGTCAAAAGCGAGGTGCCATTGGATAGGCTGCTGGTACACCTTCAAGTGTAAGTGTCTAGGGATGGGGTGCAAATGGAGGGAGCTGGTCCGGACACTAAATGGCCCCTGAGCCCTCTTCTTGCCACAGGTTAAACCAGCAACTGCAAACCAAGGCCATGGCCCTGCTGACTGCCCTGCTGCAGGGGGCTAGCCTTGCTGAGCGTAAGGTGAGTGTCCATGCAGTGGCTGCATAGGGTGGGTGGGAGCTGTTGGACACTATGCCCATCCCGACCTGTAGGCTGGGTGCTGATGGTGGGGCTAAATCATCTGCACCCCTTTGCCACCCACCTCAGGAAATGCTCGACTACCTGTGGCAGAGGAACTTCCGCCAGTTCATCTATAAGGTAGGAAGGACTGGGCCAGGGCCACCCCTCCCCACTCCTCCTTTCCCGGTCCCCCACCTATACTCACACCATGGACTGGCTGTCCGCCAGAACATCATCCACAGTGCAGCACCGCTGGGCGACGAGATGGCACATCACCTGTATGTCCTACAGGCCCTCACACTGGGGCTCCTGGAGCCACGTGTGCGGACACCCGTGGATCCCTACAGCCAGGTTTGGGTCTCGGGAGACATGAGATAGGGGGCCTCCTGGAGCTTGGCTTTGAATCTACAATCTTGATCCACTCCCACACCCCACCCCTGCTGCCCTCGATGCCTGCAGGAGCAGCGGGAGCAGCTGCAGGCCCTGCGCCTGGCAGCCTTTGAGCCAGAAGGGGAGTCCCTGGGTGCCGGGCTGAGCACCGATCACCGCCGTTCCCTGTGTGCCCGCGAGTTCCGTAAACTGGGCTTCTCGGTGAGTGAGCCCCACCCCATGCTGCCTTGACCCAGGGCTGCTGCTCCTGAGGGCTGAGCCCTGCCTGAGCTACTGGCGTCCCTCAGAACAGCAACCCAGCACAGGACCTAGAACGCGTGCCCCCTGGCCTGCTGGCCTTGGACAACATGCTCTACTTCTCCAGACACGCACCCAGTGCCTACAGCAGGGTCAGTGATGGGCTGGGTGGGGCAGGGCAGGTCTCCACATAGCGGGTCACCATGGCCTAGCCATGACTCCCTGCCCTCGCCCCTACCCCACCACAGTTCGTGTTGGAGAACAGCAGCCGGGAAGACAAGCACGAGTGCCCCTTTGCCCGCAGCAGCATCCAGCTGACCGTACTGCTGTGCGAGCTGCTCCGCGTAGGGGAGCCCTGTGCGTAGGACCGGCCATGTGCATCCGGGGACAGGGACGGAAGGGCAGAGAGGGCCAGGGGCTGCATACGCTTCCTCCCTGAGCCCCTCCTGCCCCCCCGCTCCAGGCTCCGAGACAGCCCAGGACTTTTCACCCATGTTCTTCGGCCAAGACCAGTTCTTCCACGAGCTCTTCTGTGTGAGCATCCAGCTGCTGAATAAGACCTGGAAGGAGATGCGGGCCACACACGAGGACTTTGACAAGGTGGGAGGGGCAGGAGCTGGGGACCTGGGCCAGGGCTGGGGCCCAAGCAGGGGTGCTCAGCTGGGCTTGGCGTGGCCCCAGGTCATGCAGGTGGTGCGGGAACAGCTGGCCCGCACGCTGGCCCTGAAGCCTTCTTCCCTGGAGCTCTTCAGAACTAAGGTGAATGCGCTCACCTACGGGGAGGTGCTTCGGCTGCGGCAGACAGAACGGCTGCACCAGGAAGGCACACTGGCCCCTCCCATACTGTGAGTTAGCGGCTCAGTCCTGGCCCTCGCCTTTCCCAGTGCTCCACGGGCCCTCGCCCTGGTCAGTGAACCCTCCTCCTCCACCCAGGGAGTTGCGGGAGAAGCTGAAGCCCGAGCTCATAGGCCTGATCCAACAGCAGCGTCTGCTCCGACTCTGCGAGGGGACACTCTTCCATAAGATCAGCAGCCGGCGGCGCCAGGGTTGCTGGGTGGACTGAGGCGGGTGGAGGGCGGCAGGGTGGGGCCAGGCGCCTCTACCACTTCTCACTCTTCCCTTTCTCCCCACAGATAAGCTGTGGTTCTGCTGCCTGTCCCCTAACCACAAGGTGCTGCAGTACGGGGACGTGGAGGAGGGCGTGGGCCCACCGCCCCCAGAGGCCCTGCCTGAGCAGCGTAAGGGGCAGGGGCAGGGGCAGGGCCAGGGCAGAGAGCAGGTGTCTGTCTCCCAGATCACCCCTGGGGCCACCTGGGCCCCAGTGGTCAGCACAGCCTTCTTCCTATAGTCCCTGTGGCTGACATCCGGGCACTCCTGACAGGCAGGGACTGCCCCCACGTCCGGGAGAAGGGCTCCGGGAAGCAGAACAAGGTGGGTGACAGGGTGAGTGACAGGGCTCTTTCCTCCTGGCCCTGACCACTCCCTGCTCAGTGCTCCTGTTCCTGCTCCCCCAGGACCTCTACGAGTTAGCCTTCTCAGTTAGCTATGACCGTGGGGAACAGGAAGCACATCTGAACTTCATTGCGCCCTCCAAGCGGGAGGTGAGTGCTGGGCCAGGCTGAACCGAGTTGGGCCTGGGGGCAGGGGGCAGATGGACAGGTCCTCAGAGCTGGTCCCATCCCCAGTTCCACCTGTGGACGGATGGGCTCAGCGCCCTGTTGGGCAGCCCTATGGGCAGTGAGCAGACACGGCTGGACCTCGAGCTGCTGCTGACCATGGAGACCAAGCTGCGCTTGTTGGAGCTGGAGAACGTACCCATCCCTGAGCAGCCGCCCCCGGTGCCCCCACCTCCCACCAACTTCAACTTCTGCTATGACTGCAGCATCGCTGAACCATGATGGGGCCTTGGTGGGTGGAAGGTGGAGAACCCCACCCTGACTAGCAGGGATTGCAGCAGAAATAAAGTCGGCTTGGCTCTTAGGTGTGTACGACGAGCCAGTTCTGAACCTCGTGGGCTAAGCCTGCCTTGATGACAGCCAGTCTTCCCTTTCTGCCTTCACACTTGGCTGGTGAATGAGGTGGGGCATCAGGCCAGGACCACAGCTTGGGGTACAGCCTGGCAGGGATAGCTGCAGAGCTGGTATTCTGAAGTCAGCTAGACCTGGCTGAGAGTCAACCCAGAGTGGACTGGCCTTGAGGCTGCAGGGGGCCCCTGTGGAGCAAGGTGGGGAAGGGGGTACTTTCTTCACGTGGCTCTGGGCTGGACCCCTTTAGCTGAGGTCAGAGAGGAGCCCTTCAGTCTGAGAACTTCAGACAAAGAGGTAAAATAGGAATTTTTAATCTTGTTTAGCTTTATGACTGAGATGGGCTTGGCTGCTAAAGCTAAGTGCTTGTAGAGGCTGGGAGAATACCTGTAGGGGACAAGGTAGGGCACAGGCCTCCGGTGTGAAATGTGGGTAGGGCATGAGGCACAGAGTCTGCTCCTCCCCAGCACCAGATCAAGCCCCCCTGGGGGCCTGGCCTCCAGACCAGGGCCTGGCCAAGGAGCTGCTATTTCTAGGGGCCAGTGGCAGCAGCATGTAGCTGGGCTATGGGGCAGACTGAGGCAGGAAGCCCCCTGGGATTCTGGGGTCGGAACTTCAGGGCTCCATGCCAACCTGGCCTCAGAGTGTTAGGGTCAGGTCAGCCCCTCCCACAAAGCGGGACTGGACGCAGGTCACATGGGGCAGCTGGGCTTGGAAGCGCCTAACAGCAGCCATGGTTATACCGGGACACATGGCCACATCCAACACACGGAGTTGCTTGCATGCCTGCCCAATGGTGTCCAGGGTTCTGCGGGGAGGCCACAGGGTAAGTGCCTGCCCAGAGTGGGCCTGGCCCAGCCCTGCCCTGTGGCTCTGTCTGCTTGGTCTCAGGATGGACACTCACTGCTCGGTGAGCTGACTGCAGCTGGACATGTTGAGGTGCTGCAGCCTGGGCCAGGAGCTGGCGGCCTGGGCCCAGCCCTCGTCAGTGAGGCAGCTGCAGTGACTCAGTACCACGTGCTCCACGCTGGGGCAGCCCCGGGCCACAGCCACCAGGCCCCTGTCTGTGAATGCTGGCAACAGACTCAGTGACAGTCTCCTCAACTGGGGGAACTGGAGTACCTGCAAGGATGGGGGTGCAGGGAGGCTGCAGCATGGCACCAAGCCCAGAGGCCTGTCCCTCCACCTCCAGCCAGAGGAGTGGCTATGGGCAGCAGGAGTCAGTGAGGAAGGAACTCCCCCTTTTTCTAAGCAGAAAGGGGGTGGAGGGGCAGGCCCCTGGCTCCAGCTCCAGGGTCCTCAGCCTGTCCACACCTCAACCCCACACCTTGGTCAAGCTGGCATCAGTCAGCTTGCTGCAGGCTGTGAGGTCCAGCTCCTTCAGATCCTGCAGCCTGAGCAGGGAGGGACTCTGTGGCTTGGGAGAGAGCTCTTTGGGGCCTAGGCTCTGATCCTCCAGCTCTGGGTGTGGCTGTGGGAAGAAGAAGCACCTGCTGCTCAGGTTCCTCCTGAGTCTGGCCCCCAAGTGCTTCTAGGGAAACACCTGGGAGGGGCAAGAGGGCAGTGGAACCCAGGGGCTAACTCTCACCCCGACCCTGAGAGTCTCACACCTGGAGCCCTTGCACAAACTCCTCACTTGGCTCCCCTAAGCCTAGGAGCCCCCAGTCACAGAGCTCCTTGCACCATGCCAGGCGCAGGACTGAGAGGTGGGTGAGGTGGGTGCAGATGGCCTGCACACTCCGGCTGGTGAGGGCCACACAGGAAGTTAAGTCCAGGACCCTGAGGCTGGGGCCAAGTTCTGTGATCAGGGAAAACACCGAGGTGTCCTACAAGGCAAGTGGAGGGAAAAGCGATGGAGAGGTGGCTGAGTCACTAGGAACGGCCCTCCCCCACAAGCAACAGGGTGCTACCAAAGGAGTCCGAAAGGGAAGCTACATGGTCCCTGGAGGATAAGGAGGCCTTGGGGGTGGGAGACAGGAAGGAGGCTGCTGGAGGACAAAGGCCTGAGCCATGGCTGGGGCAGGAAGGAGGTAGATGGAAGAGCAGGGTCCTGCCCAGCCCTGCCTGTGCTCCCAGCCCCTGCTAAAGGGGTGGTCTGAGGCAGCTCTCCCACATGGTAAATTGGACCAGGGGTAGGTATCTGATCCAAGCTAAACCAATCAGATATGCTCCCTGGGGAACTTGAACCAGAACTGCAGGTCAGATCGGGGGGTGGGCACAGAGGGGGCCCCCAGAGCAGCTGAGAGAAGCCTGGTGGGAAAGGGAAGGTGGATGGGGGCAAAGAAATGTCCTTGTGCTTCCCCAAGCAATGTTGAGAGACTTTCAGGTTGGAAGAGCCCTGGTCTCACTGACAGGCTGAGGGGAAATCCACTGAAGACGGAGGGACTGACACAGCAAAGACAGGGATGCCACCAAGGGGGCCAAAACCCAAAAACAACCCACTGCTGCAGAGTCAATTCCAACTCATAGCAACGCTATCGTATATGGTAGAACTGCCCCATAGGGTTTCCAAGGCTGTAAATCTTTATGGAAGCAGACTGCCACATCTTTCTCCCACAGAGCTGCTGGTGGGTTTGAACCACTGGTTAGCAGTTAAGCACTTAACCACTACGCTGCGAGAGTTCCTTCCTAGAGGGACCAGCTGGGCTACTGCAGGGACTGGCTGCAGCTGGGAAATGACTTTGCTGGCCCCACATCATATCATCTCCCTCAGGCCTGCCAGCAGGCTCTCCCGACAGGACTACTTCTGTCACCAGCCTCCCGTGCCTCCAGAACACTGGTTCTCAGGGAGCCCCCCTCAGAGCCCCTCCCTGGTAACTGAGTACCTGCCATGAGGCATTATACCACCTTGTGTGTGGCTGGGCCACCCAGGTCTTTTGGCCTTCCCTTTACCTGGGCCCCACTGAGGGCTGCAGGGAATTGTACTGGCAGCAGCACAGTCTAGACCCCCTTCCCTTTCTAAACCGTGTCCCAAGTCCTATTTTCCCTACTCTTCCTTGGACACAAACACTACAGCTCTTCCCTGGTGCCACACGCCAAGGTCCCCCAATCTCTGGCCTCGGCCAGGAAGTAAATAGTGGTACGCTCACCTTGAGTGAGGAGCAGTGGGCCAGGCTGAGAGAAGCCAGTGGGGGAGGAGCTCCACGAGCTGAGCCCAGGGCACGGGCCAGTTCCTGCCCGCTCACCAGGCAGCACTCGGCCATGTCCAGGCTCCGGAGCTCCCGCAGGCCCCCCAGGGCCTTACACCCTGCCTCCGTCAATCGATGCAACTTCTTCATGCTCAGGTGCTGCAGGCGCTGCAGGCTGCAGCTCACGGCCAAGAGCACCCCGTCAGCAAGCTCCAAGCAGCCACTGAGGTCCAGGGAGATGAGGCCTGATTGCTGGCGGCACAGGGCGACCACAGCTTCTGTGGACAGGTCCCGGCAGCCGTGCAGGCTCAGCTCTTGCAGCTGCAGGCCGGCCACCTGGCCCAGGGCCTGCAGCGCCTCGGGCAGCAGGCCGGTGCCACTGAGGTCCAGGGCGCGCAGCCTACCTGCCCGCTCCTTCACAAATCGCAGCAGGTTGCGGAAGGAGAGGAGGGGGGAGTGGCAGGAGTTCTGGAGGCCCAAGGAGCCTCGGGCAGGGCCGAGCTCAAAGGTAAGCTGGCAGTAGGCCAAGGAGAGGCGCTCCAGGCTGGGGGCACAGCTGCTGAGCCGGTTGAAGCTGGGGTCGGCCAAGTCCCTCAGGCCAGCCAGGTTGAGCTCCCGGAGGCCGTGCAATGCCTCCCGGACCCGCTGGGCCGTCTCTGGCTGAGCCAGCAGTGTGCCTGAGGTGAAGAGGCTGTTGCAGCCACTGAGGTCAAGGGTACGCAGGGCCGGGCAGCCCAGGATCAGGGCCACAAAGGAGGCCTCTGTGAGGCTGCCCCCACCCAGGCACAAGCTCTGCAGGTGAGGGCCCAGGTGGTGGGCGACAGACTGCAGCACCTGGCGTGAAGCTGCCGAGCCATCCAGGTTGGTCAGGCTGATGCTGGAGATGCCCCTGAGACCCAGGCTCTCGATGGCCGGGAGGGAGGCCGAGGACACGGGGATGTTGTACTGCACATCTGTCTAAGGAACAGCAGCAGGCTGGGGGTTAGCCCTGGCCTCAATGGGAACTGGGCATTGGGTCTAGTGGCTAGAGTGGCAGGCCAGAGATTGGGGGCAGGTCAGGGAAGGGCCTTCAACAACAGGGACCTGCCATGGTGTGAGGTGTATGGTTGAGCGGGATGCGAGTGGGAAGAAATCAAGTGGAGGCCCAAAGGGAGAGGGCTGTCTGGAGAACAGGAATGTCAGGGATGGGCAGGACTGGATGCCCAGGGAGGGGCAGGGACAGGGTGGGGCACTGAGCTGAGCACAGGGGTGGGGGGTATGACCTGAGGAAGCCCCACAAAGCCCCCAAATTATGCTGGACCTCAGCGTTTGCACATGGAGGCCTTGAGACCTGAGACAGGCCCTCACTTACCACAACCTTCTGCAGCCCAGGTTCCAGAGGTCTGGGGTCAGGCAGTGAAGCCTAGGACCCCTGGTGGCCTCTGAGTATGTCTGAGCCACAAAAATGTTTACCCAAGTTTTGTGTGCTAAGTGAAAGTGTGCTCACACACCTGTATGTGAACTAATACGGGGGGCTCTGGCATTGAGCCCTGGATGCTCTATAGTTGAAGAAATCCTTGTGACCCGCCACGGTGCATCTCTGGAGGAGACATCTGTCCAGGTAAGAAAGGAGGCACCTCCCACTTCTGTGGGGAGGAGCTACTAGAAGAAATCTCAGGGCATCAGGGAAGGTGAGCACACAGTGAGTGGGTGGGAGTTGGGAGACAAGGTTGGGGCTAAGTTGTGGGAATAAATTGCTTGTGTAGGAATTTGGGGAGCCCCTAGCTGAGGCATGGTATTTATAGAACCTTCCCTGATCTTGTGCCAGAGGGAGCCAAAGGCAAGTTGGTATAATTTATGTGGAGGAGGGAGAGGAAGAGAGCTTGGCTTCTAAAGCCCCTGTTTCTCTGCCCCTAGCAGATGCCCGGGTTGCAGGCAAGTGGTCCTCAAAGGGGCCTCCCCTTTAAATGTTTCAAAATGATCCTGATTCAGGAAAGCCAACTAGCTGGACAACCTATCCTGTCAGGATAGCAGAAAACCAGCTAATGTAAGCTAATGTTCCCTGCTTGGATTCCACAGAACGTCACCAAAGGGAATGAGAAAAGTCAAAAAAAGATAATCTGTGCTCCTGGGAGATGCTTAGCGATGGGATTCTCCCAGGAAGGCAGACGGGACTCATTCTCCAGGTGTGGAGAAGCCAGCCCCAGCCTCTGCTGCAGAAAAGCTGCCAAGCGTGCCTGTCCTCACGGGAAGGAGGGCGTGGGAAGAGGTGGGGGCATCCCCTGCAGTTACAGGGGTCAGGGGTCACTGAGCTGGGCTTCCAGATCTCAGTCTAGGAAGGGGGCAGTGTGGGTGAGGAGCTTGCTCCACAGATCTCATGGGCAGTGGGTCAGGGGAGGGGAAGACAGTGAGGACGCTGTGAGGGCAGTGGGTAGTGAGGAGACACCCAAGGATCTGGGTCTGTCTCTCAGATTTGAGGACAGGTAGGAAAGATCCCAATGTGTGAGGTGGGGAGAGATGGGAAAGATCAGAGAGGAAAGGTTTAAGAAAGAAAAGGTAAAACTCGCCTCCAGTTGTCTTAAAGCCTGCTTGACAGATGATGCAACTTGATGAACAGAGTAAACTGAGGTGAGGGGTGGGAAGTGGGGAGTGGGGCTGGTTGCCGAGGCAGCCGGCCTTGGTCCTGCCACCTCCACCGCTCACATGCCGCAGCAGAGGCCCCGCACAGAGGCCCTGAGAGCCCTGCAGGCACCAGTTCCAGCAGCAGGCACTGGCTTCCTCCTTTCCCTCCTGCCCGGGGCCCTGATGCCAGAAATGCTCTCCCCTCCTCCTGCCTCCCTGTGGACAAGATGGCCACAGACACAGATGAGGGGGCACTGACAGTCACCTCCAGCCCCACATCTAGGGCTGGATGATGGCAGCAGAAGGTGGCAGGGCCGGGCCTGAAGACCTTCCAGCTCTTGGGGAGGAGATGGCTTGAGACCGCCTTTCTGCTCACTCCAGGCCCCCTTTTGTTTTTTTCTTGGTGGGGAGCAGGCAGCCTCTAAGATATCACCCAGGGACTTTACCCTGCTCCTGAGTCAGCCACGTGGGAAGAGTTATCATCTGGGGGGCACAGCAGCACACAGAAACAGCAGGGCTCCTAGGTTCTGGTCGTTGGCCCCTGTGTAGGAAACACCCCCTTCCTGGGCCCTAGATGCTTCTAAAGGTCCAAGTGAGGATGCCAAGGGCACCTGCTCCAGCTTTAGCCACTCCATCCAAAGAGGTCAACTGGGCCCAGTCTCCTCCCTCCCCAACACTGGCATCTTAGAGGGAATGCAAAATTACTGGGAAGATGCCCTGAGCTGGCTAAACCTGCCATAGCCCCCATGACTGAGAGAGGCAAGGGCTCTGTCACACCTAGTGAAGCTCCAAGCTGAGACTACAGGCCTGTGTACACACCTGGAAAACCATCCTCCATCTGCCCTTCGAGTCAATTCCGACTCACAGTGACCCCATGTGACAGAGTAGGACTGCCACATGAGGTTTGCTAGGCTGTAATCCTGGTGGAAACAGATCAATAGGTCTTTCCTCCCATGGAGCCACTGGTGGGTTCCAACTAACCATTGTACCACCAAGACCTATGTCTGTCTGGTCCAACAACGCTCTCCTCCAGAAGGCTGCCAGAGGCTATGTGCTCTAGAGAGGAGTTAGGCTTGGGGCCTTTACAAACATCCCAGACCTAAGCAGCTGGAGGGCGCTCGGGTTCTTGTCTCACAGTGACCAAGCCAGCAGCAGGCAACCAGGCCTCCCCAACTCTGAGCCCAATGAGCAGAGCCTGTGTGTGTGTGCATGCGTGTGTGTGCGTGTTGGGGGTGTTGGTGATACCTCTGTTTGCCTTCTTATTTGAGGAAAACCGAGGGTCAGTGTATTAATTAATTAATCCGGTCAGGTCGTGGAGCAAGAAGTCACCACCCCAATGTGCCTCACAGACTGACGGCAGCACCCTAACACCTTGTCCTGTGTGTATCTCCCTCTAGTGCACACACACTCCTTGGGAGCTGTGTGTCCCTCGATCCTTTAAGTCCAGGGCCCAGCACAGTGCCAGGCACAAGGCAGGTAGCATCAACATCTGCATAAGGTGGACTGCCTTCAGTGCTGCCTGCAGCCTTTCCACATGCCCCTTCCTCTACCCTGTGACTGTCCTACACCTCTCGGCATGAGGCACTGGCCTTTACGTTTTCACACTCTTGATAGACAACTTGGCCTCCAAGTTCACAGAGCCGGAAGCCACCAGGCAGGAACTTCCTCAGCAAACATCTCCATACTTCCAGCCTATCTTCTGTTTCCTCAGGAAGGACAACATCCTCCCATCTAAGGCCAAGCCTTCTGTGCTAGAGCTTGTCTCAGCCATCACCCTGGGAATCTTGCATCCAACATTCCACACCTCTCTCCTCCCTCTGGGAGCTCTGGTGGCGTAGTGCCTAAGGCATTTGACTGCTAACCAGAAGGATGGCAGTTCAAACCCACCAGCCACTCCAACTAGAAGGCTGGCGGTTCAAGCCCACCAGCCATTCCTCGGAAGGAAGGTTGGGCAATCTACTTCAGTAAAGATACTGCCTCTGGAAACCCAAGGAGGGCATAGCCATGAGTCAGATCCATGGAAGGCAGAGAGTTTGTTTTTTGTTTGCTTTTCCTCTCTCTACTCACCCCTCCTCTAGTGACCCACTGCCCTTAGCATATGAACACATTTGGCTTTTCTCCCAATTAAAATTCCTTTGTCTTACATTAATGGAGTTAATGGAGGAGGAACACCTCAGAAAAGGAGGGTGAGGATGGTTGCACAACTCCAGAACATACTCAATGTCATTGAATCGTACTTATACAAACTGTTAAATTGGTGTATGTTCTGATGTGTATATTTTCAACAACAACAGAAATGAAGTAAGTTAATTAAAAACAAAAAAAACAAACCCTTTGTCAAGCCCACCTCAACCTCTCATTACTTCCTGTTTATTTCCCTCCTTTCACAAAATGAAACTTCTCACAAGTGAGGTCACTCTCTATACTTCCTTTCTTCCCTAATTCACTCCTCAACTGACCTGGCTTTTGTCTCCAGATGCCAAGTGTCCCTGAAGCCTTAGGGGCCTCTTCTGGACGGGTGCTATTTGTTTTCTGTTTTGCTTTACTCATGGGATCTGAGGGTTAAGCATCCACTGGACCCTTTAAATCCTCCCTGCCTCTGACCTCTGTGCCCTCCACTTCTGGAATCTCCTCCGCCCCTTGGAGGTTTCTCAAACCTCCCTTCCATGCCCTCAGGCTGGCGTCCTCTCCAGGGACAGTGTCTGGCAATTCCTGTAGCTTTTCAGGTTTCCCTGGGGGATGTTATTCAGATTCCTGATTTTAACTTCTCATTCTTTATGACACCCAAATCTATATTCCATCACCCAGACCCTTCTCTTGAATTCCTGACCCAGAAATCCAACTACCAACTGGACCTCACCATCTAGATAGCTCCCACTTCAAATTTTCAACACATCCAAAATCAACTTTCTCTAGAGAGTGAGATCCATGACACTGGATGGGTAACTCCACAACAGATACTACTTATAGATACACATGTGATACATGACAAAGGAGGAATTCCAGGCCAGGTGGGGGTAGGGTAGGGGGATGATTATACAGAAATGGTGTTTGGGCTACATTTGAAAAACAACCAGTTTAGCTCCTTACCTCACAACATAAATCAAAGTAACTTTTACTCATAACAAATTAATATGAAAGATTCAGCCATGACAGATGGGAAAGATGAGTACATATCAAATCTGAGGAAAGGCAAGGGACCGCTAAATTTGAAGAAAAAAAAAAAGGATGTTCAGATTCAGTAACAAAAATTTCACTTCTGTATCTTGTAAATAAACACATATCTATAAGCAAATTAAAAGGCAAACATACTAAGAATATATTTCAATACATATACAAAGGATTAATATCTTTAATGTATAACAACTTTATACAAATAGATTGAAAAAAAAAATACTAAGACCCCAATAGTGGATAAAGGACATGAATAAACAAAAGTAAGAAACACAAATGGACAGCTCATCAGAAAAACTGTTCAACTTCAGCAATCATCAAAGAAAGAAAAAGAAGAAAACAACAAGCTATCATTGCTTGCCTTTCAAATAGCAAAGGTGCCTGCATTCAGCTGCCAGCCGGGCCATCTTCCTACACACAGTGGCTCCCTCTCCGGTCCGCTCTGCACTGCGGACTTCTAACACACCAATCCCATTGTGCAACTCCCCTGCTGCAAATCCTGTAAAGGCTCCACATCGGCCACTGGGAGAAAGCCCAAGCCCTGCCATCCAGCACACTTGCCCATTTGTAGTCTGAGCCTCTCTAGTCTCATTTCCCATCGCTTTTCCCTCATATGTCTAAGTTCCCATCCTGTGCAACTCCTTGTGTGGTCATTTCCGGAATGACTCCACACCTTGGTGCCTTCACCTGCACTGTTACCAGTCTTGGAAGACCACCCTTCACCCTCATCCTGTGCCTTCAGGAAGCCTTCCCTGATCCTGCCAGTGTCTTCTGACATCCATCTTCATGTTCCCGGAGCACCTGCTCATTCCTGTGTCACAGCCCAGAGCACATGAGATGGCGGTCATTCACATACTGTCTTCTCCTTCACTGGACTCTGAGCTCCTTGCGGGAGGGAACTATGTCTTATCCATCCACATAGTCCCAGCACTGTACCCAGAGCAGAGCTGGTACTCAGTAAATGTTGGCTGAAGAAATGAATGAATGGGTGGATGGATGATCTATGTGCAGGGCCATGAGCAAGCTGAAGTGAGAGAGAACTGAGAAGAGGCCAGGTGAGGGTGGGCGCCTTACCTCCCGAAGGGCATTCTGGGCTGCGGAGTACCAAGCCCGACTCACGAGGGAGGCCTCTTTCTGATCCGGCAAAGGCAGGAAGCTCAGAATATACGTGAGAATCTGAGGGAAAAAGGCAGGGAGGGCATTGGGGACTTTTAGTGCTGGGGGCCTTTGGAACTTACTGAAGCTGACAACATAGTGGGTGTGAGGGAACTAGAGCACTGGCTTCAAGTTCATTTTAGATCCTAAGCTGAACAGGGGATGTACTTTTCTCAAGCCCCCAGATCTCTTTATCGTGAACAAACCTTTCCTGAGCCCAGGCTGGGTGCAGACTTGGGCAACTGAGAAAAATCAAACTTGTTGCCAAGTCTGGTAGAAAGAGGCTGGGCACTGGGGCCAGATAAACTTGGATCAAAACCTTATGCTGTCAACTGATCTCCCTGAGCTTTGTTTCCTTATCTGTCCAATGGCAATTGTAGTGAGATTTAAATGGTTGTTATGAGGATTAAAAACTGTCCTAAAGTATCTTGCATAGTACCTAGAACATAGCAAACACCCAGTTAATGCTGTTCAGTGTCTCTAAACTCTTCTCCTTTCACAATCCAGGTGGGTGGTATATCACTGCTGTAACAAGAGAAGTTAAGATAACTCATAAACTGTTTTCATAAGACAGTTTTTTGAGTCCCCGCATACCTCTAATGAAGATCTTCTGGGTTCCCCATTACCCTCAGGATAACATCACTCCTGGATCAGTACTGCCAGGCCTCCACACTCACCTGGGCCCACTGACCCCAAAGCAATCCCACAAACACAGCATGTCTGTTGCATTTGGCTCATGTGGGCCTCTTTCCTGGAATGCCCCTCCTGGAAGCCTAACTTTATCAGCCAATTCTAATTTCCTTCTCTTCTCTGATACTGTACACACAGGAGGTGCTCAGAAATACTTACTGGACTGAATTAAGGATCGACACGGACCCAGTCCTCTACCTCTATTTTCACCAAAGGTTTGCTCAGGGAAGGGATGGGGGAGATAAAGCAGATTATTACTGAAAGGTGAGTGACTGGGGAGAACAGGCTTCAGGGACAGAGAAGCTAGGCAAGAGGAAGACAGCACTGATGGGGATGGGGACTGTCCATATTATAGCAACCCATACAGAGCAGAACTGCCCCACAGAGTTCCCAAGGCTGTAAATCTTCATGGAAGCAGACTGCCACATCTTTCTCCTGCAGAGTGGCTGGTGGGTTCAAACCGCCCACTTTTCATTAGGAGCCAAGTGTTTAACCACTGCGCCATGATGAGTTGGAATCAAGTGGATGGTGGTGGGTTTGGTTTGGTTCTGGGACTGTCCAAGCCCCCATCCTCAGGGGTGCTAATGAAGATTAGCAGCCTGTCTGAGCTGAGGTAAGATAGTGACCAGTCTGTCTTCTGGGGCTGAGCAGCCAACACAAGGAGCAAAGGAAGACAGCAAGCTTGTCCCCACTGAGGGGAAGGAGCAGTAACCTTGAGCTGAGATGGGGAGTGGCCTTTCTAAAGGGGCCAGAGGAGGCAGTAAATAAGGACAGAGTGGCCATCCCATGAACCCAAGGGATTACAAGAGATATGATTGGTCATCACTGGGGCCTATGGGAATAGAGTAGCTATCCTGTGGGCTCAAACCTAGGTGAAAGCAGGCCTCTTCTCTGTAAGGGGAGGGAGCACCATTTCAAGACTGATGGGAAAGGGCAGTAAGTCTCCCGTGGGAAGCGAGAGGTTTGATAACTTTCATGGCAAAAGGGATGGAGAGGTCATTCTAAGAGGCCACTAGGTCAAAACTTGTTATCCCTCCAAGTGGTCTTGCCACAGGCTAAGGAAACAGACATCCCATGGGCTAAGAAGCAGGGAACAGGCCTGTCCTCACTGAAGGAACTCAACAACCATACCTGGATTTGATAGGGGAAAGGCTGTGTCCCACCGCCAGGAGGCGAGGGCATTCATCTTTCAAGGTGGAGCGAACGGAGCGACCATTCCAAGAAGTCAGTGGGGATAAGATCTGTTACCCTTAGGGGACGAGGATATGGAACGATCATCTTCCAGAAGTGAGAGGGAAGGAGAGACCATCTCAAAAGAAGAGGGGTAGGAAGAGGGCCTGGCCTCGCTGAGGTGACACAGCAGCCATCGCCTGCGGCAAGTGTGGAAGGAAAGGATGGTCTCTCAAGCTAAGGGAAGAGTGCCCCAAAGACAGGGCCATTACCCAGAGCTTGCAGGTCCCGGGATCCGCCAGGCGGGTCGTTTCCGCAGAGCTGACTGGGCCAGGCAGCTGTCTGACAGCCCCTCCCAATAGCCCGGGACCCCGAGGGCGGGACCTGTGGTATGCTAGGCCTGAGGGAGGCCTCCTCTCACCTCCAGGGGCAACGACTCCGCCATCGCATTCCCAGCCGCCTCCGCCCCCGCGCGAGGCTTTCTGGGAAAGGTAGTTCCACCGGCTGTTGGGCGGGGCTTGGGTAGGCTGTGTACTCCACTTCCGTCCCATATGCTTACGACTTTGATACGCAGCGGAAGTACCTGTGCAACCGATGTGGTACTTACTGACTGCGGTTTTGATCGCTTTCCCTTGTTCTCTCGGCTGGGTGTTTTCGTCGCACCATGGCGGTGAGGAGGGTGGATAGTGTGGGGACTGCATCAGCAAAGCACCCACAGGGCCGGGAGACTGAAAGCAGAGGAAGGACATCAAGGGATGGCGGGGTCGACGGGAGGGGGGCGCCTTCCTGTGTCAGGACTGTACTAGAACAAGCCGGAGCGGGGTGTCAGCCTGGGTAGGACCGTACCAGCTAGGTGCCGAAGCGGGGCGCCTTCCTGAAGCTTGACAGTGCCAGAGCAGGCTAGAGTTCTGAGGGGTCTGAAGAGAGTGGTCGTTAGCCCAGACCCGCACCAGCAGAGGCCGGAGTGGGGTCCCATTTAGATCGTTCAGGAATCTCCCTGGAGGCGGCGTTAGCCTAAAGCTGGATTTTACCCGGGAAGCTAGAAGAGGTATCAGAATGGGGTTAGATTGTTCCAGGCCAAGCAGAAGGTGATCACAGCTGGGGGTGCTTTCCAATTCCTAGGCAGGGTGAACTGGAGGTGGGATGGACATCCCAGGAATTATACTAAGTATGAGCTCTGGTGGAGTAGTGCCTAGAAGGCTGGCAGTTCAAAGCCACCAGCCACTCCTCAGAAGGAAGACTGGGTAATCTACTTCCATAGTGATGCTGTTTTGGAAACCCAAGGAGGGGTTGCTATGAGTCGGAACCCATTCCAGGGCAGTGAGTTTATGATCATCATAGGGACCTGGCTGAGGTGTGGTGGACCTCTGTGACTAGTTAGGCTGGTGGGGGAATGGGAAAGGCCCTGGCGGAGGAGGGCTTTGACAGCATCTCACCATCCTGCAGCCCAAGGGCAAAGTGGGCACGAGAGGAAAGAAACAGATATTTGAAGAAAACAAAGAGACCTTGAAGTTCTACTTGCGGATCATACTGGGGGCCAATGTAAGTCCATGCCCCCGTTCCTACCATCCCCACCCATAGTCCCACAGTCCTCAGCCCTATTTAGTGAGGTGTGGTGGTGACAGCCAGAGCTCCAAAGGAAAACGCCAGTCAAAAAGAGATGAGGCTATGAGTCCTAGCTGGATCTGAGAGCCCTTCTCACCACAGACACATGAGGGCTTCTTTCCTGGGCTGGCTTGGATGTCAGAAGGGAGTTTGGGTACTCAGGTCTCGGGGAGCAGACCCTTTCTCCCCCAAACCCTGTAAAAACCACTTAGATCCTTCTACAGCCTGACTCAGTTCTCAGTGTGTATGTGTGTTCAGTAGGTCAGCAGATGTCAGAAGGGAGTCTGGGTACTCAGGTCTCGGGGAGCAGGCCCTTACTCCCCCAAGCCGTATAAAAACCACCTGGATCCTTCCACAGCTTGGCTCAGTTCTTAGTGTGTGTATGTTGAGGAGGCCAGCAGTTTGGGAGTGGCTCTTGATCCCAGACTGATTCTTCTGTTTGCTTACAGGCCATTTACTGCCTTGTGACCTTGGTCTTCTTTTACTCATCTGCTTCATTTTGGGCCTGGGTAAGTGTCCCCCATCCTGCGAAGTGGTGCATAGGGTCAGTGGCTGGCCTTTGACATCCTCATCCTTGCCCCGCAGGCAGCCCTGGGCTTTAGTCTGGTGGTATATGGGGCCAGCTACCACTCCATGAGCTCGATGGCACGGGCAGCTTTTTCTGAGGATGGAGCCCTAGTGGATGGTGGCATGGACCTCAATATGGAACAGGGCATGGCAGAGTGAGTGTCCCCCACCGGCGGCCCAGGTGAGCGGCCCCAGGGCTGGGGCTCTGGGGCCCAGATAGCCCAAGACCCACAGCTGCCTGCAGCTTGAAGACTGTAGAAGGAAGCTGGTTGGGGCCCATCTATTATCTCTGGCCCTTGCAGCCTCCCTTCTATCCACAGGCACCTTAAGGATGTGATCCTATTGACAGCCATTGTGCAAGTGCTCAGCTGTTTCTCCCTCTACATCTGGTCCTTCTGGCTTCTGGTGCGTGGGGTCCCCAAGAAGGGGATGGAGCATCCAACCCCCCATCTTCCATTTCTTGAGCCTGGTTTCAAGTCACCTTCTCTTTTCTAGGCTCCAGGCCGAGCCCTTTACCTCCTATGGGTGAATGTGCTAGGCCCGTGGTTCGCGGCAGACAGTGGCACCCCAGCACCAGAGCACAATGAGAAACGGCAGCGCCGACAGGAACGGCGGCAGATGAAGCGGTTATAGTCATTGGCATTGTGACCACAGGCTGCTAGACCTTGGGCAGCTCTATCGGGCTGCATGGCCTCCATGCCAGGAGCATTGAGGGCCTTGTCCAGGGATCAGAAATATAAGATTGTGGAATAAATGGCTTAGAGGTGGCTAATGGCTGTGTGGGTGATGACGAGGGGCAGGACAGGTAGAGGCAGTCTTTTGTCATTTTCCTCCCTCTACAGAACCAAGAAGCTCTTTTGGCATAGTGCCTAAGACAGGCATTTGACTGCTAACAGAAGGTTGGCGGTTCAAACCTATCAGCCACTCTGTGAACAGAAGACTGGGCAATCTACTTCTGTAAAGATTACCGCTTCAGAAACCCAGAGGGGGTCACTATGAGTCAGAATCAACTCAATGGCATGATTTTGGTTTCGTTTTCTACTTAGTGGGAACTTTGAGAGAAGAAATAGTTTTGTAGATTGCCTAAGAAAACTTTATTTTGCTCCATAAATTTAGGGAGCTCACACATGCGCAGACACAGACACACACAGGCACACATGGCTAATACTGCTCAAGGCACTGGCCCCTGGGCACAGAGTGGCATTAGAGGTGGGAAGAGGCCCAGAATTCTGCTTGGCCCCTCCTCACTCTAAAGTCTCTTGCACTGCAGGCCCAGGCCCAGGCCCAGGCCCAACAAGGTTTCCTGAAGGCAGCATCTTCACACCTCTAGGCCAGGACCCTTACTCAATCCCAGTGCCTGTACCAGGTCATCTCCAAGCCCGCTCTTCAATGTCCGTCTCACTGCAGGGACAGAGCAAGGTTGGAAAGGGTTGGTGGGGTTAAGGCGGGTAGTGGGTGTGTGGGGGATACTCACAAGACTTGCGGTTGCCACGGGAACGCTTGCGTTCCCGAGCTGCTAAGGCACGAGGACTGCTCTTGGTCACTGACTGCACCAGCAAGTCCATGATTTCATCTGAAGTGTCACTAGGTGAACTGGAGACTAGAGATTCTTCTGGGGGTGCAGTGGATGGCCCCGCTGGTGTGGGTATTACAGGGGAGCTGCTCTGGACCATGCCTAAGGGAGGCCAGATAGGGAGATCAGGCCAAGGTGGCCCTAGAGCCCATCTTCCCCAGCAGTCCTGGGTCCTACCTCTGCTGCGACGGCCATGTGTGGCATCTTCAGGCCTGCTGGTCAGCAGAGTCTTCATGCTGGCATGACTGTCGGCATCACCCCGGCCTGGCCCGCTACCCACGGCCACTGGGATAGCTGGGGTGCTGGGAGTCTCCCCAGCCACACCTGAGAACTTCTCTGTCTGGAGAGGAGAGAAGGGTGAGCTAGGAGTGGGGGAAGGGAAACCATGGGAGCAGTAGTTGAGACCTGGAAGGGGCACTCACCTCAGTAATCATGCGTCCCCGTGTCTTATTGCGCTCACGGTATGTGGCCCGCTTCTGCTGCTGCTGTAGCACCCGTTCGCGGCAAGTCCGATACTCAAGTGCAAACTCCCGTAGTGTGTGGCAGAACTGCATGATGCGCACCTCCCGGGCTGCCTGTGCCGAGTAGCCCAGGTAGAGCAGGAAGGTACGGAACCTAGGCAGGTCGGGATAGTGAGTTCTGCTTGGTGTCTGATGGATAGTGTAGCCATCCTGCTTTTCCCTAGCCCCTGCCCCTACCTATTACAGACACGGCGGTGCACTACCCTCAGTGTGGCGACACGGCGGGCACAATGGGCCAGAAAATGGGTGAGGCGGGCACGCAGAGCTGGGGTCAGCTCATGCTTAGCCAGGCCCCGCAGACTCTCTTCAGCTGCCCGACTCCGGCACTCCAGCTGCCCCAGGTTCTCAGCCAGCTGCTCAAAGTCTACCTGGAAAAGCCCGGGGAGCGGGGGATGGGAGGGGCAAGGGTGTTTCAAGTGTTGTCCTCTCCTTCCTATAGACACAGATACTAGCTGAGGCTGCCTCTGTCCCAGGCTGGCCAGCCTGAGCCCTGAGGACACAGCTGAGACCTGGCCTGTGTCCTCCAGAAGCTTATGGTCTAATGCAAGAGACAGACTATTCCCTTTGATCCAAGGGGAAAAAGAGAAGGATTCTTGGAGGAAGTGGCAGCTAAACCAAGACCCAAAGACTGAATAGGCACAGCCAGGGCTGCAGGGGAGTTTCTGGCAGAGGACACTGCCTGCACAGACGTCTGTTGCCTGAGGCTGCCCTGGGACAGCCCAAAGAGGAGGGGGAGTAGCTGGCCCCAGGAAGCAGTACTCTCTTGTGCTGCAGCCAGTGGGAACCGAGCCTTTGGCTGGTGCTAACCTTGGCACAGCGGGTCAGGGCAGGGATTTCTGAGTAGAGGTCGGAGGAATCGGGCCGAGTCTGGAGTACCAGGGAGCAGAGATGGTGCAGCAGTGACTGTCGGCGCACTGTGTCCTTCACCTCCGACACCTTCTCCAGGTAGCTCAGCTCGAAACCGCTGCTCTGAAAGGACCCCATCTGAGCCTGGGCCTAGCCAGCCCCAGCCCCTGCCTCCCAGCTGCCATGTGCTCTCACTTACCTGGGAACCGTTGAGGAAGTTGCCCACAGCCAGCAGAGTAGCCAGGATGCAGTGGAAGGTGGCATTCTGTACTAGCTGTTCCATGCCCATTTTCAGGTCAAATAGTGGCTCTGCAATTTCCTGATGTGAGGGACCGACCAGGAGCTCTCAGACTACAGGGTCACCATGTTTGCCTGTCCCTCGGCCTGTCCCACCCCATGACCCAAGTACCCGTTCCATGCTGTCATAGTCTAGCTTGAAGGCCCAGAGTTGCAGGCGGGCAGCCAGGCCACCAATGGAGGCGAGGGTCAGCAGAAAGTTCTCAGCTGGGCCTAGGGGTATGTCAGGATTGGCCAGCTGGGCCTCCTCAATCTTCTGCTGCTCCTCCTCCGTGGGCATCATGGTCAGTAGCTTCTGTGGATATAGCCGCCACCCCACATAGACCTCTCAGTGCTGGCCTGAGGCCTCAAACCTTGCTTTTGGCCATCTGGGCAAGTCCCAGGGTCTAGGGACTGCCCTGCAGAAATGCCAAGCCCTTGCCCACATAGGGGCAGGAAATACCCACTAACCAAAGGAAAGGGCCAGACCTCCCACTTCCTCCCCACACCCATAGCTTGGTATCCCCACCTCAATGCCATCCTTGCTGACAGCAAACTCATCAAAGTTGAGCAGGGCAGCCTTGATGACATGCACAGGTGGCAGTGTTGTCAGGCCAATGTTGATGGCGTTGCTGCGCTTAGGGTCCAGCACTGTGGTCATTGTCCGGCGGCCCTCACCAGCTTTCTGCAAGGTTGGGAGAAGGGCATTATAGGATCGGAGAGGGGCCTAGCTGGGGCAGTAATCCAAGAAGGCACTCCAAGGTCCTCCCTTAAATAGCCAAATGGGATAACTCCAGAATTGAGACTCTGGATGTGTAAGACATTGGGAAGAGCTTAGTTTGCTGATCTCTTGCTGAGAGGTCTTGGACAAGTTCCTGAATCGTTCCCTGCCTCAGTTTCCCCACCTGGAACTAAGTGGCTGGATCCAGCAGTTTGGACACTCGAGCACTGATCTCTCCCCACTCCACTGGAGTTATCTTGCAGATGAGGGTGGGTTTACCTTGGAGGGCAACACATCCTTAGCACGAGACTCAAACAGGTGTTCCAGTCGATTTGTATCTACTGAGACAGGCTCCAGTGAGGCCCACAGAGTGGGGCAGGGCCCAAAGTGGCTCCCAGGGCTTCCAGGGCCCCCAGCCAGCTTCAGCTCCCGCCAGAAGAGTTTTACTGTCTTCCTCTTGGTGGGGAGAGCTGGGCCATCAGTTGCTGAGGGGGGAAGAGGGGCAGCTGGGGGTGGGGGGGGTGGGAAGGGGCCTTTGGTTGGTGGGGGAGGTAGGGGTGGCGGAGGTGGGGGTGCTCCCGAAAGCAGGGGCAGTAGAGGTGGTGGAGGTGGGATCCCTTTCCCGGCTTCCACAGATTCCATGTTCAGTATGTCCTGGTCTTCATCCTCTCCCAGATCTGAGAAGTCCAGGTCCCCAATGCAGAGCTTGGGTACATGGGTAGGGAGCTCCCGGATGGGTGCAACCTCAGGGCTTACTGGGGCCAGTGGCTCCTTGGGCTGTGGTTCAAGGCTCCGCTGGGCCAGGAGAAGGACTCGGGGGGCAGGGCTCTGGGGTGTTCTGGGTGCAGGGGCTGGCTCGGGGGGGCGCCATAGTTCCCGAGCATCTAGGGAGAGGGAAGCAGCTGTCAACATTGTGTTCCCAGTGGGGCAGCAGGGCAATACGGGTGGGTTCTGCCCACCCACTTCTTACCTGAGTGTCCATCAGCCTCATCAGCCATGGCCCCAGCCAGAGTCTCTGCCCGGCCCTGGGCCAGTGCAGCCTGCTTCTCTGTTTCTGCGGCTGCCACATTCTCCAGGAACCGGGCTCTGGAGGGAAGCACTTGTCAGTGGGGGTGTCTAACACACCTCCAGCCCAGGGTGTGCACATGCCTTGCTGGGCCCCTGGGCAGTACCCCCAAATGCAGGCACACAGAGACACACAGGGAACAGTCCATGCGCTGAGCAGACCCTGGACCTATATTCCCCAGGCCAGCCCCTGTTCAGTCCTCCACAGCTGGTGAGGGTCACCATTAACCCAGCATTCCCAGGACAACAGACAGGGAGAAGTTCTACTTGATATCCAGTCTGTAGCCTTGCTGCTGCTCTTGTTCACTGTCCTGATTCAGGATAAGAACCCACCAGCCACTCCTTGGAAGGAACACTGGGCAATCTATTTCCGTAGAGATAGCACCTCAAAAACCCAAGGAGGGGTCGCTATGAGTCGAAATCAACTCAATGGAGCGAGTGGATGAGTGAGTGAGGGTAGTGGAAGAGGACAGCTGTCCTGTTGGGCATACCACCCTATCCCTACTTTAGCATGTCTGGAAGCTTCTAAGAGCTATGGCTCAAGCCCAGAAGAGGGTTTGGTACATGACCGGCATTCCATTTATGTTGAACTAATGAATGTGAGCTGGTGTTTTCTGGCTCCTCCAGCCTCTGTCAGACCTCACCCAGGTCCCAGCCCCAGGTTACTCCTCTGCCATTTACCACACAGCATCCTTGATGCCCTCCCTGTCCTATTCCTGAGTTGAAGGTATGAGAGATGGGCCCCAGCCTTGGAATCCACATCCCCATTGCTGGTCTAAGCTGTTGAGGAAAGCACCACTGTTGAAACAACAGGGACCACTAGGACCCAAGGAACCATTTCCCAGTGTTTAGTCCTTGGAAATCGAGGAGGCACAATCCTGGAAGAGGAGGAGCCTGACAGTCCCCCAGTCTGGCTGCACTGGGCACAAGGCACCCCTGCCGGGGAAGCAATGCTGAAGCCCTGAGCATATGGCAAGCCTGGCAGGTTGGTCTCTGTACTTACTCCAGCCTGGCCTGCCCAGTAGGGGACTGGGGGACAGGTGGGCTCTCAGGGGCCCTGGGGGGAAGGGGATGAGAGGAAAAGATTGTGACTGGTACCTGCCCCACCCCAAAGCCCACTTGCTTGCACCCACACAAAACTGGGCAGTGATATCAGAGGGATGGCCTTCCCAGCCACAGTGGGAAGAGGAGAAGGGTGGGGAACATGACATGAGGAACCTGGAAGCACAGGGGGGAGACTGACAGGAAGCAGAACAGGTGTAATAGGAGACAGAGGAGAACAGGAGATGGCAGGAGAAGCAGTGACAGAGAATCACAGAGGACCAGGAGCCAGATAAGAGCAAAGACAAGCAGGATGCCAAAAAGGGGAGATGAAGTACAGAAGCCGCAGGAGGAGGAAGTCCGGTCAGAGCCGAACCTCCCCCGCCAGCAGTCACTTACCAAACAGGAGCAGTTTGGTGAAGTCTGGAAAGAGAAAGAAAGCACGCATTTGTGCAGAGGAGGCTGGGGGCGCCTGGGAGGGGCGCGGAGCAAGGCACAGAGAGGATGGACAGTTAGAGAGAGGACTCCGGGGCTAGCCTCCATCTCCCTACTTACTTATAGACGCTCCGCTCGAACGAGCTGTCGGCTGAGGGCGCCACGGAGATGCTAGGGAAGAGGTTCTCCGAGGCAAGGAGGCCAGAGGCGGGGCCCGCCGGCAGGTTGGGACTTGTAGGACTGGAAGCGGTGCCTGCCAGTGGGGTGGGGCCTGCAAGACTGGAGGCGGAGCAGGTCAGAAGGACATCACCACGCCTGCCCACCCAACTCCTTCCTTTTAGCCTTGGACTTTTTTTACCCAGGCTCTGGGGCCCTCGCTGCAGGGCCGCCCCCTCCTTCCAGAGATCTGCGACTCCTCTTGCCCTCCTCCGATGAGGGCTTTCGGCGCTCCCGCCGTCCACCCGGGGCGGCTTCATCAATATCTCCATCCTCCAATCGCAGGGCGCTCTAGGGACAGCAGGGCTAGGATGTGAGTCCGGGGTAGGTGGGGTGGGGTTGGTGGGGCGGGGTGCGCTTGGAAGCCACAACCCCTTCCTCTCGCCCTCATTCGGACCCTGGTTGCCGCCTGCCTACCTCGTAGAGTATGAGCTGCGCACGCAGGTCGACGTCAGTGCCTGCGGTGTTCAGGTGGCGCTGGACCAATGCCTCCATACCCTGCTGCTCCAATGCATCCGTCACGTCGTAGAAAGAATCCTGGTCTGGGAGCGCTGCCAGAGTCTGCAGGGTGGGAATGGGAGGGCAAGGTTAAAGCCAGTGGGGACCAGAGGTCAGGAGCCCAGGGGCCCAGGGTCTGTGCCTGGTCCTTTGCCCGTACCTTGTTGATGAGGGTGACAGTGTACACCAACAGCTCAGGGTCAGCACCATTCTTCTCCTCCAGGATGGATACCAGGTTGGCCCATGGGAGAGAGCCTGCCGCACAGAAAGGGGGACAGTCAGGGGACAGTGGGAGACAAGGCTGAGTGGTAAGGGATGGAGGGACAGTTTCTGACCGGTGGCGCTGGCCACAGAGTTGACTGCACGGATGAAGAGTGGTGCGTTGTTCTCAGAGTATTCCACAAATACCAGCAGCAGCTTCAGGGTCGTCTTCACCACCAAGCGGGACTGGGGGAGAGGTCACCACATATGAATGGAGCTTGGGCCACCTCTGGGTGGGCAGGGGAAAGGGCTTCTGGGGCTAGATCCAGAGAGAAGGGTCAAGGCAGAAAGACCCTGGCTTGGGGCCCAGGTGCTGAAATGTTTTCTAGGCTCAGAGGGGCCTCAGATTCACTCCAGTTCAGAAGAGGAAACTGAGGCCCAGGGAAAAGCAAGGGGAAGAGGGTGCGTGGTTGGGGCGAGGGGCACTCACCAGGCTGGCACATAGTGTGTATAGCCACTGCACTGTCTCACTGTGGGCCACCACTCCCAGCATCCCATCCACAAAAAGCATCAGCTGGCCCAGTGCTGGGGAAACAGGGATGGGAAGGCATCAGTGAGGGGTCACTGGGAGGTGGGCTGCAAGGGGGAGAGGGGGGCTGACCTCGGAGGATATAGGTCTGGTAGTTGTGGTCAGCAGCAGCACCCACACGAATCAGGCAGCTCAGCCCTTCGGAGTGCACGAACTCAGGCACCAAGTCCTTGTCTTCCTAGGGGCACCATGGGGATGTTTAGAGGGGCATGGGCTGGACACCCACCCCCAGCCCACCTCAGCCTCACCTGGAAGATCTGCTTCAGTGAGAAGAGGGAGCGGCGGAGCTCAGGGCCACTGGAGCCATACAGCTTTTCTGTAAGGGGTAGGTGGGCATGGAACCTCCAAGGAGACATAGACGTCCTCCTCCACTGGGCCACGACTGCAATCCCCTCACCATATGAAATCCACCCCCTGACTCTAGGCACCCCTCACCACAGTCTAGTTGCAGCATCAACCCTGGCCCTGGAGGAAAGGTGAGGATGGGGAGCGGACACACTCTGTGTCCCATCTGCCCTGTATCGGCATCTATCCAGCACAGGCCTGAAAGAAACTGAGCCAGCTGGGCTCTGTGGAGGGAGTAGGGGGGTTTACTGGACACTGGCATCCTCACACACTCACCCAATATGGCATTGACCCTCACAGAGAGCTGGGTCCGCAGGAGCAGCGTGGGCTTCCGTCCTTTGCTGGAATCAAGCAGCCTCGTCAGCAACTTCCAGCCAATTCTTCAGGGTCCCTCCCCCCATCCCAAGACAGCCAGCGACCTCCACCTGCCAACCCTGGCCCAGCTCCTCCTCCCCAGCTGCTCCTGGAAGGTCCAAGAGTCAGGAGAGTTTGCTCAAGCACAGGTATCTCAGGTATGTGGGAGAGTCATCCCCAACTCCCATCCTCAGCAGCAGGTAGCACTGGCCAGGCCTTGGGACTCCCCTGGCGGCAGGAGGTGGCTGACAGCCCAGGCTAGAGATCAGGTTTCTTGGTTGCTGACACATGAGCCTGTCCTGGGTGGGGACAGCCTTGCCTCCTGCCCCTGTGAGCTCTGACCTGATCTCTTCATAGAAACCTTCCAGCATCTCCCGCTGCTCTTCCAGGGACAGCTCGGGGTCCAGGTAGTATCCAGAGGGAGACACTTGCAGGGCACAGTCCTCCAGCTAGGAGCAAAGAAAAAAGCTGTCAGAGCAGGGGTGGTGGGGATATGTGTAGATACCCCATGACCCCCTACCTTCCACTGGGTGGTACCCCACAAAGGTATAAACTGCAGTCATTTTTCATTTTCCAAGCACTTACTATTTGCACAGCCCCATGCATCGTAGGCATCAGGATTTCTTGCTCTGTGCTCTCTCTTGGCTAACACCTGCCCAATCTTTAGGTTTCAGATAATGCTTATAAGGAAAGCCTTCCTGGACTTCATGTGTGTACCCCTGCTGAGACCTTCCACACACGCATGACACTATCCTAGACACTAGTCTCCTTCCCCACTAACTGTGCACTCTGAGTTTAGATGCCATGTCTGTCTTGTCCCCTTCCACATTTGCAGAGCCTAGCCCAGCACTTGCCACACAGCAAATGCTCACTAAATGCTTGTCAAGCTAAGGAACATAAAGGAGGAAGAGGAGTGGAGAGAGGATGAGAGAAGTTCTGGCCTTCGAGGAAGCTCACAGCCCTTATCACCCATGGGGTGCTAAGCTGCAGCCACAAAGCATTAAATAAACCTAGGAGAAAGTGTTGAAAATGTTGGAAGGTGCAAACCCAGCTGGGAGAGCTGAGTGAGTGAGTATGTATGTATGTGTGCATGCACGCATGAGCACATGTCTTGGTGAGTAAGGCAATGGTGAAGAACAGGGGCTGAACCATAGACTCTTTAGTCTCTGGGCCTCAGGTCTTGCCTCCCCCCAAGGGGGCTACAGTTACAATGGTTCTAGCTAGACCCTGGGGAACCTATAAAAAGATCTTAGGGTCTGATTCAATCAGTCCACAGTGGGGCCCTGAAACCTGCATCTGTAACAGAAAGGCACATGGTCCATCTGTGTGTTCCTTTTCCGTGTTCCCCTCCCCTTGGCCTGGCTCCCCTCCACCACCATCACCAGGCACTTGGTCGCTTGAGAAGTGCTTGTAGAGAGGCCAGAGTGAGGTGCCTCTGGACTCTGAGGGCAACACTGTGCCTCTCCCTGACACCTCTCTCAGAGTATAGTGTTGGTGTGCCAGGCTCAGCAAAGTTCCCTTGACTTGAGTGACCCTGGCCCTTGAGGTGCCATACCCACCTCTGGAGAGGCAGGGGGTCTTCCGGTCATCTTACCGGGCAAATCAACCCCCAAGATTTGTCATGCTGTTGTCGGCCCTGCCCTGCCCTGGACCCAGCCTGCTCTTGGTCCCCTGAGTAGAAAGCATCCCTTCCTGTGCTTGTGTTTTGCACCCCTGCTCATGCCTTACAGCCTGATCTGACTCCTTCCTGGTGCTTCAGCCTGTAGGGGCCGCTGGGTGACCCCCCTGCCTGGGACATGGGACAAACACTCCAGACTGTTCTCTGTCCCACTTCCTGCCTGGCTGGCTGCCCTCCTTTGGGCGCCTTGGGCGGGCCTGGCCTCTCTCTCCACCCTGGGGCAGAGTCATCCTCTCCAGGGTTTATTGGGAACAGGCTGGAGAGAAGGCAGTAAGGCCCCAGGGCTGGGGTACCTTGTCCAGAGCCAGCTCAGCTAAGGGCAGCCCCACAGGCCTTTTAATCTAGCTTCCCATATGGTGACTCAGCAGCTGACCCACCCCACCCCCATCCAGGCTTAGCCATATCTCCCTCCATCTTGGATTGGAGGTTCTGGGACCCTCTAGAGACATACTTCTCTCAGAGCCACACCTCCCTCAGGAACCCTCCAAAATCACACATGTATAGACTAGCTCATTCGTTCAAACATTCATGAACTAGATCTGGTTTTAGGAGCTGAACACAGCAGGGAATAAGTGTCTCTGTATTCCCTTCTTTCCAGCCCAGTGATAGAAACAGGCTTGACTCAGAAGAAGTAAATAAATACACAGAAAATCGCAACTTTGATGGGTGCTCAGAAAGGGGTGGGGCGGAGTGCTGTAAAGATAAACATTGGAAGTATGATTGTATTACACCTGGTAACCGCTTACACACCTGGTATGTGCTCACTGGCCCTGGAAGGCCAAAGAACCACTTGCACAGCAAGGGCAGGCCTGCCTGTGGAGTCCCTCTTCCCTTGCTGCACACACACTTGGATGCTTTCATACCAAACAAGCAGAGAATGGCCCTCTCCTTCCAGGATACCCCACGCCCACATCTGTCTGGGGCAGAAGGCCAAGTATCCTACCTCCCCCGGCATCCTCAGGTGAGCAGGTTTAACCCCCTCCCCTCTGCACTGGTAGCAGTGGTTTCCTTAGCTACTTTACCTGTCCAGTCCTGCTCCATTTTTGGAGAGGGGGTCCAGGGGTACCAGTCAGCCCAGTGCCTTCAGGACAGTGCCCCTCCCCGCAATTGTCTATCCTGGGGGGAGGTGGGGGTGCAGGTTAGGACCAGGCAAGCAGCAGAGGGGGACTTCCTGCCAGCAGGATGGTGCTTGTCCCTAACACCCCTGGTTGCTTCCTGGGGTCACCATTCTGGGATCCAAACCTCTGGGCCTTGTTTCTCACACCCTGGGGCTGGGCCAGGCCTTAGCAAGCCCAGTCCCTGGTCCTGCTGACAGGGCTGAAGGTCAATACATAGTATGGGCCAACATCTATGACTCCCTCATGGCTCTTGTCTTCCTCACTCCTTGGGTGGAGAGCCCCTCACTTTGGCCTCCAGCCTACTCTTCTCTTGCCACTCTGGACCCATGCTTTTCTGGCATGTGATTTTATATGCAGGGCCAAGCTTAGGGGACCATGGTGACTATTTTCCAATTTTTTAAATAACAGTCCAATCAGGTCAGAAGGAACATGCAGGGAACAGCTGGGAGTAAGGGGTAGAGACAACAGTGTCACCTCAAATCATTAGGAGCAGAGCAGGACAAAGAGGATGGAGAAAAGGGTGGAATGAAATACCGAGGGCCTCCTGTCTTGGGAAGTAATTGTTAACTGCCTCTTTTTTCTCTCCTATAAACACAGGACCCTGTACTCCGAAGACCCTTTTCTTGTTATCTTGGGTCTCCAACAACATTGCCACTTCCTGGATGAAATGACATGGAAGGGAAACCCACATTTGTTCTGCCTCCTCCTTGATAGGCTTCGGGACGCCTATTTCATTGGGTTCTCCCAACAGTCCTTCCACAGGCCAGGAAACCAAGGTTCAGAATTTCAGTGAACCTGCCCTAGGCAACACAGCCAGGAATGGAATCAGGGCTAAGTGATCCAGATATTGGGTAGATGGGCCTTGGAAGTGCTCCAGGGAACACTGGGTGGGGAGGGCAGTGAGGCAGGGGCTTGTAGGATTGCCAGTGGCTGCAGACCCACTGCCCCTCAGCTTTCTGGACACTGCAAATACTCCAAACTGGTCTTCCCGGTTCCAGCAAAGGAACATATGAATAAACACACACCATAACCGCTAGGAGGAGCTCTGGTAGCAAAGTGCCTATGGCAGGCACTTGACTGCTAACCAGAAGGCTGGTGGTTCAAACCCACCAGCCACTCCTCGGAAGGAAGGTTGGGCAATCCACTTCCATAGTGATACTGCCTTGGCAACCCAAGGAGGGGTCGCTATGAGTCGGGGCCGACTCGATGGCACATAATAACAACAACGTAACTGCTAGGGTAACAGTGCCAGGACCTAGGGACTGGGCTCTCTCACCAGGTTGCAGCCCCACCTCCCGAGCACAGAATGACCAGCAGGTTGCGCATGCTGGCCCCAGGGGAGGCTGGGAGGAGGCCAGGACTTACACATACACCACGGTCTTCTACAGTCTCCTAACAGATCCCCAGGTTGTTGTTGTTATGTGCTGTCAAGTCAGACCCAAGTCATAGCAACCCTTCCTTGGGTTTCCGAGGCAGTAACACTATGGAAGTAGATTGCCCAACCTTCCTTCCGAGGAGTGGCTGGTGGCTTTGAACCACCAGCCTTCTGGTTAGTGGTCAAATGCCTTAGGCACTACTCTACCAGAGCTCCTACAGATCCCCATAGCAAGGTATTAAAGATTCAGTTCTCTACTAGAGCACCGCACCTTCCTCTTATGAGCCCTCTGGGACCCTCCAGTTGGCTGTGGTTTCTAACCCAGAAGCTCAGGTTCACACTTCAGTTCCCTCATGATGACTGCTGCTCAGGGGTAAAGTGAAGCTGGAGTGGGGAGGGGCAGTGACATCCCTGTCTTACTTGACCTCTAGCCACAGCTGGGGAACCAAAATTGTTGGTAATGGCCAAATCACTAGGGCTATATGTAGGTCCCTGGGTGGTGAAAATGGTTTGCTCTTGGCTACTAACTGAGAGGTTGACAGTTCGAACTCACCCAGTGGCACCCTGAAAGAAAGGCCTTGTGATCTGGTTCTGTAAAGATTTCAGCCAAGAAAACCCAAGGGAGCAGTTCTACTCTCTTAACGCATGGGGTTACCATCAGTCAGAACTGACTCAATGGCAGTAGGTTTGTGGTTTTTTCTTTTTATTCCCCTAGGTCTATCCCTGCTGCTAGGAAGAACACCCAGGGACTGCCCAAAGCCCAGGGAGAAATCAGTGGTATCCCAGATATGGCAGGGCCCTTGGGTGACAGGGAGAGGCTCCTGAGACACCTCCAGGAAGGATAAAAGGTAGTACTAGAGAGGGTGGGGCAGGGCTGTTGAGGGTAAGAAGTGAGATACAGAGCTACAGGGTCCGATTCCCCAGAGGCAGAGGAAGGTCCTGGGAGAAGCTGCTTCTGTGGGGAAAATCTGGAGGGAAGACACTCCTAAGTTCCCAGGGGAACTGGCCCAAGTCACTGCCAGGACCCCTCCCACCTCCACCCCCCAGGGCCAGGAGATGAGTCAGAGGCTGCGGCCAGGAGCTTCCTCCTAGACCCAGAGGAAATGAGCAAGGCCTTCTCAGACCTGAGCACTCTGAATAGTTTGAAAAGGAAGCCCCCAGGGGAACTCAAGAGAGGAGGCCCAGCCCAAAGGGGTGTGGAGGGGTGGAGTCCCAGGGAAGGAGTAGGCCAGGCCTCTGCACATCCCTAGGGAAGAGCCAGGAATGATGGTGGCTAGTGCCTGAGTGGGGGACAGATATCACTTGGCTGTGTCATGTTCCTCTGATGGACAACTGTATACATGATGAAGCAGTAAGTAGAGAGTCCCTCCCCCTTTTGCAGTCCCACAGCCTGCGATGAGGATGCCTGGGTTTTTGGGCCTCCTCTCCTCTCTAGAGGGCTATTAAGGCAGACCTGAGTCATATCTGTCCCCTGAAACTCTTCTGGGGCACCCACTTAGGGGATTAGGGGAGGAACAGCTGTTGACATTTCCTGCAAAGAGGGGCCTGTTCCCCTCCCCCAGCTCTCTGATGTCCTTGCCCCTACTCTATTCTCAGCCCCTCTTCCTCCAGCCTTCTATTCTGGGGTTGTGGTCACAGTTTATATTTGGGACAAGCACACAGAAGCACATCTGACCATTCCTGGCAGAGCTGCTAGTCCCAGGGAGTCTCAGTTCCAGCACTGTGGTCACTGAGTGTGCCTGCCCCCATATTCTGCCCTTAGGGGAAGGGAGGGAGGCTGTCCCCCAGGTGGAGTTTGACTGGGTCCTGTTTTATCCCGATGCTCCTGAAAGTGGGGGAGAAGACTTAAAATTTTCTCCATCCAAGCTCAGAGGTGTCCTCAGCTAGAGAACAGAGGATAGAGCACCTGGTATGAGGTGTGGTGGGTCCTAACTGAGGGCGAGGAGGTAGGAAGCAGTTCTAGGCCTCTATCCTGAAGCTGATCTCCCAAAGCCTGTCCCCCTACTCGGGAAGAGGTGTGTTAGGGCCAGGTCCTGTCCTGAGGTGGGGGTCAGGAGGAAACCTAGCTTCTCTTTGGTGCTCCAGCCTTATTTCAGGGCCTGGAATCCCAGGGGCAGGGGGTGGGGGGACACCTCACTTAAAAACTCATTTTTTCCCAGCCCCCAGCACAAGGGGGCAGCATCAAAACTCAGAATGGGCAGTGCGGCAGCCCTGTGGCCTTGAAGCCTGAGCTCTGCCAGGACATGTACCACTCCCCAGGCCAATAGTCTACCCATCCCTCCCTCTCGCGCTCATGAGGCGTGGCTGGCCCTTAGCTCGAGGAATGCGGGCTGGGGGCCCGGCTCCCCGGCACATTCCAGGGGAGACCCCGGGCCCAGGGGGCAAGTTTGCGCAACTCGGCGCCCAGCTGAGGCTGGGAGTTGGGGAGGGCACCCCCGCCGACTCGTTCTCCTCTTCCACTACTGGGGCAGGAGGGCTGTCGGGAAACCCCGGGGGGTAGCAGCGCGCCTCTCTGCATCGCGGTCCGGAAACCCAGAGCGCCGGAAAGGGCTGCCTGCGGGGGGCTAGGGAGGGGGAGGCCGGCAGGCCATCTAGAAACGGGCCTCTCCCGGCAGTGCGCGCGATCGGTTCCGGGGCCCGGGCAGACCGTGGTTTAAACTTAGCCCGGCCCGCCCCCTCCCTCCCAGCTGCAGGCCCACGGCTACGGGTGCACCGGGTGGGGGTGAGGGACGGTGACTCAGAGGGCTTTTCCACTCGTGCAACCTCCTAAAGTCTGCCTATTCCGGGTCGGGTCGCTTCCTGGGAACTCCCCTCACCCCCTAAGGTCTTTTCTCCGCCGGGACTCCCATGCCAGACCCCGCCCTCAGGGGCCAGGCTTTCTACCCGACGGGACCCAAACTTCGCTCGAAGCCTTGGCCACCTTTAGCGGCCCGCCCTGGATCCGCCCCTCGTCGTGGTCCCGCCCCACCTCACCTGAAGCAGGTGGAAGCTAGTCCCTCCCGAGCTCCGCCTCCTGGATCCGCTACTGCCGGAACAGCTACAGTCATCCTTTCTAGAGCAGCTACCTTGGCAGAAAGGCGCTGGTGGACCCCGAGCCCCTGTCCAGGCTGGGCCTGTATTAGAGGGGCACCTGGGGTGGCACAGACCACAAACTCCCATCTCCCGTCCTCACTTTTCCCTCAATTTGAGAGGCATCTCTCGCAGGCAAGGCAGCATGGACGCTGGGCCGTCAGCACAGGACTTTCTCTGAGGGGCGCACCTACTCTGGCTTATCCCCGAGGGGCAACTCCCACAGGCTTTCATGGCGCCGACCCTGAACTCCCGATCGCCCCCAACCTTTCGCTGGCCCCTTTCACCTTGAGCGGCGCCCCCAGCAGGCGGTGCAGCGCGGGTATCTGCCCGCCCAGGGGCAGCGCCCCGTCCAGGCTGCAGGTGGGGGCCCGGCGCGGCTCCGGGAAGTTGGCACACGCGAAGGGGTCGGTATCTTCCAGGTACTGTACCCGCACAGTCACCACCGATACCAGCTCCCCTTCCTCACGATCTTCCCCGCCCGCCATGGCTCCGCCACCGGTTCACGCCGCAAACCTTCGGGTCCGGCTCCACCGCACCGGACTGGTTCTGAGTCCCGGGCTGGGCCAGAAGCAGCAGAAGAGGGGCGGAGCCAAACGGAGGCGGGCCTAGGAAGGGGGTGGAGTCAAGAAGGAGGCCGGAATCATGGAGGGGGGCAATCCGTTCTGGAGGCGGGGCTTGAAGCTAGCCAATCAGTGGGCCTGAACGTGATTTCGTTAGTTCGCAGGCTGGAAGAGCGGGAAGCCCGCGTTTGAGCCCCGCCTTCGACAGCTTGCGGGCGGGGACCGGTACCTTTCTCTGGCTTTGGGGTGGTGAAGCTGCTTTCTCACTGGGGTATTAGGACAGGTAGAGCGAAAGTTTCTTCAGATAGTGGCCGGCCAGGTCCCCCTTCAGATTGCGGGATGAAATGGATGAGTTTCTCTCATCTGGGGAAAGTAGTGAGATAGATTCCACTCAGACTGAAGGAAGAGGTGGGATCAATTCCTTTCAGTTGGGGAAGAAGAGAGCTTCAGTTCCAGGACGACTTTCAGTTTCAAGGGGAAAGTGGAACACGTTCCCCTGTTTTGAGGAAGAAGTGGAATGGGTGCCCCTCAGCTTGTATGAAAAATAGAGATAGCCCTCCATAGTTCGGAGAGAGATGAGAATACCCCTCAGATTTTGGGAAAAAGTTGGATGGGTCCCTCTTAGTTTGAAGGGAATCGATTGGCGGGGATTTCCGGTTTAGGCAAAAAAGTGAGATACGTTCCCCTCAGTTTCATGGAAGACGCAAGAGAAAACCCAATTTGAGAAATGAGGTTCTTTTACAGCCTGAGGTAAGCTGAGTCCAATTTGGGTTTAGGGGTTTCTGGGCAAGGAGTTCGGGTCAAGGCTTTTTTGGGCGCGCCCAGTGCGCATGCGTGGCGCTGGGTGGGCTTGCGCGACAGAAAAAAAAAAACAAGGGTCCCAAACCCACGCTCGCTGCGCTTAAGTCGGCCGTGCACCGCCCCCTGCCGTCCGCACTGGGCAGCGCGGGGCCCAGGGCCTCGGCACCTGGAGCTGGCCAGGGCCGCTGCGACCCCACCCCCCACCCCAGCGGAATCCTGACGGTCAGAGTACCGGCTGACCCCTCCGAGACGCTGCGGTGCCCCTGGAGTGTCGTGGCCGCACACAGTCTGAAACAGGGTGAGGGGAGATTTTGATCAGGTTTCGGGGAGCGGACTCGAAGGAGTAGCTTGCGGGACTTGGGGAGAGAAGGCTGAACTGGGGGATTTCCGGAGCAGAGGCAGGTTTAAGAGGCGAGGAGGAGAGGGGGTCCCGGGGCAAGGTCTAGATTCCGGACCTGGCTTGGGGGTATCGAAGCTGGGATTGGGGGGAGAGAGCCCCACGTGCCTCTGACGCGGGGGCGCCCGGTAGGCGGCGGCTGCTGCGACGCGGGGCCGGCGGCCCTGCCGTGCGGGGAGGGTGGCTGGGCAGGCGGCAGGATGATGCGCTCCGCACTGCCCCTGCTCGGGCTGCTCCTGGCGGGGGCCGAGGCGGTCGGAGAACCTACCCAGGAGCCGGGGGCGCCGGGCGAGCCTCCCTCAGGCTTGGCGCTCTTCCGCTGGCAGTGGCATGAGGTGGAGGCGCCTTACCTGGTGGCCCTGTGGATCCTGGTTGCCAGCCTGGCCAAGATTGGTGAGTGCTTGTGTGCTTGCGCCAGGCCGGCGGCCGGCAGTGGACGCGCCCGCGGCCCTCCTGACCCCCGGATCCCAGCGGTTTCTCGCACAGTGCCCGGACTTAGGTTCGAGTCTACAAATCCGGGTGCTCACCCAGTTCCTGTGCCGCCTCTTCTGGGTCTTCCTCCTCCCTTTCTTCTCCGGTGGGAGCCCTGAGGATTGGCTTTCCCCAAGGACTGCCCCACCTGTCTCCTCCATCCCCATCGCTGGGCTCCTTCGCCCAGAACAAGCCATCTCTGCCCCCTCTTCCTCTTGCAATAAGCCCTTCTCAGTCCCCAGCCTCTCGGGAACCTCTGCCATCGGGAGACATGGGGATGATATTCTGCAGCGAACCTAGGCGTTCTGGACCCTGAGGAAGCAGCCTTCCCTGAAGACCATGTCTCATTGGCCCTTCTCCTGGCTGCGTTTCCTTTAGCCCTCTGTGCTCCCTACTCAAAGAAGCTCCTTTTTTTTGTGCTTAGCTGTGGGACCCTTCTGGCCAAATCAGGTCCAATAATCTTACCACTTCAGGATGAAGGAAACTTCCGTTATTGGAGCTGGCACTAGGTCTTTTGTTCACTCAACCTCCTCCTGTCCTCACGTTGAAGGCTGTGCTTCAGATTATCTCCCTGAATAGAGCTGCTTTTCCCTGCCTCTGCCCCTTCCTCCCCCTTCAGAGCAGCCAGTGGTCCCTCCTCCTCCCAGAGACCCCCCCCTGTTGTGCAGGCCCTGCTCTGGGGGTGACTAATTATAGCTGAGCATTGCTACTCCCCATCTATGCTGGCACAGCCTGTACGCCAGTCTCCCAATACAGCCTTCATGTAGGAATCACTTAGCCTAGAATTTGTCCCCACCCCCTACACACTGCTGGCTGGGGAGAAGGGGGCTGGGCAGGAGCAGAATTTGCCTCTCTGCTGTGGCAGCCGCAGATTAATAATAATTGAAAGTGGAGCTTGAAATGCCTCAGGAGCCTGTCTGCCAGAGAACAGGCATTTGCCATGGGACTTGGATGGCAAGGCGGGGGTTGGTGCATACGTTGGAGATGAAGATAGAATAGGGACCCTGAAGGGGGGGTGACCAAAGGTGGAGATGAGTATGGGGAGAGCCCTGACTGAGTTTACCAGAAGAGGCCCCTGAGCTGTGAGAGAAAAGTGGGAGGAGCCTCAGATTGGAAGCTAAGCCCTGGATTTGCTGAAAAGTTTCTGAGTTGCAGGATGGTTCCTGCCTTAATTAAGGTTTATAGCAACAACTGTTGTTTCCCTCATGAATCATAGTGCTTTTTCTAGTTTGAGTGGCACATCCTTTGGAGGTAGGAGAAGAGAAAAAGTCTTCTTATCCATAGCCAGAAAAATCCTCAGAGAGGAGGGAAAAGAGATGCAGAATGTCCAAGGACACATTCCGCAATACTAGGAGTATTCCCCACCCCTTTATTCAACAAATCTTTATGCAGAGCTCCCTACGTGCCAGGCACTGCCCTAGGCCCTGTGGGCACAACTTCCAAAGGGCACTGCCTTGTCATAGAGTCTCATACAAACTGATACAGAAGCCTCTCCTGGGGATATATGGGAAGACACTCATGGTCTCTGGGCTCAGGGGAGAGCCAAAGAGTTTATTTAAGGGGACAGACAAAGGTAGAAGTAGACTGTAGTGCTAGAAACCTTTTTCTTACCTCCCCCTCTTCCTAGGGACAGATTTGTTATTTTCCCCCTAAAGTCATTTAATTACCATGTGTTGAGCATCTGCCACGTGTCTGACATTATGCTAGGGACACTCACACTTCATATAATTTCATCCTCACCCTTCCATATTACAGAAAAATTAAAGTTCAGGTGAGTTGAATAATTTGCCTGAGATCACGCAGATGATGAAGGAGCTGAGTCCTTCTGACTGCTAAATGCAATACTTTTTTATCTAGCAAATCCTTAGAGAGCCCATGTAATGAAAAGCATATTGGGTTAGGAGATATCCAATGCTTCTAGGAGCCATAATATGAATTACGGTCTAGATAGGGAGGCAGGACATAATAATACCTATTGCCTTTGAGTCTATTCTGACTCATAGTAACCCTGTAGGACAGAGTAGAACTACCCCATAGGGTTTCTAAGGCTATGATCTTTATGTAAGCAGACTGCCACATCTTCCCGTAGAGCTGCTGGTGGGTTCGAACCGTCAACCTTTTGTTTAGCAGCTGAATGCTTAACCACTGCACCACAAGAGCTACTAATATAATAACGTTTCAGTCACTTAAAAAAAAAAATAGGTAACATTTATTGAAGGAGTCTGTAGGTGGTGCAAGAAGTTAAGCACTTCACCACTTAACAATAGGTTGGTGGTTCGAATCCACCAAGAGGTGATCTGTTTCCGAAAGGTCACAGCCTTGAAAACCCTGTGGAACACAGTTGAGCTGTGGAGCCCTTGTACACCTATGTTGTGCCTACACATATACCAGGTAGCATTTGTTGCAGTTCAAATACTTATGAGTAAGGGAGGTCAGAGAAAGGCAAGTCAGGTGAGGTCCCCTGAGGATGAGGTAGAGAGGAGAGGGCATTTCCAGGGAAAAGCAAGGAAAGGCTGAGGTTGCCACGGTGTGACAGGAGTGCCAAGAAACAGGCAAAATGGACTGCAGGGGAGGGTTTTCATCCTGGAGGTTGGAGATTCTGGGAATCTTACATAGCTTTTCTTCTTTCTTGGTCTTAGGTTCAGCGTCCTGACCTTGGGTAACCTGCAGCTCTGTGTGTGTGTGTGTGTGTCTCCTGAACTGATACTTCCCACCCTCTTCTTGCATTGTAGTGTTTCACCTGTCTCGGAAGGTGACATCTCTGGTCCCTGAGAGCTGCCTGCTGATTTTGCTGGGCCTGGTGCTAGGGGGCATTGTCTTGGCCATAGCCAAGAAAGCTGAGTACCAGCTGGAGCCAGGCACCTTCTTTCTCTTCCTGCTGCCTCCTATCGTGCTGGATTCTGGATATTTCATGCCCAGCCGGCTGTTGTTTGACAACTTGGGTGCCATCCTCACCTATGCCGTGGTGGGCACACTCTGGAATTCCTTCACAACAGGAGCTGCCCTCTGGGGCTTGCAGCAGGCTGGACTTGTAGGTGAGTGACTCTAAGATTTGGGCTGGCAGAAGGAGGATTTTCTGCCCATCACCTCGCTTCCCTCTTCTTCAGCTTTGGAGGTCCCATGTGGGTGACAGCTAGGCTCTGGGAGCCTTGCACAGCACTCCTCCAGATGGGCCTCCAGCCCTTGTTTAGGTCTCTGCCAGTCAAGTCTGGCTTCTGCAGCATGACAGTTGAGCAGGCCTGGCTCCCAGCTGTGT